GTCTTGCGACCAAGTTCATGAGACCACATACATCAATATATATTAGGCCTAATAACTCGCTTGCTCTCTCGCTTTGTCCAACAAAGGGAGTCTTAGTCATTTTTCCAAGTAATCATGACTGGCATGTCTAAATCAATTCAAAATCGAAAGAATCGAGAAGACCATCTTTATGGCGACTCTCTATGCGTTTCTCGCCTATATGGCCTAAACGACAATGCCACAAGTAAGTAGGATTTGAATAATCTACGCGAGTTTTCTTAGAACTAATGCTCTTAATTTCTGCATCTTCCAGATCAAGAACGTAAAGCCCATTCACAATAGGACATTTCCCATACTACATGTCATTCATAAAAATGGAACAACACTTGTTCTTCATTATGAATTCATGACCACCATCCTCCAAACATAAGGAGGAAATAATGTTCTTATTCAATGCAGAAACAAAATAACAATGATTGAGTTCTAGCACTAATCCGGAAGGCAACAACAATTGATAAGTGCCGACAGCCAACGCAGCAACCTTTGCTTCATTCCCGACGCGCAAATCCACTTCGTATCTCGCAAAGCGTCTAATTATTTTCAGCCCCTACAACGATTTGCAAGTGTGAATCATTGTACCAGTATCAAATACCCATGCATTATTAGAACGCGTAGCAAGATTAATTTCAATAACATTAATACCTCCTTTCTTCTTTTTATCTTCCAAGTACTTCTTGCAATTTCTCAACCAATGCCCCTTTACACCACAGTGAAAGCAAGCATCGTCAGGGGAGGCACCAAGTTTCTTTTCTTTGGCCTTGTACGCCTGCCCGGAAGTCCTACTCTTTGCAGGTTTCTTAGCCTTTGCTAGGCGCTTACGCTTCTTACCCTTCTGGACTATCATCACATGACCAAGAGTCTTCCTAAGACTCGACTCTGCCGTCTTAAGCATTCCATGCAACTCAGTCAGCGATTTCTTCAAACCATTCATGTGATAGTTCAAGATGAACGGTTCAAAGCTAGCTAGCAGGGACTGCAGTATTACATCGGTGGCGAGATCGTCATCAAGGGGAAAACCAGTCTTTGCAAGCTCTCAATGTACTCAATCATCTTAATCACATGAGGGCTGACTGGAGCACCTTCAGCAAGCTTGCAACCAAACAGGACTTTTGAGGTATTAAATTTGTCGACCCTCGTCTGGTTTTCGAACATGTCATGTAACCCCACGATCATATCGTACGGGTTAATGCTATCAAATTGCTTCTGCAACTTAGAGTTCATGCAAACAAGCATCTGGCGCTGCACATCCACCGCATCATCAGTATGCTTCACATAAGCATGATATGCATTAGTGATGTGTGCGACATTCTAAGGCTCTTCTAAGTAAGGCGTATCGAGAACGTACTCATTTTTTCTTGTTTGAGAACAATTGTCAGATTCCAATTCCAATCAACAAAGTTTGTTCCATTTAGCTTTTCTTTATCTAGGATCGATCGCAGATTGAAGTTTGATCCACTTGACATTTTCTAAAACAGTAAGATACGCAACGGTTAGCACTTATTTTATTAACATCTTTAATAAAAAAATTCCTGGTATGTTGTGCGAACGTATCCCGACATTGCATAGCAGAACAAGATCCAATGTTCTTGTGATACTAATGAGCTTTGGCATCACCGCTAGCATCATAGTGAACAAGGTAGGCAACACTTGCCCATCGCATCCAATACGACCCTCGTTTGTTGGACGACATCATATGTCTCGGCTCCCAACACTTGTGCCTCAAAGCCCAAGTCTGACTTGATAGTTTTGTCAAGTAAACCAACACTATGTTGTGGTGTCCGACATCACCCAATGAATTAAGGTAGAAGATGACACCCTGCTTTGGCAAACCCATCACCTACTAACAATATCCTAATGATGCAGCTGTTAGAAGGGCATAAAATCGTAATTTTTGGTGAAGTATTCATCATTCTCATCACAAGCAGTGCATAAAATTAATCATCACAGATAATCAAATTATTGTGATAGTATGGCCTTTTCTTCGTCCAGCAAAAAACATCACATGTTGACGACCGCCAATCCGCACACCTACGCCGAGACGTCGCATCTACGGCGCCCTCTCCAAAGTACGACGGTCGTCGAGTTGTTTCGCTCGTTTTGATGAATTACATCATTTAATTTAGCTATTACATGTTAGTAGCTAAATTAAAATTATAAATTACATCACATGAGTGGCATGCAGGCCGAAAACGAACAGCCTCAACCCGGCTTCTAGATCAAAAACAGCACAAAACCAGCTCTGATACCACTTTTAGATTACGCGGGTGTGCTACTAGCTAGCACACAATGAAATAACCGCGTGAACATGATCACTTGCGAGTAGATGATCATAGATTATACTTTCGCTTGCGCGTCGCAGCGGAAGTCTTGATGAACGCAAGTAGTCGATTCGATCGACGTCGAGAAGGTAGTCGTACGATTTGATGAAGTACGCAACCGAGCAACACCTCTACGGCAGTCCACACGTGTGGGATGGAACGACAAATCGGAGCGTGCTAGCACTCATACTCAAAGATCCCCGCAATCAACCTTTGATCCGGGAGGGCGGATTGCAACGGCGCACCAGAGGTTGCCTGTGGGCTGGAGCTCCCACACGGCAAGCAACAGCAGTCCCGCGGCACCAAGCTGGTGCGGCAATAAGCAGGTGTGCGGCGGCTAGCCAAAGGAATCACCTCTTTTAGAGTTAGATCTAATTAGTATTTATAGACTTGCTAATTGGGCTAGCGCCTCTTGGGCATTACCAGCATAAGATTGATCTTCTATCTCTACTTTCATCATCTTGAGTTGTGATGTTTGACTTTTTGTTTTGTTTTAGGGTTATGTTCTATCAATCAACTTATATAGTGTTGAGATTAAGACTATCTTATACAGAAAGTGATGTGTTAGACTAAACTAATCTTATCTTAATTTAATAGTGTAAATAGAGTATAAGCATCCTTAGCTCTAGATGCATCTTTAAGAAAATTTTAATTCAGTATGAAATAATTTTATTCCCATGGTTCAGAAATTTCTGAATATAGATGCATTTTATATTCACGTGTCAAGAACCATGATCATATGATTGAACAGTTGATTTGGAAATCATAGCCTATTAAGAAACACTCAAGATTTATCTAACGTAATTTATAATGATTATGATTAAAACTTTCCACAAAAATATCACAAGTATGCAAAATGATAGAAACATAATTGACTGTGCACAGTTATCATTTTTTGGTTCTAAAGTGTTACAAAGGTGTGAAGAGTTGATAATGAAATATGTGTTTTTTTTCACAAAGAAGTATTAAAAAGTTTGAATTTTTATGTGCGAATATATACGATCAATGACAAGATTATCATAAAGTCGGCGTCATCCTTATATCTGTCTATTTTCTTAAAAAAAATATAGATCAATCTTTGACAGTAAGGCTGTTTTGAACACATACTTCAATTAGTTTTTTATGAAACATACTGAAAAAGCCAAAAGAAACATTGCTTTGAACCTTTCCACAAATGGTGTAGATTAGAAGCAAAAAAAATATAACATTTATTGATTCAATATGAGCTTATCTAACTTACATTAAACATGCTTGAGATTTATGAAATGGAATTTGATCAATTTGTTACAACATACTATAAATGCGTGAATTATGTATTAAAATCTTGTGTTTTTCCTTCTTCACCATGGATTAATAAAGAGAAATATAAATATTAAAGATTAATATTATCATTGACTTTCAAATATACATTTACTCATATTGGATTAATTATTTTGATACCATGCCTTGTTCAATAACAAATGCAACCTCACGATTCTTAATTAGAAACTGCATCATAGTTTTCAATTCTACATCCATTCTCATCTAACTCACGAAATATAATGCTTGTACATTGATTATAAATGTATCATATTATTTCGCCTACTATATCTTCATTACTCATGGTGAATATGGTATCAATAGGGATGTACCAAACTATGATAATCTTTTCTCGAGGTCCAACTAGGGTTACGATGGTTGCTAAGATGTGTGAGGATTGATTTATCTCACACGGACAAAACTTTTCATGCCTCGTAATCAACTAGCATTAAAGCTATTGAACTAAGTTAGTAAGTAGATAAATATATGTAAAATATCAACTACTCCATCACATCAATAATAAGTACATATTGTAAAACTGTTGATTGCATGAGACAATGTTCGAGAGCATTTCAAGATCATTCAGCGTTGAATGATCTATAGACAAGATCATTCAACGCTTGCTGAATGATCTTGTCTCGGGGGTTACAAACTGTTAGGGGACGCGTCTCGCTTATTTAGCTAATTATAAAGCCAATGATGAATTACAAGAGAAAATTCATAACTATCAAGATAATAGGGATAAACCGCTTAAGCTTCCGCAGATGATGCCCGGATGCAGTCGCTTTCAAAATATAATGTTTTTGTGAGTGGACTGTCAATAATAAAAAGTCTCAAAGTATAAGAAGTTTAGAGAGAGTTACTTTTTTTTTATTTACCTACCTTGGTGTTATATGTAGATTTGGAAATAAACCGAAACTTTTTCAAAAGATCATGTTAAACTGTTTCTTACTTATGAAAGAGATATATGATAAGTTTTATTCATACTTTTGATTTAGATCAGTTGTATTTAAAAAAGAATGCATGAAGAAATCAAATTTAGGCTATGAGACTTCAAATGGGTTGAAATGATGAAATTGTGGACTGTGCAACATGAAATAATAATTTTTCTGATGCTATTTCCGTGACCCCATCCCAAGCCGACACACTAGGGTATGTCTATCCTTTTATCCACATTAATAGATGCGCGCTTGGAGTTTTCAAGTATTTCAGGGATGAAAAAATTCAAAGGGAACCTCTACCTACTCTTGCAATGTGTGCAGATTGGACCGTCGATCTGTAGTCCTAGCTTGCCGACTGTTAATAGAAGCAAACTCGCAAGTCAGCATCGATGCACGGCACAGATCATCCGACGGACAGCGCCCGAGAAACTGTGTGTCGAACATTGTCTCGTAATGTCCAAACCCGGACAACAATTGGCCGCGAAATGTTTTGTCAAAGCGTGTTGCAATCCCGGATTTTGCAAACGAAGCCACGATGCGTGGATCCTAGCTGGCACTCATGACCAGCGACGTATGCCGCGTCGTGTCCTCCTACCGTCCTCGGCTTGCCTTCCTGGCGTCGTCGCAACTCAGCTTCCTCCTCCTCTTCCGCCTGCCTTGCAGTTCTTGAATGCTTGTCAGTGAAGGCGTGCTTCGAGAGCGTTCGAGAGAGAGCTTTATCGAAGGCTTTCCGAGCCCTTTCCTTCGGTTTCGGTACATGACCACCTCAAGATACCCCATTGTGTTCGTTGCAGTTCTGGTGATTGCCCTGGTTTTACCTGTTCTGGTCGTGCCGTCGTCTGGTTCTTACAAGACCGTCGCCGATTTCATCTCCTACGGGAACGTCAGAGGGGTTTTGACCACAGGTCAGACAGTTGCGACGCTTCTTGGGAAGCATTACTTCCATTCTTTCCTCTTGCTGATGGGATCGTCCGCTTCCTCTCCAGCCATGGCTCAAAAGAGCGTGCACGAGTTTTCTGTGAAGGTGTGTCACCCTCTGCTGTTTTACACGAATTCGAATTTATCGGGTTTTAAGTATTGCTGCTCTTGACTCCGGATGGTTTAGATGTAGGAGTTGTTTTGAAACCTCTAGCTCTAAGGCGTCAACTAGCGCATGTGATTGGATCTTTCTGTCAAAAGTTTGGTCACGGTCATCCTAAGGACGGTTTGTAGTATGTACATCTGGTTATCTTCTCTGCACTTTACCTGCTGGCTTATTTAGAGTTGAGAGTCTGTGGTCTTGAGCTATAGAGATATTTGTGTATATATCTGGCGTTGAAATGGGCTACAAGTGTATGTCCAAGCATAATGTTTAGTTCTGGATCAATCATAGAGAGGTTTGTGTTCTACATGCCACTTCTACAATCGTTTCCGGAATCCAGGAAACAAGTGAATATTTTTTGAGAGTATGAGGAGTGGCCACTCCAAGGGATTTCAAATCATACCTTTTTCAAAACTAGCGATAGTGATTGCTGATAGAATGTTAGTTTCAGCTCCTTGGACAAATTTTAATTGTAGGCTGTTCCTGTTGTACTTTTCTGATGGTGCGGTAAGTTCCTGCGCGACTAACGGTGGATGCTATTATCCATAACAGGATACTGCTGGAAATGACGTGGATTTGAGCTCGTACAAGGGCAAGGTCTTGCTCATTGTCAACGTTGCATCCCAATGGTATGATGTGTAATCCCCGTTGGTTTTCAAGCATATGATTCTGTCGCATTTTGGTTAGGGAGTCTACTGATTACATTGCCCTCGTAAGTTTATTTTGGAGCCGGACGTTTACATGAAAGAATTCTAACCCAGAATTATTTGCAAATCTTTATGTTCAGTGGTCTAACGAGCTCAAACTATAAGGAGCTCACTGAGGTGTACAGCAAGTACAAAGATCAAGGTAAGCTTTATATTTGCTTCAATGTAAGGTGAACTTTAGATATTCCATCTTTTTGCTCAGTTCTAGATTCAATTTCATAAATTTTTACTTCACTGACTCCATGATATCAGGTGATTGAAAGAAATTTACGGTTAGAAGTCATACTATGACTGAAACTAAGACAGGAACTCTTTCTACATGTAATCTGAATGTTGATCTCTTTTGCAGGCCTGGAAATCTTGGCGTTCCCCTGCAATCAGTTTGGTGGGCAGGAACCTGGAACGAATGAGGAAATTAAGGAGTTTGCTTGTACGAGGTTCAAAGCGGAATTCCCAATATTTGACAAGGTGTGTTGTAGATTTGCTGTTGCTATTTGTGACTTGTTTCATAAAGCTTGCTAAAGAGAGTCATGCTCTACTGTGGGTTCACTCAGTCCTAAACCCTAAACCCTAAAGGAGCTGAAATGAAATTGTGATTTAAAGGTGAATGTAAATGGAGAGAATGCGGATCCACTGTACAAATTTCTGAAGGCAAGCAAGGGAGGAGGTATATTGGGAGAAAGCATCAAGTGGAATTTTTCCAAGTTTCTGGTTGACAAGGAAGGGAATGTTGTCGACAGATACGCCCCAACAACGTCTCCCTCAAAAATTGAGGTCTGTAGTTTTCAGATTATTACATTTAAAACCTGGCTTCTGTGTTCAAAGTTGTTGAGGAACCTTAGTATTTTTGGGATGAAAATCCAGTCCGAGTGTTGTGGCCGCCGCCGATCCTTTTCGTGGTCAATGTAAGTTCGACTGTTTGAGGTGTGTAAAGAATATTTAGAAGTGCTTTGATCTAGAATTTTTCTCTAAGGGAACTCATTGTTTACGTGTGGGGGACATTTGCAGAAGGATATCAAGAAACTCTTATAGGTCGATCTTCTACACTTCTATTGCTCCAACAGGTCTTATGAAATTATATGCATTCTGGACGGAGTGTCTTCATAAATACGTGATTGTGACACATTGGGCGGTGTACTTATATGGGTGTGTACATCCACACCTATAGTTGAAACAGATAAGCAGCTGTTCACAAAAATGCTGGCTAATTCGCTTTGAGAGAAATCAGCGACTTCTTTTCTTTTCCTGTACAGTTCAATAAAGGACCTCGTTATTCGCTAGCTTGATATTTCGAGTAGCGCTGGACAATTCAGTTCAAGTTTTAGCAATTTTACGTGTAGGGTAACTTTTGTTTACGTACCCTAAAACAAATGTATACATATGAAGAAAGGAAAATATCTTATAATCTTACCGGATCAAAACGAGAAACCAACGAACTCAGTTGTGAGTCCCAGGCTGTCGATCTGACGGTGTTGTTACTTATCCAGCGAGGCTATCATACTTTTCATATTCTCAGCCTAGTGTATCACTAGGCTGAGAAACAATTTACAGGTAAATGTCGAAATGAGTTTTGTATTTGTTTGCCTACATCTTTACATTGCCTACTGTTTCCTTCTCATTATTATAAACAAAGAAACTTATAAGAAATAACTCGGCAAGAAGAACGTCAAATCTCGTTCTTTTGATCTGAAAGACAGATTCTTTCTTTTTAGATCTTCTTCTGGAAGAATTGTCTCAGTTTGCAAAACATCAAATCTCGATAACAAGACTCTTTATAGTAAACGTGGCTTACCTCACTGTAAACAGACAGAGATTTACTTGTGTCCAGAACTTACGTAAAGTCTCTCGGAAACCGATCTCAGCTACTATAGATTGAAAATCTGCCGAAGCGTTAGTGTAGCCGATTGCAGAAGAGCACCACACGTCTTGAACGTTACAAAGTTTTCAGGCAACTTTTCTTCCTCGAGAAAATCGAAATTTATTGCGCTATCCAATCACTATAAAACCACAAATTTACATCGAACAGAACGAAAACGTTTGATTACTGCATTTAGTAACGAACAGTTTCGAAGACGTACCACATAGTACAGTACGTGTGTTATACGGGGATAACGCTGGTTGGGACAATACGTGTGTGAGTAATCACGGTATGTGACGTCTGAGCTAGCTCCCAGAAGATGGACCTAGGCCAAACGTTACATGGCATAACTTTATTCTTGAATACTTTCACGAGAATTTCTACCCATTTTGTTGTGGTACATGGAAAGTTCTGGACCAAGGAAATAATAATAATATCACTTTAAATAAACTCTCTTTCAACTTCAAAATTTGGTTACTTTCGTAGCGTACAAATACTAAAGTGATCTCAACTCTTTAAGCCACACCTTACAAAGTATGAGTTTATCTCGTTTATGACTTAGTTTTTTACTTCGCATTTTGGTTATATTGGAATACGTAGTCACACGATTTTACATTAATTTTCCCAGCCATCTTAAATTTTCTCTATGTATGTAATCACGTTGAAAAAAGTGGTGGAGGAAGCTTTTTGAATACTCTACAGTTTGCATGATGTTAGATACAAGTTAGATTTACATAGCATATACAATCTACATCCCAACAAACTCAATTATCCATCATGTTACATCCGAAGACCAATGTCAAATAAATAGTTCAAAACACAAATTCAGCTTTTGGCTGGATATAATAATTTTACAGGAAAATTAAACCTCATGTATAGATTTACAAATCGTAAACTTTTTAAAAATCTGTAATATACATAAGAGAAAGAGCTTTATGTATTCGTATATATAAAATTCCATGTTTGAATTATTTACTTCTGAAACTAAAAAAAGCAATAATCATTCTATATTGTTACAAGCAGCCACCAAGGTCAAACATGAGACCTTGGTGGCTGCTTGATATGATCTGTAATGTTTCTGCGCTAATCTTATTCGCTAAAATCAATGCTAGCTTTTAGTTAGTGCTTTCTATTTAAATTGAAACAATCCTGACTGTAAATCATTTCAACCAAATCTTGAAACAAATATTGTGAGTATCAAAACAATGAAATTTGATTAATACTTGAACATATGTGTACATTCATATACATCTAAATTGGAAGTGATTTTTATAATTGTGATATCAACATTATTATGATGATTCAATTATGTTATGATTACAAGTTTACACAACTTTAGATTCTTGAGTTAGGATATAGTTGAAAGATTTTTATGCAAATCTGTTTCAAGATCAAATTATCTACTTGACTTTCAACAGATTAGTATGGTGTTATGATAATCTAAGAGCTATTATAATTAGATGTTGTATTTGCGAAGACTGTGGTAAGCGTGAATTTTTTCCAAATATGCATGAGATTTTTAATGGTTATTAATCATTTTTCTTGATTGCAGAATTTACTTAACATGATGAATTCCTTAAATAAGCACAAGATTCATTTTAGAGAGAGATGACATATCACATCAAAAATTTTCATGAGCACTGTGGTTATAATGTCTATCATATTTGATGAATATGTATGACAAATATTACTATCATTGTATTATAATCGGATATGATTGGCTATGTTCTTCACAACACTTCTTATAGTTATTTGCAAAGCATGAATCAATGCTTCAGTCTGATCTTTCATTCAGCATGTTTGAGATCAATATGCATTTAGCATAGAATTAAACATATTTTACAGAATACCATTAAATTGTATGAAATATATCATAATATCCAACTATTTCATAAAAAAATTTTATGAACACGTAAAATGGAAAGCAAGATAAGTTTTTTATTGGATATTAATTTTTCGACATTATGTCTATATGGACATCATATAAAGACTGATGAAAAATAATTTATCATCAAACTTAAAAAATTATTTCAACATATATTCAAAGCTGTTACAGTATAATATTTTTTATATGTTATCTATTGCATGAACAAGTATTTAGTCTAAACACTTGTCTGTACATTTATTTTCCAAGCTTCTTCATGTAAATAATATATCTTCATTTCAGCTATCACCAACCTTCATTTGATATTTTGAATATTCTTGAACTCCAGCAAGTAAAGTTAGTAACACTCAACAAATTTACCGCACATTCTAGGTCTCAATTTAAGGATTATATTTCTAAGGACTACTTTTGATCTCAATATTTTGCTTGAATCATGTTTTCACTTTCCAAAGAAATTTCCAACACTTCATCCCATCGATTGAAGATTTTCGAAAGAATTTTGTGTATATTAGGAAATTATTAATAATACATTCAGGAATAGACTGATAGAACTGGGATGTTACCAGATGAGTTATACTAAAAATTGTTACTGTATTATGGATTCTCATATTCATGACAAGTTTTGCATGTTGTTGAAGTTGTTCTACATATTATTATTATTTGATGTAAAAGATATCTAAGAATAAATTCCTCACAGAATTCATCTGGAATCAAATTGTGTACAAAAGTTTATGGATATATATTTTGTGGGCTCACTCGAGCCAAATTCCGAACGGAAGGTGATAATGGAGGAGAGAGACAATACTCGCCTGGGTACGAATGTCCAACAATGACATAAGAAAGGAGGGATTTTCAAGAAGCACATGCAGTGGGGAAGAATCCACTGACTGACAAGTAAGATCAGCGCTGGTATGCTTTCTGGCACGGCTACCGACTCTCGTGGAATCCGGTAACCCTAACTCCGAGCACTGATCAGACTTCTGCGTCCGTCAGCAGCTAAACGTCCGGCAGCACTCTCCCATCCGACCGGGCCGGGACGGGCCAGGACTTGCGGGTCGGAAAGCGTTTGGTGGCGATCTTACTTGGCGGAGCGGGATCGGAAGTTGCTGCCGGATTTGTGCCAACAGCGCAAGCTCGAGTCGATCCGACCTCGTCTTTCTGGATACTCGTTCTTTGCTCGTGCCTTGGCTCGTACTCCTCTTCCCTCCCTCCCTCCCTCCCTCTCTCTGCTGCTGCTGCCCTCGAGCTTTGTCGTCCTCCGTGCAATTGGAGTGCAGGGCGACTCGCCTCGCGCGCATTGTCGACCTCGTAGGTTGCGTTTCTTGGAGAAAGAAGCTTTGTGCATTTTGTGCCTGGCAGATGTGTTTTAGGGGTTTAGGGGTGCTGTGTCTTGATTGCGAGTGAGTGAGACCTGGGACTGAAAGGAAGAGAGAAAGAGAGAGGAGGATTTTTCGATTTCTCCACCTCCGCAGGGTTCTGGAAAATTGCGCGTCGGACGTCTGTCAGGCCCGGCTGCCCGTCCGGTGTTGGAGCTTTGTGAGCAGCGAGCGAGCGAGTTAGCCAGCCAGCATGTTTCTTACGAGGAGTGAGTATGACCGAGGAGTCAACACCTTCTCGCCGGAAGGGCGTTTGTTCCAGGTCGAGTATGCTATCGAGGCTATCAAGCTGGGCTCCACTGCCGTAGGCTTGAAGACCAAGTTTGGCGTTATATTGGCAGTGGAGAAGCGAATTACCTCGACTCTGCTCGAGCCCAGCAGTGTCGATAAGATTATGGAAATTGACTCGCATATCGGGTGCGCTGCCAGTGGGCTTACAGCCGATGCCCCGACTTTAGTGGAGCATGGGCGTGTCGAAACTCAGAACCATAGATTCTCTTACAACGAGCCCATGAGCGTTGAATCCACCACTCAAGCTCTTTGTGACCTAGCTCTGCGCTTCGGTGAGGGAGACGAAGATTCCATGTCGAGACCATTCGGAGTTTCACTTCTCATAGCCGGTCACGATGAGACTGGTCCCTGTCTGTATATTACGGATCCATCCGGGACGTTCTGGGAGTGTGATGCTAAAGCCATCGGATCCGGATCGGAGGGTGCTGATTCGTCACTTCAGGAACACTACAACAAGGAAATGACTTTGGAGGAAGCTGAATTGCTGGCTTTATCTACACTCAAGCAGGTTATGGAGGAAAAGGTCACTGCTTCTAATGTGGACATTGCGAAAGTTGCCCCTACGTATCACCTGTACACTCCCGCTGAGGTTGAGGCTGTAATTGGGCGGTTGTAGGTCTTGTTATTAAGGTCAAATTCCCGAATCATCAAAACTGGAGGATCGGGGACACATTTCAGAACATAGCGATTTGAGGTTGCCGACGAGGGTATTTTTCACAGCACAGCACCAGTTTTGTAAAGTGGCCGATCAATGCTCTCTCTCGCATTGCGCTTTCGGTGACATTGAACTGAACATGCTCCTAAAGTTAGAAGGCCATTTTGGGTCACAGAAAGTTCATGTCATGAAGTGTCAGATATATGGCTTCTGCTGGCAGCAAATAAATAGGTTTAGATACCTAGCCGATGATCAGGGGATGAAGTCATGTAGAGTGTCCACAGTCTGGCAGGAACATTGAAAGATTCTTCTAACGGTCCTCAGGGGTATCGTTGAAATTGCTGACTATCATTTCCATTTTGCACCTCTAGCAAACCTTGTTGGAATAGAACAAATCAAAATTGTCAAATTTGTCGTTAGAATCATCTCTTGTTTCCGAAACTGCTGATAGTCGTCTTATGTGTTGCTTCTTGAGTGATTGACTGCAGACTACGCTGCAAAGAGAAGTCGATACGCCATGTGATGTGAGAAATGAATTGATAATTGGCAAGTGTATGATACATTTTAACGCCAGACGAAGATTTATTGACCTATCGGTCTTTCAGTAATTGTACAGGGGTCTGAAAAGTCATAGGACAAGCCATTCTGACGGAAATGTGTTTCAAATTTAATGCTGGATACGAACTGGCTTTGTCGTATTTTTTTTATTCATTTGTTTAGTTCTCGCCTCTTTGTATCGTTTATTTCTTTTTGGCTTCGAGCTTGAAGTTTATGAAGTCAGCGTTAATTGTCCATCGACATTCCAAAAATTCAACCTGCAGCAATACCCTTTCTTCGCTGTACAGTCCCTCTATTCTCAGTCAGCATCGATAGAACGTATACTGGCTCTTCCGTTTCTCGCAGAGGGTACCTTCCAGTGCACTGTTTGCTTATTGCTGGTTGTTGGTGCTCTTGCTTCCAGCCTCATTCGTCTACGATCATGTCACTGAGTTTCATGTTGCCATTTGTTATAAATTTGCACTTTACATTACGGGTTGAATGTTCTGCTACATCTTCTAATTTGAGTTAGAGCCCCCAAAGGCCCCTACTGAGTACTTTGTTGTTCTTGGTCTTGCTTAATGTGTATTGAACCCCTGCAACAATAAATACTCTGCTTATTTTCTCTAGGGGAGAACAACATGCGGTTTTGAATAGCACAGCAGTCTTTCTGTCCAACACGGAGATTTTTTTACTAGTTTGTCGTGTAGACCTCTATATGTCGTGTAGACCCGAAGTTTTCTCCTTTACAGAATCAGAGTCTAGGCAATCGAAGAACTCTTCGATTGCCTAGACTCATTAGATGTGGAGTTGAGGTGTCGAGCTCCCGTCCATGGCGAAGGCTTTGCAGCCGATTAACTTATGGTAGAATATTCTGTTGCAGTTCTTGAGTTTAATTTACATATGATTCACTTTGTGATAGCTTGGAGTCATGATTTGATGATTATGAAGGGGGTACATATATTTGAGACTGGCGGCATCCTTTCCCTCTCATTTCGACTTTACCTCAAGTTTTCCGAACCATATGCGTCTAGCAGTTGGATGTATGTTCCGCTGCTGAAGGACGACAATATCCACAAACGTCTAGTTTGATGATTTGTTCAAACTCACACGACGAGTGTTACGATGTAATATGTTGAGTGATGATTACTATCAATTGGTCTTCGCTGATTTTCTTTCTTGGTCAAGTTCCACTTCCGATCTAGAGTCTCAGGCCCCAGGAAAGATATACGTGAAAGATTCTCCTTGTTTAGCTTACTTTCCATGTTTCATCTGTTATATGTGCTCCTCGATAAGACTACAGCTCTGATCATTCTAAGTCCTTTATCTACCTCAGTGCATGGTCGAACATAGGTAGAATAAGTTCTGTATGTGGACGACTAGTCACGATATCGGAATAGAGGCTATTCTTGTGAATTGAGGAGGTTTTCCACAAAGGAAAGGTGTGTTGGGAACGACTTCTCATCATCCTGACAGTTCCGAATGAGGGAATGGAGTTGATACTCCACAACTCCATTTCCATGTGAAGACTAATAAAAGGATCGAGATCACACACTAAATTATTTGCTCAGAGCGATCCTTCTAAATCATCGGTGAGACAGTTGGCTTGCAATGCATGGGTGCATCTCCAACGCAACTCAACGCTTATCTCCGCTCATTGCGATTTCTGTATTTCGAGAATGATATGCTCTACAAGGTCGAGAATGCTCTGGGGTCCCCAATACCACGTAGAAATCAAGAATGAATAAAACTTTCCCTGGTTAAGGAAAGACAACAAAATGGCATGCATGATGCGGAATAAATCTGCTATAAGTATATGAAGTGGACAAATAGAATACTTTGGCTGGTTCAATCCAATGAGAGTTGGCAAATATTGACTGCGACCATGAAGCAATGTACTGCTTAATGCACGTCTCAGATTTGTTCCATGGGGAACAAGATTGTACAGAGTGCGAGGTATGTAAGAAACTCGAGCTCAGTGATTTTGATACGGGACGTGTGATGCGGGTGCTCCACTTCTTCACTTAGAAGTACTGAAGGCTGTAATTGTGGTAAAGGTTTCACTCATGCGGACCAAGAAGGCACAGAGAGTGAGGGGAATGCATGAAACTGGAGATCAGTTGATTGAATTTACTTCCGGAGTAATAGTGATGCTCCAATTCTGCACTTTTAAAAAAAAGTATTGAGTATACCCATCGTACGTCATTGACTCGTGATGAAATGAAGAGTTAGGGAACACGCAGGAATTCAGTCAAGATTTTAGAGAGTAGGATATTTGTCGGTCGTGTGCGTGGCATATGACAAGACAGTCCTCTTTCAAATTTTTTTTTTTCCCTTTTAAAAATCCCGCAAATTAGAAAGGAAGTGCCATTGTAAATACCTCACGATAGTGACGAAGTCCAGCCTCCAACAAGTGGAAACAAATAAAATGAGAAAAGTTCACGGAGACGCAATAGTGCGCTCGCCTTAAGAGCGGAGAGTCAAACCCCAAGTAGAATGTCGCAGGACAACGTTTATCCAGTTGGAATGAGGACACTCAGATAAGCAAGATTTCATGAGAGAAAAATGCGATAGCATGAGATCACAAAAAACCTGTCTCATCTACTGCGGCTGCCGATATCTTTACTTGACCCGAGAGCATCATTGTGCAAAACAGTTCCAACGAGGGATAAAACATAGGATTTCGAGCTTTGAACTCGACGTGAATCGAGAGCATCATTGTGCAAAACAGTTCCAACGAGGGATAAAACATATGATTTCGAGCTTTGAACTCGACGTGAATCGAACACGCAACCTTCTGATCTGGAGTCAGACGCGCTACCATTGCGCCACGAATCCTCGGATGTATGTTATCAAGTTAGAAATGGCTATATTATCTGTTAGATCACATAAAGGAGAACATGCTGTCAATCCCTTTTTCAATAATTTTTTCCTATATTTTCTTTTCTGATATATTTAGATTTATGTAATATATATTAAATGTGATGAAGCACATTGAATAGATTTTAGACGTTGTCTCCTGTTTCGATAGTTGGCCACACCAAGTCTATCCACAAAAGTATGTGTAGTCTCTATCCACACATGGAGAGCGAAGTGTTTGAAATTCGATTATACTATATAACGCTCTGGATCTTCGAACATATCAGATACCGTATTGCCTACACTCGCTTTACGAAATATTGTAGTAGCGTGATTTTCCCATTTTCCAAGTAGTGTATATGTCTACTATTTAAATTAATTTTTACAAAATTTGTTTTTTCTATTGTACAGTATTATACCTGGACTGTGAATGTAGTAAGCATTAGGCTCATAAAATAAGACTATTTAAATTACATCAACAACGCAGTCACTGCATTGATATAGAATTGTGGGGTGATAGAAGTTTGATACTGGACACGTTTAAGCGATACTTCCATTTAATTTCAATCGTCACTCTTAAATAAACGTGATCTATATTTCGCCTACATTTGAAATTCACCCCAAACTACTGCATGTGAGTATTTCTGGATGTTGAAGAAGTACCGCTTTCCCTTTTTTAGAAAACAGACTCACCTCGTCCTCACTCGTACACGACGAGGAGAGATGAAAAAGAATTGTGCAAATTCAGTAAAACAACTGAATATTCACTGAATAGGAATAACGACCTGAGTTACTCGAAAGGATCACAATCTAAAGTAGACGAAATCATGGTCAGACATCCTGTGATTTTACAGCCAGTCAAATGAGCTAACTACCTACTCTTCGTCTCACAGGTACTACGTCCAGGGGGGCCTATTTGACTCCTAGACGCAAAAATGGGTAAACATAGTGTTTTTATCACTTGATTTTGGACTCCACGTTTCATTCAGTCTAAGGGATCAAAATAAGGTAAAGCTTCAAGATACGTTTTATACTCAATTCATTTTTCAGCATACCGTTATACAAATGTGTTTTCCCGGTCCAAGTTACTTCCTCACCAATACACTCCGAGCCAAATAGCAATTGATATATTAGATCATTGCTCGAAAATTGTGACTTCCACAATTTCAAAATTAAAAATTGTGGCTGCTGGGATTCGAGCCCAGGTCTCCACGGCCACAACGTGGAATTCTTACCACTAAACTACAGCCACTTGATGAGCACTGAAAGTAATTATCATAATATAATTATATTTTCCTATCAAAAGTTGACCTGTCATCTCACTAGCATCACTCTCCTCCTTTGAAGGCATTCAATGCAATTAAATAATAAATTTTCACTTTCATCTTGAAGTTGATTCATTCTCTCTGCAAGATAGAAATCTTGTAACATGCATCGGACTGCATATCCCCTTTGGTGTCGATGACACAACCCACTGCAGCAGAGGGTCTGGGCTCCTGGACTTACTCCGTGGTTTGTGCGGAGAAAGGTTTTTGGATTTGCTTGAGGAATGATTGTCCCATTAATCCACCAGCAAATGAAAATGTTGCTGGAAGTAACCAACCTGTGAAGTTGTGGGTTTCGTTCTGCTTAACTGATTGGATCACATGAAAGGTCGAAATAGGTGATGGTTGCAGAGGTCTCAGTTCATCAGCCACGGCCAGTCTTCTGGGAGTTCTGCATCCTCGTCTTCATCCACGACCAGCGATTCATCGATGCCAGTGTTGAGCAGGTCCTGAATGATGGTGTCTCCAGTCTGCTTCAGCGATTGAGTCTCCTCTTCTTCCTCGGCCGTCGCCATCGATTCACGGTCGAGCACACCCGCCGTTCCGTTTCGCTCGCCCGCACGGATGCGCTTGATCAACTCCCTGCCCTCATGAGCGCTTCTGATGAACTCGAACTGACCCTGCGCACACACACACGCGGACGGAACCTCGTAAAATTCCTTGGACTTCTCTCTCGGGTCCCCGATCATCCCTTCGTGGAAGATGCGCAGCTTGCTGGCGAACTGGTACCACCCGAGACTGCGTCTCGCCACATAAAGCAGCGCGAGCTTCTGTAAATTCGGACGGATCGTGCGCCGGTGCCCATCGAATCGTCGGTGGCCGGCGATGATCCTCGCCATGTCGCCGTTGTCGTTGGCCGCGAACGCATCGCTCTGATGGCAGATCGTGTAGTCGAGCGCCGCCAGCGTCGAAGGGTGGGCTCGGAATGGCGCCAGCTCTTGCTCTGCCGCCAGCGTGCTCCTGGTATAGTGATCGGGGAAGAGCTGCTTCAATGGCGCCAGGCTCTCGTCGCCTCCATAGACATCACCCATCACAATGTACAACACGACGTCCTCGCCGAATCCCATCGCCCGCAGCAGTAATCCGAGCTCCAATGGCGTCAGAGGGCATCGACCTTCGCGTCGCTCTTTGTGCGGATCTTTCTGAGGAAATTGCGAGTTGCGCCGCTTTCTGAACTGGCGCAGGTCGCGCCTCTCTCTGTCGCCGCCCCCGAAGTAGCAGCCCGACGACGAGAGCAGCTCCTCGTCGAATCGGATGTGCACGGCGACGTAGCGCTTGGATTTGTGCTTGTCCCGTAGCCTCTGGACCAGGCGCTGCCCCAATTCTCGAATTGGCGCTGCGAATTGCAGCGCCTTGTACATGGCGCGGCACCGGAGCTTCTGCTGGTCCGGGCCCAGATTGTCCTGCAGCCGCGAATCGGTCTGCGAGCACCGCAAGACTTTCTTCGCCTGCAGCTCGTGCAGCAGCTTCACCTCGTACCAGACGGCCGTGGCCTTGCGCGGCGGCACGAACACGGCCGGGTCGTCGTCGCGCACATCGTCCGGCAGCTCCGCGAGCACGCGCACGTCCGACGCCAGCGTCGCTATGAAATGCTCCGCGTCGAACACTCCACTGAAATTCACTTTGGCGTGCTCGCCAGGCCTATTGGCCAGCGATGGCACGACCATCGTCACGTCCAGAATCCTGGCTATGGTGACGAAGTCCGCGATCCCGGCCCTCTGCATGGACAAATCGCCGTTCGCCTCGATCAGCATGTACCCATTCTGCCCTGTGTTGCGCGTGGCGGCCGCGTACTTGGGGCTCGGATCGCTGCACGAGTAATAATACTCGGCCTCCGACGAATTCCACACTTCCTTCAATCTCGAGTCCCCGGCCTTGGGCACGTCCTCGATCGAGGTCGGATCCCATGGCAGCTTGTGCGCAGGGACGGGCTTGGCAGTCTCGATCGCCTGCTCCGCCTCGGCCACGGGATGGTCCCAGACTTCGTAGAATCGTTGCACTTCGAGAAGGTGGCTTTTGAACACGGACAGCAAGAGTGCGAGGATGAAAAGAGCCCCGGCCACGAGCCCGAGCACATCGCAGACCTTGTATCGCGAACGCCCGCGAAGAACCATGGGCGCCATGCCAAAATCAGCATTCACGGTCTTCTGCCCCTGCCTCTGCTTCTGCACTCGTGGTGTCCGCCATGTGCTCGGCATTCACCATCTTGCTGTTTCGCAGCAGCGGCATGAATTTGGAAGTTCGGGCAATTCCCAGTGTTGCGCTTGTGTTTTGTCCTGATTATTCGAGATTCGGTTCGGTGACTTGCGCCGTCAGACATCGCTGTTTCGGCGGCGATGCTGCTTCCGAGAATTCCGGTATGTGTGGTGACGACTCTCAGTCGACGCTCCATTCCATGTCATGATTCCTACTCTTGGATAATCTTCGTGGACGCACTGTCACGTCGAACGACAGGAAGTCAGGAAGTTACAACTGCCAGACTTCTGCTCTTCCTCTGGGCGATTGAGCGATTGAGCTTTCGCGATGAAACGCTCCAGTCCGGAACAGGTGGACAAGTATTCGATCCGCTAAGAAGCATAAGAATTGCCACCGTTCATAGTTTCATGGCTTCTCAGATATGGGTGTGTATGTACAATTGCGCTATTATACCCATAGTCTTATACCACTGTATTATACAGCACTCCCAAACCATACCTTATATAATAAAAAGTCCGTAATGGAGTCCCCACAAGTGTTGCTAGATTGGTACGAGTGTAATATTTCACTTTTGTAATAGACTCTGATATGGTGAAACCAACAGATGTTAGATGGGATATTAGAAGTTTGATTGCTGATATGAAATTGAACTTTGAAGAATACCCCGTTTACGAGGTATTTATAATTGACATTTCCCAGGGAATCCTCGACATGAAGAGTATATCTTCGAGGCCAAAGAGGTGATGGACGAGGATAACATCTACATATGATAACATAAGGGTTTAGGGTAACATGTTTAGTGGACGTCTGAGTTTTGTATAATACATTTTGGTACTGTACTGTCATATACTACGCAGTCTGCAAAGAATCCAATTATACATACCCATATTCTCAGACTCATCGAGATAACCACTATTGAAGTTTGTTGGGACTTGGAGGAGTGATTTGCGTAATTGCAAAGTTATATGATAATCATTTAGGACCTTTTTGTGCTTCGCTTATAGTTCTATGTCGAGATGCAAAGCACGTTATGCTTCTACGTCAATGCTCATGTGAATTTCTAAAGAAACCGGGAAATGTTTCCTTTACGTCGAGAGTTCACGTTCTGGCTCGGTACGTTGCACGAGCACGCTGTTTGCTCGGCTCGGTTTATCTTTGGGACTGTGGGTCCGTTTGGGAATGCCAAGAAAGTAGGCTGTGAAGTATCTGTTAAAACCCTGGATGCAAACACGACCATCCAACTTTATTACAAGGTCCGTACTTCCTGATGACTTCGACGACTTCTCGACTAGTGCATACGAAGAATGTACTCCCTACTCAAATGAGCGAGCCTGTTAAATACCCCCACTATCCTATACGAGGAAGTTTCCAAGGAAACCCCGATACTCCTATCTTCGATGGAAAACTATTGAGTGACTAATCTCTAGTAGCAAACAAATAGAGGAAGTCCATAAGCTTTCCAGGTAACTAACATTCATCCCACACTTGTAAGAAAATCAGTACTCTAATTTTTAATAGTCTAACATGTCTACATAAGCTTTCTTTAATTTATCATGATTAACTTTATCTAGATATTTTGTGACGTTTAAATTGAGTAGGGAGTAAGTACCGTTTGACACGAAAACCTCATACGGTCCAAACCACTTGGGTAGCTCTTTCTTGTAAGCCCTTTGAAAGTGCCATGAATCTTATAACATCACCAAGTCTTCCGTTTTAAACACCCGCTTCTTTACCTTCGCATACCATGACTTCTTCATTTTTGCTTGAGCCACCTCAATTGACTGCCTTGTCAGCAGTTGGAACTCGTCCAATTCATTAAGCTGTATCAGCCTTCTTCGTTGTGACTCATCGAGATCCAAACATGTGTTTTAAGCGGTGCGAAGTGTCATCAATTCGTATTCTATTAGAAGTAGAGCATACACGTCATAGATTAAACCAAATGGAGATAATCATGTATCCGTTTTGAACGTTGAGTTATATAACCACATTGCATGATGGATTTTGAGATACCAATCGCTCGCGTTTGCCATAGTTTCCGCTTCTTTTGCAATCAAAGACATAATATCTTGTTTGTTCATTCTACCAATCCATTTGTACTTGGTTTATACATAGTCGTAAACATATGCTTAATCGCTAAGCGTTCCATCAGATCTGCCCACACATCATTTGTGAATTGAGATCCGTTATCAGAGACAATTTCTAACGGAATGACGAAGCGGATAACGATGCATTCATATAGAATTCGTGCTACCTCTGTCTTGACCGAAGTCTTCAACGCTTGAACCTCTGCAAACTTTGTCAGATAATCTGTGGCAACTACAATAAACGGTGTACCCTTCTTGTAACTAGCAAAGTTCCCATCAAATTTATACCCCGTTTCTCAAATGAGCTTAATGGAGAAATGGGATGCAAGTTGGTGCTATCCGTATACCTATTGGCGAATGCTTGACACAACTCACAACGTTTACCGTAGTCAAAACTATCCTTGAACATAATTGGCTAATAGTATACAGCCGACAAGATATTTTCCACTGTATTACGTTACACAAAATGTTCCTCACAGAATCCTTCATGAAATTTTTGTAACAATTGTGGTATCTCTGTTCTCCCTATCGCGCGTCGGAGTATACCGTCTCTCCCGCAAAAGTACAACAGTTGACTAATCAAATTGTAAGACCGACTTTAATGTGCATTGTGTCATAACTTGTTTGGTTGCACTCTCCGAGCAATTCATACCTTGGAGATATCATGATATCTATATACTCCTCTGATTGATTGTCAACGTTAACTGACATCAACGTTGCGTCAAAAAAATCATTGTCCTTGGAAACAAAGTCCATCTCCTTCTCCATCCGTGAAAGAAAATCAACATTGCCATGTTTCGCACGCGCGCGATGTACAATTTCTAGGTCAAATTCTTGAAGTTGAATAATCCACCGTGCAATTCTTTCCGTCACTTTTGGCTTGTTGAGAAGATAAATCAAAGCTTGATGATCTGTTACCTCCGTCATTCGCATTCCAAGCAAGTAATGCCAAAATTTCTTCAAAACAAAAATGACGTCTAAACCTTCTCATTTGCTGATTGTGTAGTTCATTTTTGCTAACGTGAGTTGACTACTTGTATAATATATGGGGTGGTCATATACCTATGTATCCAACTGTGCCAAGATTGCGCCCATTACTTCTCCGAATGCATATGTAAAAACAAAAACTGGTTTCTCTCAATTTGGAGTCTGTAGAATTGGTGCTGACAACAATGATTGTTTGAGCGTACCAAAAGACTCTAATGCCTTTAGTGTGGCTTGAAGAGGTGGACTGTAATACTTTAAGAACCTAGTTAAAGGTTTGGCAATCATAGCGTATTGGTGAATGAACCGACAATAATAGCAAGTTATTCCCAAAAAGACTCTAATTCCATGTTTGGTGGTAGGAAAGTACGCTACTAAAATAACCTCTATGTTCTTTGGATTTGTACCGATTCCCTCCTTGGAAACGATGTGACGCACTAATTTACTGGATGAAAATTCAATCTTTGTTTTTTCTGCGCTTAGTGTCAATCCTGATTCATCTAAGCACTCAAAATCCTTCTCTAACTTCTCTATGTGAGAAGACCGATCTCCATAAATTCCAAAATCATCCATAAACACTCATACAAAATATCCTAAGAACGGTTTGAGACTTTATTCATAAGCCGTTGAAAAGTAGCCGGAGCTTTGCAAGAGTCCAAATGGCATTATCTCATAACAAAAGGTATTCCATGGTGATGTGAACGTGGTATTCAGTTGATCTTCCTTTGCGATTCGCACTTGATGATACCCGCTGTAGCCATCCATAAAAGAGTACAGTTCGTGGCCCCCCACCTCCTTGAGAACCTCGTCATAAAACGAAATGGGATAAATATTTTTCTTCGTGAAGTCATTGAGTTTCTTGTAATTTACACAAACTCGCAACTTGCCATTTTTCTTAGGAGCTAACGTGATGAGAGATACTCACTCAGTGTTTTCCACCGGTCGGATGAAGCCAGCTTTTGGTAGTTTTTTCAACTCTACTTTCACTACCTCAGCGTATTTGGTATTCATACAATAAGGTTTTTGCAAGATCGCTTTCGCATTCTAGACAAGCTCAATTCAATGTGTTTCTAAAATAACTTCATGTAAATACTTGTAATTGAAGAAGAATAGATGAATGAACTTACGTAGCAGGCGGTGAATACGTTCTCACTCATGAAGAGACAATTCTGCGCCAAGTCGAATCTAAGTTAGTCTCCAACCTATCTACTCATTTGTCAAAATCGATTTCTCCCTGATTGGCGTTGCTAGTAATTTTTTCTTTAGTTAAGCACTTCGTGAAGCCTACCAACAGCGCGGCCCGTTTCAAGGCGTTCCAAAGAGAATTGAATTAGTTGCTGTAATACAGATTCAACTCAAGTTTGCGGATCGTACATCGGCGCTAAAACGGGTTTAGTGGCTGCAAGTATTATAGTTTGGAAGCCGTTGAACTAGAACGCTTCGCCGGGAAGCGAAGAGAAGTATAACCTCTGTGCTCAAACGGAAAACTGAGTTTCATCGTTAGCCAATCAAGAAGCGGTCCGGTTAGCCTGCTAGGACATTCTTGGATCTTGGGTCAAAAAGATGAGACTGGCAGCGAAAGGAACTTTCCTGACGGTTCACTGCATGATGACACTTGCCCGGGTCTATGGAGGCCCTATATAACGCCTATATTCCAGTTTGTGCAGCTAAAACCATTGAATTTTGACCTTGTTTAGATTGCAGAGTGATTCCAAAACATACACAAACCAACCAATCAATTTTAACAAGTTTTTTGCAGTATTGAAAATCAAGGCTTACAATGAACAGTAATAGTTGTTTGAACGTTGAAACAAAACCTTGTGACATATAACTTTGCATGGTCGCTTTGTAACGGATTTGGTAGAATCCGATCGGACTTCAAGCAACAAATTACCAAAATTGTAGTTAAATAAAATAATGGTGCAAATGATTTTAACCCAACATAATTATTTAAGAACTTTTAATAACTTTTGGAAGTAGAATGTTAAATTTTTATTACTATTTGATTATGCCACACATATGAAGAAAAAATATTATTAAAAATACTATTTTTGAAATGATGTAACTCCTTGGAAACCAAATACAAGATATAGGTAACTCTATTGAAATATATCGGCAAATGGGAAACTATGATGATTGAGAACATGAGTCACACCACTCAATTCTCGAACTTCGAACCATGTCAACAAGTAGGTGGACAAGGACCGATTTTTGTCCTTCGTGCAAAGGGTGCATACAAAATAAAGAGCGATTGTATTCTGCGCATGCCCCAAAGGCGTCGCTCAGAACAATAGAATTAAGCATTTAATATTCAATGCACTATCATAATGATAAATAAAGTGATAGAGACCATGGGGCACACGACTTCATTCTCGAACTTCGAACTGTGTTAGACAGGACTCTGTGTGGTCTTCCCATCAATTTTCGGTGCATTAAGTGGTTCTTCGTGAAGAGGAGTGAGTCTACGTAGTTCACTTCGTGGTTTCTTGTGTGCCGTATCCAAGGAAGACCTTGGTGGATGTACCGAGTACATTCATCTCTCCAGGCGTGCGGTGCGGGGACCCAAATGAAAGAGCTCCCACACACGCGCAAAAAGAGTACATTTATTTCCGACACTGAGTAAATTATTGCACTAGCCTGCATGGAGCTTTACGAAAAAAACCTTTGAGAATTAGGGAACTTACACCTTTTTATTCTAGTGAGAAAATTAATTGAAGGACCGTATCGTGACACAAATCATTTCTGGAACTATTCAGGGTGAGGTTTATAGACTCTGAAAGTTTGTTCCTGAGAATTCGAAATTTCCAGAAACATTATCATTACTCGTGGAACAAGTTTAGAACAAACTCTTCTCTCGATCAATGCATTACTTCTCCCCACTTCATACCACTACAAATTGGGAGAGCATTGTAATCAGCTCAACATCCGAATTGTGGGCAGGAAGGGCTTTCCTCTGCAAAATCGTCTCAAGCCTGCCAAAGGTTGAGCCGGATCGAAAAACGGCTCAACCTTGATGCTCGGCGGGTGAGACGCTGGTGTGGATTTCTGTCCGGGCCGAGAAGGAGCCAAATCGAGGGAGCGAGGAAGTGTGAGTTTTCTGTGAAGGACTTGGGCAGTGTTCGGAAGCAAACAGTTTCTGCATTTAGATTCCGACGCGACAGTCCGAGTGGGTAGTTTATTGAAGGCATGGTCGGCCAGAGGTGCAGTCACACCCGTCTTCTCACGAGGACATCGTTAGTGCTGTGGTCGTCTGAGCTTATCTCGCCGTTCGATTGGCGGCATCCGGACGGAGACGTTAGTCGCTGAAAACAGGACTTCCTGTCCCTTCAGGCCTCCCTCGAGATCAATACGAACTCCCGGAGACGCCCCAATGAAGACAGACACGTGTCACGCAGTCCGGATGAGCCCAGGTCACTCCGCGCGCATTATTTCCCCCCCAGGAATCAAATCTCCACTCTTTTGTCACTTGATTTTGTTTACTTCTGGCGGCCTTCAGACGAGAGTCGCAACATCCGCAGTGCCCCGTGCCATGGATTGCCGAGTGTTCTCGGGGGCAGTAGGGCGTCGCGAGATGGAGCTCGGCTTCCAAACAGCTCATGTCATTCACTCATCTTCAGAGATATTGATCAGAAGTTTGCAGCTCGTCATAACTTTTTGTTTGCCACTGTCGATTACGTGAGAAATTCGAAAGGATGGGATATGCACTCGGCCAGATGCACTGGCTGTTGATTGCATCAACATAAACAGTCGCTTCCGGAAACGGCATTTGCTTTTGCGGGGACTGCAGGAGGTGAATTCATATCTTGACTCGCTAAACAAATCAGCACCTTTGAACACTGATTTCTTTTTGTATGTCGATACAAGAGTGTACTATGGAGGCATAGCAGAACTGTATAAGTAAATGTCAGCAATGATTTTCTCTGAGGACAAATAGATTGCCACTGATCTACTGTGAACATGGATCAGACTAGAACCTGTTGCTCATATACTGCGCGTCCCTACATCATGCTGCAAGTTTGGATAGAATGCACTAGAACGAGATTTAAGGCGCCGGAGCTGGACTGATGGGTCCCCTTCTAGTTCCTGATGGTGGGGAGGGAGGAATTACAACCCAAGGTGTCCGGCCGGTAGGAGCCTTTCTGGGTGGTGGCGGCGCTGTGGCCAGTTGAGTCACTCGAAGCTGCCGGCTGGTGCCTACTGTCACCTCTGTCTGGTCCACAGGAACATCGACTGAAGCTCTCTCTTGCCTTATCACGTCGATTTTTTTCGTCCGTTCAAGTTCTGGCACTAATGCTCTGTCTGTGAAAATCTTCCCCTTGACCTGCCATACATACATCTCGACTGAAGAACTTCAGCCATCAGGTCAAAGCAAAAATAATAATCATTCCGTTAAAACGGCGAGTTGAAAAGTAGCCACACTGGAATGGGGAATGGATTGATGCCTAAACGATGATATCGCAGATATAAAAATACAAAAAATACAGATATATAGCTCTGGCTGTCACACAGAGCTATACATCGTGACCTCTGGGGAGCAATTTGTGACATTAGCTGAAACTACTTTACGATGTAGTGACCTCTGCGGATCTCTCTGCCATTGTCCACTGTGAAGGGTAACGAGCTGACAGCTCATGCTTCCGAGTGGCTAAAACAAACCTTTAGTGTATCTCCCCGTTCAGCAAAGGATGTTAGTACTAAAGTGGATGAACATATCATCACATCATTCACGACAGCTATTGTTTTCTCACACGCAGCTATGACCATCATAGGTAGGATGTCTACTTGAACAGTTCACTCTCCTATACACACGAACATTCTTCTGTAGAAGATATTATAATCCGGGTACAGAGATTGAATAATGGCTCTCTTGGCATGTCATAACTGGTTAAAGAGCAGAGAGATGTTTCCCCTTCATTGTCCCCTTCCCTGGAGAGGTGGCGCCGCTGGTGCAAGATGGGGTGTGGCGCCCGGGTTTGGTTGTCTAGGTGGCGAAGGTACACTGCCATAATCAGCAGCAAGAAGCCGTGTGAGATCACTGTAATCCTCCTGTCTGATGGCGGAGCCCAACTCGCGAGTGGCAAGGATTTCACGTCCTTTGATTATTGCCCTCTCTGTCGAGCTTCTCACTTCAACCTGCCATACAAATTGAAGAACTTGAGCTTATGACTCACAAACTTCTAACATTCATATCCCTGTAGCATAATCTGACAGGAATATGTTAGAAGGGATAAAAACCGTGCAGTTCAGACGATCATAGCGAGGTGTGCACCCTCTACACAGGTGTAGTGATAGTGGTAAAATCGCCACACTTGTCCTTCTGCTTTGTACGCAAGAAGGCTGGAAACTCTTTTATTGTATGAAAGCACTGCACATACTATAGCCATCTAAAATGAATTAAAATATGGAGATCATCAGACTAGTAAGACTCGGTTGCACGAAGCGTGCGTACGTCCCGTGTCTGTTACAAAATTTATTTCACTTACAAATTACAAGAGCTGAACTCGTACTTCTATATCAGTATGTTAACCTACTCCCATGATACGTACATGATATGGATCGGAATTCAGTCTGCTCTACCTAGTCTCTTAGAAAACCTTCAGCCTTCCATAGGAAAAGATCTAACTAAGGACATGGGATGGAAATTGTGACCAGGTGCTAAGCTTATTTCAGGCGGTAGATTCCCTTTTGATTCTAATTCGAAGTTCCATGGATCTGTCCTCCTACATAATACGAGGAGGTGGGATCGAGTACATCCACGGGGTATTGCCGCGAGGAGGATGTTTTGGGGTCCTCAAGCTGGGAACTCGTTCATAATCCAAAGTAAAAATCATCTCCGATGGGAAATCATTATAAGCTTTGGACTTTCTGCGGCTGGGGGACACTCTAAGAAGTTTTCGCACGATGTTAGTCGCGCCCGAGCTCCTCAGATGTTCCTGCCAGACAGGTAGAATCAAGCGGAAAGCTCAACATAGGAGCATTCTAAGGAACCTCATGCATCACTGTAACCACCAAATAATGACTCCACCAAAACAACACAGTTTTGCTGTCAGATGAAGGTATCTCCTATCTTTTAGCTGTTAATCATGTAGTAGGTTGTGCAGTACTTAATGATGGCTGTAGAGTATCCTTCGACAAAACGGATCCTTGGATGAACCTCACGATTTCATGATCAAGAAGCTGAGTACATTCTACTACGCCCTCAGAAGGCCCCAGATACAGATTCAGAAAGGTGGTGGTGCTCCAGGAGGGGAGGGAGGGGAAGAATCAAAGCCACTCGTTGTCGGTGGTGGTGGTGATCCTGGAGCTTCAGTCGGCGGTGGAATTCTACGTCGACTAGGAGCAGGACCCAAAGGGGTCGAGAGACTCTTCGGAGGTGGAGGTGATTTTGTTTGATAATCCGCAACAAAAACAGATCCCTCGACCTCATCAATGTCTAAAATCTCATCGCTGTCGCTTGAGAACAGCTCTGAAACATGCAACAGCTTCCGTCTTTTCACAATCGCTGTGTTTGTCAAGCTCCTTCGTCTCACCTGCCAAACCTGTGGAAACACAAGCTAAGCAGGAAGTTCAATTGACGAGCTGCAACGTCTGATGGAAGTTCCCCTTCCTTTCAACACTAGCACAATGATACTTTCACCTCTAGCGACAATGTCACTGACTCCTTGTTTCATGCTACTATACTTATCTCCGTTTGCACAAGATCAAAATCTTGATCTTGATATATCTGCTTAGGATCCCTGGCCTCTGTTATCTTGCTCCACTAGAGGCATCTTGGATACTAATTATCACCGTGTTAGGTTTTAACTTTTTAAACAACACAATGAGAGACTTAAAATGTTCTCGTGAAAGCTGAATGTCTATGTTGACAGAATTCGTCGAAGTGAGCTGCAGAGGGGCATATCCAGACATCTCAATATCACAATTGCCGGACATTCCCATACTTAAAAGAAAATGTAAAATATGATGTTAAACGTCAGACACCCATTACAGCAAAGCAATTGATAAGAATTAGTCAAGACTGTAGGCAGTCGCATTATCGGTGAAAACTATGGCTCAAGAGTTTGTAGCCAAGGCACGCGAGTAGGTAAATTTCATACATATATGTTCAAACAAGAATCTTCTACAAGAACACTACACAAGAGAGGAGTCATACAAACTGCCCCTCTCACAAGCCTATAGCCGAACAGTACACTTTCCTGAGGTATTTTGAACTTAAGTACAATTACAGCTTCGGCTTAGAATGTATGAGGGTGAAGGCACTCCACATACAAGAGAAACCTGAATTAGAGTATCCGTTTATGAAGCTAAGGTCAAACGTTCAGTGTTGGTGTTGCAGGGACGTCAGTAAGGATCTGGACCCGAGATACTGCTGGTGCTGATCGGAGGTGAGTTGGTTTCCTACTGTATCTCGCAGCAAATACATTGTTGCGGACCTCAGAAGTGCCTAAGCAATTATCCCGTCGTTTGAGGACAACTCAGAGACAAGAACAACTGTCATCCTCTAATAGTCCTTCTGTCTCTGAAGCTCCACCTTGTCACCTGCCTGACATCTGAATCTACGAGCTAAGCTGCAGTCAAACTCAACTAATGAAAAAAAACGTCTGATGGTCCCAGGCAGGAGAGATGTAGTTCTGACCATAAATGAAAACATCAGTTACTTGATGTATTTTACCAATTTCAGAACACAAAGGCTAAATGATCAATGATCATACAATAAGTTTGGCTTCTTCATCGCACAAAACAAAACCTACGCTGGTCACATATTGTGACCTAATGATATTATGCAGGGGTCATCGTACAACACAATGAAACACCAGGCACTTCTTGTGAGGTGTTTCAAAAATTTCTCCTTGGAGAATTTGATCACGGTACAATGGACAAGAGCAGATCCAGACAATTCCACCGGACAATTGAAGTACATTCCTTGGAAAAAGGCCCTGACAGACATCCACACAGCCAAGCAAGCTGGTTTTGTTGGACCGATAAAGCAAACAGAATCGGCTATAATGGTATCGTTTAGAGCATGCACATAGGCTGTATGGATCTACTTTGACAGAGAGGGGCATTTCCACTTTTTGTGTCATTTAATAAACCGTTATTAGGTTGATATATATTCCTCTTATTCATGGCTTTCTTTAAGCCAATGCCCACGGTGTTACATGGTGATGGTCCTGATTCTTACCACAAGACTCTTATAAAAAGGATTTAAACAGGACCTGCAGCTCAGGAACCTGTATCTATCAATATACTGCACCCGCTAGGTGGATGCTCCAGGGGATACAGCTGGACTAACGGGCTTTTTCGTCTTCTTTGTTGGGGACGGGGGATTCACAACTCCCCAAGGTGTGCGTCCAACAGGTGCCACCCTGGGTGGTGGGGGAGCTACCAGGAGGTGGCGTGTGGTACCTGATATAACATCTGTAGTGTAGATGGAGGGATCGGCAAAAGATTTTTCTGTATTAATAATGTCCAGTTCTTTCGTAGTAGTGAGAAGTTTACGTCCTGTAACTACTGCTGTCTGTTGGACATTGCTCCACTCGACCTGCCATACATCTCGACTGCACAAACTTCAGCTTCAAGTGAAAACAAGTTTTCCTACGTCTATAATAGTTTGATTAGAATATTTCATATCAGAGAAACATTTTTAGAAATCAGAATTGGATGATCAGTTTTAAGAGATCCTGATATGATCACTAACAAAAATCTATGTTAATGGTAGCCTCATAAACACGTCATAAGGACTAGCCAAACCGTGAGCGATATTATCCTCTTCCCGAAGTGCAGGTATTCACAAAATTGAATAACAGTCTTCCACCCAGAATCAACTCATTCCTCAGTTCCTTCCATCTCCGATCAGACGGACCGAAACAATAGTGGAAAAAAACCTCTCAAAAAGGATTCACTCGTTAGAGCAAAATCTGTTTCACGAGCAGAAGATAAAACTCCTCCTCATCCCCCTGGTGCTGGCGGTTTCCCCGCGGGTGTATTGCCAGGGGTTGGTATTTTGGGTGATGGAGGTACTCCACCATAATCAGCTATGCTAATCTGGTCGACGTCAGTAAAATCCTCCTCTCTGTTGGTTCTGCTCGATTCTGGGATGGACAGAATTTCACGTCCTGTGACAAGGGTCGTGACTGTCAAGGCCTTCAAGGTAACCTGCATAGAGAGTGTAGAACTTGAGTTTAAAACTCAGAAACTTCTTACACTCAATATATCCGTATCATGGACTAACAACAATCTGTCGGACTCCTAGACCAGAGAAGAGGCATACAAACTACTACTCCCACTACCAATCCACTCCGCAAGCAGACCTTGGATTAAAGGCCAATTGGCTGAGTCAATTTCGAATCTGAGAAACAAAGGAAAATGAAAATTTGTTAACAACCTCCATAAACTACAGCACTCAAACAGCAAACCAAAGAGACAAGAAACAAAAAGACTTACATGAAACATTTCTACGGTACATGCGTGTACAGAAATTTATTACATTTACACATTACAACACTATAAGCTATATCCCTACATCAGTTTTCTAACTTATGTACCTGTTGTACAGCGATACAGATTGCCCTACCTAGCTTACTCACAAACTGTAAGGAACTCTATTCTTGGTACGTGTCTGTCATCTCCTGATTTCCGGACAAGGAGTCTAACCATGGAGACCACGCTCTGAACTTCACGAAGTCCTATGGAGAAACCTCAGCAGGTTCTCCGGGAGATTCAAGAATGAGATTCAGATTCATCTGGTTTGCTACCTTAAAGAAGGAGGTGGGGTGGAGTAACTCCACGGGGTGTTGCCGCGAGGTGGTTTCTTGGGGGGCCTAATAGCTGGACCGCTCTCATAATCCATAGCAAAAATCATTTCTGATGCAAGGTTAGCACTAGCATCCTTTCTGCGGCTGTTGGACACTCTAAGACGTTTTCGTACGATATTAGTCGCGCCCGAGCTCCTTACATGTACCTGCCAGACAGGTAGAATCAACATAGGAGCACGCTGAAGACTCTCAGAAATGAAGACTTTGCATCACTGTCGCTACCCACTGATATGAGACCCAACCAAAAAAACAAGCCTCACATACAGCTGAATGTATCTGCTGTCCTTCGCCTCTTCTTCCATAGTCTTTAGCATTGTCTTCAAGAAAACTGAGGTGTAGATTCCCTTCACGAGGGCACGATCGACAACAGTTCATCCTACAACGCTGAAGGGGTTCTATTCTGAGATTCTGGGGATGGAGGACGAGATTCAAAGTCATTCCTTGTTGATGGTGATGGCGATGGCGGCGATCCGGATTCTAATCCTGGGGGTGTAGCCGGTGTTGTTGCAGGGCTGTCACGAGGATGAGGACCAGAAGGAGTGACAATGCTTCTTGGGGGTGGGGGTGATTTTTGGTTATAATCCTCAGCGAATATGACGTCCCCGTCCTTATCAACGTCTGAGATTTTATCGCTGTCGACCATGGACAACTCAAGCAGCAGCTTCCGGCTTGTCAGAACCGCTCTGTTTGTGAATCTCCTCCATCTCACCTGCCAAACGTGTGGACAAACAAGCTAAGCAGGAAGCCTCATTCACGAAGATGCTGACTGATGGATGGGCCCTCTTTTCTTTGCCCTCCTGGGACTAGGACAAGGGTAACTTGCGGTGAGCTTCCCAACCACTTCACCTCTGTTACAGGTTTCGTGTGGACTTTCAGTAGGATATGGGGGTTTAAAGATGGGGCTGATTACACAACAGGTGTAGCACTTGCAGAAGAAGAAGGCAAACTTAAGCTTGGCTATGTTGCAATAACCTGGGCCTTCCTCTTGAACAAGTCAGTCGATTCTGTCCAATTATATAAAATTGGTCCATTCTGCCTAAATTAGGTAGCATCATCTTTCGTTGGTCCTGAGCATCAGGTAATAAAATTGAATGCGACTGTGTTCACTTTTTCCGATCAGTCTCTACATTCAACATTCCAGTTGGTGTATACTGCGCAGAAAGAACGACAGAAGAAGGGTACCACAACAATGTCATTCCAGAAGAAAGAAACGTAGCTTGAAGGACTCAGTTATGATCCTGGGAAGACGCAGTAAAGTGTGCAGCGGTGAGACATGTGTTTCGCTTCCTGCAATAATAACAGAGGAGGCTCTGTTTGAGCTACGCAGAATCAGTAGACTCATGTTCGACATGATTATGATGGATGCGTAGACACCATGCTTTAGTCCAGACAGTGGGACCGCAGAAAGCAGCAATCATGCCCAAGAAATTCTCCCTTTTTACAAAAGTATGAGACCTGTAGGGCAGAACTTGCCCAAGAAATTCTCCCTTTTTACAAAAGTATGAGACCTGTAGGGCAGAACTTGCTTCTCACATTGGTTGGCCTGCCTGCCTGCGTGCAGCACAGAGCTGACAGGGCACGTGCCTGAATCTAAATCATTTCTGTGTCAGGAAGCGAGGATAGTGGCATCCTAGCACTGGGCCACATTCATGGAATGCGGCATATAAACTACTAGTTGTTGCTGAGAGTCACATGTCAGTTGTTAACCCACTGTTCATTACAGGTGTCATATTAAGCTCAACTGATCAGAATCTTGATCCATGTCGATCGTTTACTAGCGCGTAACAGCGAGTCAAAGCGAACTCTCGTTTCTCAGAGTGGTTCCGTCCTCATCCGTGAAATCATAGTACTCAAATCTTCCGCATCACAGGAGAACACAGCGGAAGAGAATCTCAATAAGATTAGTGGATGACTACGAAGGGTTTACAAGTAGCCGGCAGCCAAGCAGAGTGCGTTTAAGGACAGTCTTCAGCATACAAAGAAAATTAAAATCTCGCTCACGATTTCAATCAAAGCCTGAATATAGTCATAGGAAAGTTTTGCCACACAGAGGAGATAACATCCTCTCTAAGCCAGTAATATGAATCAGAATCTGATGCCACCTCGACACCACAGGTGATATTTCACCTCCCAAAGCCACATAACAATTGTCGACAAAATTACAACCTTCTATCAGAGCACCTCAAGAACTGGCGGATCATAAGAATGAGATGAAACTTAGAACCTTAAGTGGACATGGTAGAAAATCCCGCAGCAGTAAAGGCAGGTGCAATCTACTCGATCTTGGGTGAGGACACACATTCTGTCTTACTGATCTGACCTTATAAGATATCACGCACTGTCCGGAACAGGTTTCGAACAGTCGAATAGGTTTTTGGAGCAAGTTTTCAACATTCGTCAACAATGGGTGATGATCGTTGACGTCCAGAATGGGACACGGTGAAAGAAATTTATACTAGGAGGGTCAAAAGAGTAACAATATGACGTACCGTTTCAGCGCCACATCCACTGCCAATGCAGGGCAGACTGTCCACAGCCGACAGAGCTTCACCTGTGGATCCAAACATGAATAGATTGTGAGATGCAGTGTGCAAACATATCGTACCTGCTTTCTGTCCGAACAGCAAACTGCTGACTGTAGAGAAAACAGGGACCTCGAAATCAATATCAAGGACAGCTTGATTAACGTGTTTGATTCGGAACGCTGTACAGTCTCGTGACTTCCATGCATTTGCGTGTCTTTGGGAATCTGGTTGCTGTAGAAATCAATGCTCATATGACGAGCGATAAGGAGGAAGATGGACTGAAATACAGACAGATGGATGCGAAGGAAGGACAACCCGAATTCACCTGCAGAAGAGACGTGAACTGCAGACAGCAGGAGCACTGTCCACACCGTAACTCCCAGCAACAGCATACCTCCCATTTCTCTTCTCTCCAAAATTCCAAACTGCGGTCGGCTTGAACAAGCCCCAAGCACCGAGCACCAATGAGTCTCAAGCGTTGATGGTGCCTAAAGCAAAGTGAGTTGCTGTTGGGCTCAATCAATCAGGCGCAACGAACAAGACTCCTATCGTCGGCTTGATGCTTCAGTACCCGTCGTCGTGACCCGAATTGTTTAATTGCAGATATGCACAGCGGCTGAGCTGAACTCAGCTCAGCTCAGCTCAGAGGGCAAGCAAAGCCTTCGGTCTGAGTCGGGGAAGCAGCACTGCTTTAATGACTGGAGCCCTGTACTGGTCCCAAAAGACTAGCCAACTTCAGAGTTTGCATTTGTGACAAGGTTTGGGCCGTCTTATATAGACAGAGCTGACGTCGTCAGCAGACATGGAGATCATGAGCATTAAGAGAGGCCGACCACTCATGATGGAGGCTGCTCCCTTGCACAATCAGAATTGGGAAGTCGGACACCTGTTGGGCTGTTGGACCGCGTTTGTTGACTTGAGTCGCTCACCGTCTCATCTCTGCCGTTAATGCTGCCGGGAGACGAAGCAGCAGCAGCAAGCGGGACTAGGCCTCTCTCTCAGCTGGTCCTGGTGAGCGCAATAGCACAGCCAGGCCTGCAACATTGTCATGCTTCGTTGCCGGACATGCCTCCCAAGGTGCTGCTAATATTTCAAGTTTACAATTGTTCTTGAGTGTTCAGTCTCCTCCCTGGAGCCCCTCCCTTCCTCCCTTCCTCCAATTCCATTCTCTGCTAGTTCTTGAGCTTGCACTTCACGCCGTCAGCTGCCACGGGCAGCGTACCGTAGTTTCCACTCAGCTCCAACGAGCTGAGTAGCATAGATTTGTGGGGCCGGACCTCCCCTGGCCCTGGCCCTGCCCTTGCCCCTGCGGTGGGTCCTCTTGACCGCCTTTCTCCTCGGCATCTGGACGGACGTTGTTGTTCAGTCAACGTCAAGAAAGGCCCGGGGGGGTTATGTCAACCGGCGGGGGGATGGATGGCCAGCCCAGCCCCATAGCCATCGCCATCAAGCAGAGTCTCTCGCTCTCCATCTTCTCGGAGGGCCCCTAGTCCGACAACTCTGCCATCGGCATTCCGATCAGCGATCGTTAATCAGATTCAGTCCAGTTCTCTGATTACTCAGACAAAATTATGTAACTGCGTGGGAGACTGCTTGCAGTGTGATGTGAGCTTCGCTTAAACGAGAAATGCAAATTGGCTTTAATTATGACAAATGGATGATTTGTGGATTGATCAGATGATGCCTGGCAGCTTTTTCCCAACGCAAGCACGTTGGAGCCAGACACTGCCAGCAAAGTATCCGGGAAAAAGCTCCACCTACGTCACTCCGACTGCAGCGACTGAAGCATGTTTTATTCGCCTGATCTCTATCTGGATCAACCTTCTGTCGCACGTAAAGCTCTGCTTCGGGTTTAGAACTCTTCAGCCGAAGGAAGATGGATCTTGCCTTCCAATGTTCTGGCTCTCCGTCCAAAGCTCTGCCCAGAAAATTCCAGCTCCAGAAAGCGGTCGTCGATCACTGCAGACGGTCGAATTCATCGTCCGGTCAAAGGGAGGCACCTTTTTGTCAAGCTTGGACTTTGAAATCGGAAGCCCCTGGAAATTCTTGTTCGGTCCGTCAATGTTCAGTTCTAGCTAGAACTCAGAGTTTTGAAAAGCAGACTGTACCTCGGACCTTGATTCCAGTGCCACCAACACTCGGAAAGAGACTCAAGAACTCAAGTTCTGGACGCAATGCTGTGTGAGAGAGTGTGTGTGTGTCGACTCGGTTTGTTGACTGGGTCCGCAGATCATGCTTTCTGCTGCTGGTTAGAGGCTCAGAGGATGCATTACTATGTACGATCAGAGATCTGCAGGTCAGAAATTCATTGCCACATTTAGGACCACCTTTAGAATATGACAAACGAGAGATTTTGCTAGGTGGCGGTTCGCCCTGGCCAATAGCCAAATATCCTCCTGTCAGAGCGTTGCGTACTTCCGAATAATGGGCACAACGGATTCCGGCCAGAGGAGAGGTTGGCCAAATTTTGAGGAAGCTGAAGGAATTAGATACACTCATGTCGTTGATTGAGTTCTGACTGCACTGCACAGGCTGCTCGGAGCAAACCTTCCAGAAAATACATAGAAAGGTTCTCAGGGACCACCATGAAGAACTTTGCTGCGCACAAGTATTAGATGTTTAGCGAATATCGTCCACTGCAACTCCTTTTCCCCAAGTTAAGCTCATTTTACTAGTATCGTGCACTGACTCCATGCCCGAGGAGACTGAACTCTTGCTTGCACTCGACACACGAGCACGTGCAGTTGGAGTTGTAGTAGGGCACGAACTTCTAGGTCTCAAATATTCCTTCCCATATTACTGAGCTGAGCTTAATGTCACGGAGCGCACACGCTACAATTGCTGCGTTCATGTTGTTCCGTGGCTAGATTGAGCTCGGCAGTAACAAGCATGACCAGATTCACCACACAGGTTCGTGGAAGCTCGGGGTATAATACTCCGTACTCGGCCTCTAATTCTCTGGCTTGCATAAATTGAGGTGACACGATCTCACACACCACGCTAGCTTTGGCTGTGGCAATGATCAACGCTCGCTGCTGACCTCGTACAGTGCAACCAGCTGCACGGTCCAGGGAGATTGATGAAATCTCCAGGGTTTGTTACTTTTGCTCGTCCTTTGATCAGAGTCCTGATACCACCCGCACTGAAGTCTAAAGCATATTGTCATGCTTATCTTGTTCCGTACACAAGTACCACATTCTTTCTCTCTCCTTCTTTATGCTTTCTGCGCTCTCTCAGTGAATAGCTACCACCTGGACATGCCGAATGTCACAAATCCATCACAGCTTGTGACTGCAAGCTTGGGTTACAATTGAAGAGTACGAAGATCCGTGCAACTCCTGACTTGTACTCCTATCGCTGTAGTGAAAATGTGGGATCAATTATTCATAATTCTTCTCGACAATCTGAACACACTTGTTAAAGAGGCATATCATACCTTCTGTGAAAAGACCAGAAAGGAGAGTTCACTCTACTCTGGTGTTCAGGGGAGATATTCCAGTCTGCAAGCATGCAGCCTGGATCAGTGGGCAGTCGACAAAACTTCATTTATTGGGGTACGAAGGTGTAAATAATGTTTGTGAGCAGAGTCCTTGACCAAAGAGATTGTGGTCCCATGGGTATCCCAGAGCTTTGCAGGGATATTGAGGAGACAGTGAACAAATCAGGGAATTTCTGTCAGGCGTTTTTTAGATTTCTCACATTCCATACTTACTCCGTTACAGTCAGTCCATTCACTAGGAAAGTTTCTCATTGGTTTCAAAACCAGTGACTGGATCTCTCCAGGAAGCAAGCATGTTCTGTTAGCTCCAAGTGCAACACGAACGGTGTCCGAGAAATCAATGACCTCCTCAATAATAGCCGATGAATCAAGTCTCAGAACCCTTTTGGATATGCTAACCTTTTGTACTAAATTGAAAACAGTGTGGTCCCAGATGACACTCGTGCTGACAGAAACTACTGAGAAGAGGATTCAACAAGAGTAACGATCAGGAAACCTGCACTATACGTCTCAAATTCTCTCACATGCTCGCTCCTTCTTTTCCATCGTCCAATTATCACACTAACTTCACAGACTTGGTCAGCTGGTTCTGCTCACTTCGTCCTAAATCTCGCAGAGGATGTTCGATATTACGGATCAAGGCCTTCACTGTCACAAACATTGACTGTTATAAATTGAACAGAAATCTGTCCGTTGCAACTGGTTCGAACATGTGCTCATCTCTTCTCAAACCTCCATCCTCCGCCGGAGTAAGGAATGCCTGTCCTACAACCTCATCTGTCAGTGCACTGTTTCGATGTGTCATCCATCTATCTTCCAAGAAAGAACTGTGTTCGCCCATTCCTTTCACAGCAGAGGACGATTCCTACAGCGGTGACCGACTTAGATCAGTCCCAATTGTTCTTCATACTTTGGAGATTTTGAGATCATCCAACCCTACCCTCCAGTTGCCCACCTGTTCGAGAATTCAGTTATTTAGGAAGCCAATCATCTGTTATCGGCTGGCCCCAGCAGATTACCGGCCTCGAATATGCCATCCGGGGAAGGTGTAAGTTGTCCACACCTGATTTCAGGAGCTTTTTGTGCCGGTGCCATGGGACTCCCAAACGTAGAGGAGGTTCATTACGAGATAAGCTGAGTAAACTGCCAGCACTGCATGGCCATGCAGGCTGGCAGTTTCAATCTTGTTTCCTCCAGTAAATGTGATCACCTCAGTAATCTCAAGGTATAATTGAAGCCCTCGTGAAAGTAACATCACCGTCTGGGGTTGGATGAATCACAAGCTTCTCTAACTAACCAAGAAAGTGCACGCTCGGAACCAACATGACGAAAGCTGTCACCACCGGCCCCCCCTAAAAATTTCTCAACTCCAAAGTCACTGAAAAGAAAAATCAATTGTAGAGTCAATGTGCAAGGGCTAGGGTGCCGAACTGGTAAGTAGGCTAAGCTTTGAGTGTGAGACACATCGAGATTTCCGTAGATCTATCCAATCCCTCAATTCAATCAAACTCCAAGCATAAGAGGACAACTCGCACATCATCATCAAACTAAAATCTAAAACAGTCCACAGATCCTGTTCTGATTTCCTATGCTTACAACTGGACTAGCTTAGGGAGAAAAACACATTAGAAGACAACGTTTTGGCAATGACCAGGAAAAAGTGCCCACTGTATCTCCAATTCGTGCATATTCGAATATAATAAGACTGACGGATGGATATCTGACTGGACACGATTGAACGCTAATTTTGGGAGTTTCGACCGTTGATGCTGTATATAGACAGACCGCCTAGGCTCTTGCAGCTGCTCTCCTTATCCATGTCATTGAGCTTTCTGAGATTTCAATCATTACCAAAAGCGACTTAAATTGACCTGCTTTAAATGTCAATTCTTCCAAAGTCAAGCCCAGGTGCAATAAACTCCGACAGTCTTAGACGATTCTTGGGAGAAAATCGCATTGTACTGAAGCCAACTGCTGTCATTCTTTATGTATCAAAAGTCTTCCAACTAGCACTAGTACCAAGGGAGCGTCAATCTATGTCAATGGAAGAAGTGTTTTCTTCGGATCTACGAGGAAAAAGGTCGAGAGCTATATTATATGGTCTTACAAGGAGATTGTCAACAGCTGATAATGAGCCGCGGAACTTTCAGTCTACTTCCAAGGGCGGAAAGGGGATGCCTGTCCCTGTAAACACAAAAGTCTCGAACTCTGTGAAAGTTCGAGACTTCTTCAGAGATCCAGAATGTCAAATGCACGAATTCGCACCCAACTCTTGCACGAACGAACGAAGAATGAACAAACAACTTTTGAATGGAGTCCACCGACGCTACAGGAATCAAACTGCATGTCTGAAACTGAAGCTTCATTACGTGATCACACTCTAACAAGTGTTGTCAAAAGCAATGTTGTCTTTCAAGGACCGAAGTAAGTACATCCATTGGCGGAGACCATCGACCAAAATTGAGTCCAGTGTGGTTGAGAGATATTTGGATCACGCGTAGTCTATGTCCGAAGCCATGAAACGTGTCACATTGTCTGTCTTTAACCCAAATGTCAACTGTCCTAAGAGCTACATGTACAACTAGCAGCCATCATCGTGTATTATCAGTCAACGGTAATCGAAGAGCCCACAGCGGGTTCGGTATTCATTGCACTTGCAGCAAAACTCCCTAGTCAGGATAAATCGGTCCGCTACGTAGCCAGGGTTGAATCGAAGCCAGGCTCCTGCTCCAGTTTTAGTATATGGGTTTCGAACTTAGCTGGCCATGGGATCTGGTAGTACAATCTCGGTCAAAGTCGTAGTCACGAACGGTACAAAGTTCTGAAAGGCCATTTAAGACTGAACCATCATACCTTGTACTTGCTACACTATTATCGTAGATCGATGTGGAACAGTGAGCACACTCGATGTGTCGACTAGGTACTTCAGTCTAGTTCATTGCTTGGGTATTCCACAACAGCCTAGCCTTACAGCCCTGCTTCAATATGCTATATTGTAGAAGTAGGAGCTGGTTGCAAGTCTTACCAGGTCCTTCGTTGACTTACTTTCGTGGATCAGATGAGGATCGGAGGAGGATGGAAGTCGAAGCTCACTAGCCCGAGTCTCTCTGCGTCAAGAATCGGGGATTTATATGATTGGTTCTAACAGAATAACACTTGCTCGATGTTCTGCATATGTTGTACCTCCGTGGACGTTGCCTTGTACATTGAATGGGGGAGTATGTGTGATCATGACCACGACCTAGAGTGCGAAAGTCAAAACGTTCAGCTCTTGCGAACCATCCCTTCGAATTTTCACAAACCTGAACTCACCCGCTCCCACTACTTCGAAATAGTAACGAAATGTCAATGGTACATATTCCCATGATGACTATCTGGTTTCTTCAGCTGTCTTTTTCTGATCCATTAAAACTTAAGCTTGTAATCATGGGGTTCCCAGTGAAGTTCCTCTTGGTCTTCTCTTGACTTTCACAATCCAATACTAATCAGATTCTTCTCTTCGGATTGTTGCTGTTTTCTTACAGCACTCACTGATATGACCATATAACGAAGAACTTCTGTGATTAACCTACCCTTCACACTGGGCGACAGAGTTTTGGAATATACAAGCATTCCGGTTCATGTTTCGGACGTGTCAATCTGTCTCGACCCTGATGATGCGACACTAATACTGCAACTGAACTTCAGTTGCAAGTTCATTGTAACAGTCTGCGATTCTCTGGACCCCATTTTTTTTTATACCTCGATTTTCTAATCTCTGGAGAACCAAGATGCCCAGGCTGTTATTAAAGTCCCTTCTTCGTGACTTGGGAACATAGATGTCGCTTAACGACTTCAGAAAGCTCGACTGTCTGTCGACTCGACAGGGACCCATTCCGTGACAACTCGCAGGTAATTCCCATCACTCACTCCATGCTGTATTTACGGCTTTCTCGTTTATAAGGAAGCCTTCAACTTCTCCGAGTCAGAAGCTTGAAGTGTCTCAAAATGTTGATAGCTAATTTCAGTGGAATGTTCTAAAGGTACTAGAATTAACACAACCTTTTAGACCTCTTGTTATATCCCGTAGACTATCAATGTCTGAGTTGAATAATAGAGAGGACATCATCAAGACTTTGTCAATTTGCTTCCTTTTTAGTCTCTAGTGATTCCCCTTTGTGTATATTAACACTGAGGCTTAACACTGAGGCCAAGTATCTCAGTGTTAAGCACTCGGTAAAACATGCTTGCAAATAATGAGACTAAATCAGCTCAGTTTTGTGATTTGTTCCTGTATAGTATCGCATGCAATAGTGAAGTGTTCATGAAGCTTCTTTGGAACGAACGACAATACAAGAATGAAGAGAAAAGCAATTCTGAGAGTATCAGAAATCTTTAGAAGCATGAAGACTTGCCAAACGAATTCCAAGCTACGACTACATCTAAATTATTACACATCGTTCATTCCTGTCAACATCAAACAAATTCAAACTAAATCTTTCTCAGGTCAATCAGAAATTTGGATAAAAGGCTGATTCACTAATATCCCTCCGGCCAGACTGGCATTTTGACAGATCTAGATATTGATCTCGTTTGTCTGCATGATTATCTGTATACTTATGTTGTTAGTACCATCACTTCAAGAACATTCATTTCACGATATTTTCTTAAATACAGCATGCTGCTGTCCGTCAACTCACTCAAGAGCATGTAGCTGCATCAGAACCTGCGAATCTGCGTAGAGGGGATAAACTGGAAGGAAAGTGACACTGATGGACGCAAAGAGTGCCGATTGTGGCCGCCGTTCGAGGCAAGACCATACACATGTACACTCCTCACTAAATGCGCTGTGAAGAGGCCATGTCCGTATGTAGATCCGAATGAAAGACACTATCTTAGAACAGAACTGGGTCTGAGAGTACCTTAGTGTGTACTTAATGGTATCGAAGGTATCGTACTTCGCTGCCTGCAATTCGCTAGTCCAGAGGAAATAAAATGCTAACCGTGTCCACTGATATAACAGGACCTCGTACGAACTTGGTTCTGCTCAGGTCTTTGATACCCAGGGAATAACATCTTTCAACTGAAATTAGCTGATTGAAATCGTTCAAGAAATTTTAACAGATGTCACATATACATGCCAAAATAAATAAGGATCAAAACTGAATCTGCAGATGTATGCTTGAAGTGATTTGTAATAGACTTCATTCACACAAGGCTGAAAATTCGGGAACTGTTGCTTGTAGTCTTTCTCTTGGACGAGTTTTACATGAGAAGACTGGTGAAGAACTGTGGAGATAGTGCAAAAACTACAGCCAAACCAATTTGGAAAAATTGCGTGAAATTCAGAATAACCTGGATCGAAGTCTACCGAGTGGTCTGTAAACTTCTCGCCATAACCTGCACGTGACACAACGCAATAGAATTCCTCTATTTTAACAGATCTAACGTAATTACGAACAACTTTGCAACGGCAACTGATGATCACAATCAGGTGACTACAGAACTGAAAATCAAAGGTAACAAACATGAAGATAATACAAACAACCGTAGAAAGCCTGGTAGACGACTCCTCAACTGTGAGGGCAGTACAGTCTGTATGCGCTCTCTGAATCTGGCTTCTACTAAGAAATAAACGTTCGCATGGGAGGTTCGCCAGTTAGTGATAACACCAAACATATTACGAACACGAAGCTACAATACGAGAGTAGATTACGTGCCTGGTATATTTTGAGGTAGAGGTTGTCCGAGATTAAGTGCAACGCCACCACGCACGACCACTTTATCGTGTATATCAGGTACAGGAACGAGCCAAGCTACCATCAACTAACTAGACACAGGTTATTGAACTAGAAATCTGAAGTGTAAAACTTGTAACAATGGGCTCACTTTAACATATTTAACAATTGGCTCCTGTTATACGATACCCGCTGATCAACTCGTCCGCCTGGTCGCAAAAATCTGCATCCAAAGAACCACCCGAGAGCAACAACTGGTGCTGGATCGACTTGGATCTGGGTGTTGGATCAATTGCCTCCTTGGACCTATGTTAACACCGACTCCGACCGTAGTCACTGAACAGGATTTCAATTCATACTGCACGAGTTGACGGAGTCTTCCCTTTTCTTCCCATCGCTTTTGCTGTATTACTTCGTACACTGTCATTGCACAGGAAGGAAGGCAGAAGTGATAATATATACTGTATCTATAGACGTCTACAATGTGATAATCGGTCTGTTGATTTATTTTCGATCTACGTGAATATTTTTAGCCACGACATCCGAGACTCGTGTCCGAAGATATCCCAAATATAGCGTGTGCCATCTTTGACGGCTAGAGCCGAAGACTCTACAGAGACAACAGCAACCGAATCGGGTCACTGGAGACTCCTGTCTGCCACTTCGAGGATCCGTCTCTTCAGGACATGCTGCTGGCCGGACCGAAGTCATTCCAACATTGACAGTGGCCACGACATCTTCGAAACGAAGTGAGGTGACGAATAGACAGACTATCAGCTTCGACGATGAAGGTCAAGAAGCGAAAGCTCGTCGGTCCTCACAAGGGGAGCGCAGAGACGATCGTCTCTGATTATGTATTCTGATATTCTGAAGCGAGAAGACAAACCTGTGATATTGATCGATCTGAGTGCTGAAGGGCTGATAAAGTGCCTCGTTCAGCAAACTTTTTTGTGGCCGTCCAAAAATTATGGCAGTGGTAAAGGAGGCAGAGTTGACTTGCAGTGAGGCCGGTCCCGGAAGACGACTGCTGCTGCTGCTGCTGTTCATCTGAACTGTCTCTGCCGCTGTCTTGGCAAACGTGTTCAGTCATAACGTAAAGAGAGAGCAGAGTGCTGACATGGCCGATCTGTCGTGCATTTGGTGCCAACGATTCGCGCACCTGGCTTGTTTGGACGCCCCTTGACCGACGGGGTTGACGTGGAATCAGCATATCCTCGGAATATGCCAGTCGGTGGCGGACACCACGGCACCAGTTGCCAAGGGCATCAGGACCTGCTGAACTCGTGGACCTCTTTCACGCATACATGGAAGCGTTTCTGAATCAGTCTGAATCGCATTGAGATCTGGAAGATATATTCTGCGCTCACCGATTAGTCTGAAAGCGAGCTCCCCTGCTAGATTTCAACGGCAAAGACAAAACCGATTACGTCAACGATCTGAGCGAGGGGATTTCCTGGGGGCCACCTGCGTCGACGATTCGGTCTGAACTCCGGCTGGACCCGTTGTTGTACTGCTTTGCATGTAGAGACGAGACCGAGACGAGTCCACAACCGACTCGACTGACACTGATTCGGAAATGAATGGTCCACACATGCATGGCATACCAGCCTCACTTATCGAAACTGTGCGTTATCATTTTGCCTGTCAGATGGAATTCCCATCATTTGTCAGCTCAGTGTCTGTCCATTCTCCCTATCCATGTATTATCAATGCCCTGCTCATCAGGTTGAATTCAGCGAATTCGAGCAACAAAATACTACCTTCAGAGAAAGCATTCAAATCTCCAAGTTTACTTTGGGGAAGGCTTTTGATCCTTTGGGTCGTTGAGCATGTTTAGAAACCCGAGGCATATCCTTCAATTTCCTAATGTCACCTTTTCAGTATATTTTGTTTCTTCTCCGTATCCAGTTCTAGTGTAACAATGACGTTAACTGGAAGATCATCAGGACATGGATGCTGGTGAGATTCATAGATATTCCTGGATAGCACTGATCATCTAGCCGTAGACTTTGGGCTTGTGCGTGCAACTCTCTCTCTCTCTCTCTCTCTCTCTCTCTGTGAGACGGTTGAGCCCTATTCAATGATCCGTTAGAATTCAACTCCTTCAAACGCGCAATCGTAAGAGCCGCAGTCAAATGCAGTTGGTTTAGACAAGTAAGCAGATCCGACCACTACCAGATATCCCTGGACAAGCAAGTACCAAGCTGAGAGTAAGCAAATCGTCTCTCGATTGATTAATGGCTGAGAGTCCTTTATATTGGTACGCTCCTGCGTCACGCTTCCAACCTTTGACAGCTCCACATGAGCATCTCGGTCTCACTTCAATCAACTACCCTGTACAATGTCGCTATTAACCTGCATATACCACATTATCTCGTGGATATTCTTTCTGGATACTGGTCACACTGTACTTTGGAAGCACATGCCATCACGGTAAGTATACGGAATAATTAGAACATCGGAGTCTCATAGGAACCATTTGTACGGGAGTTATGATTGTAGGGACCGTGAAAATTATGCAGGGTCTTGACTTTTCTTCTCCGATTTTACTGCATTTAGAAGGCAAAGTAATGTTTTTTTTTCACTACCCTGGTCGATTTTACAAATTCAGAATGTATTTACTGCTTACAAAGCAGAGCCAACCATGTCCATGAGATGTTCATGTACAAACTTACGGAGAAGATTACGAGTCCGCTCGGTATCGAAGAAACTTCCACACCGAGCACAGGCAGCAGCCGAGTCCACGTGGGTCCACCAATTTTCATATGGAGTTTATGGAGCGTTTCACTCTTGGTTTGGCATCGTACTACGTGCAGGAAAGGTGGGAATGACTCGCATCGTGGTCCAGAAGGCAGGCGCTGGTAAATTTAACCTCAAAGCCGCTGGGAAAAGAAGGCAAAAGAAAGCTATATCAATTCGTACAAGTCAAGCCAAGGAAGCACAATGCAGCCGGCTGAGATGACCAGATGTAAGATACTGTATATACAGAACAATAAAAATGTAAAATACATAAATATAAATATATCAGTCATAAATATAAATATACCACCCATACAACTGAAACTAAACACCAATCAAGAACTCACATAACAATGTATTTACAAAATGAGAATACAATGGTGGACATCTTCTGGTTGAGGATAAATCTTAAATAATCTCGACACAGACATGCACGTGACAGGCTGCATGGACGCAGAAGTTTGTCTCATACTCAGAGCTAATACAAATGCTCAAATATAAACTCACATGTATCTAGAAGTTGCCTTGCCTGTATTAAACCCTACCTCTCAGGCTAATGTAAATGTGTGATTCAGTAGGGCAACTTTCGATCCCGTGCGTCTCTTGACTTTTGGTTGCCATGCCAAGAGTTCACGACTCTGTACAATGAAAACCACATCCGACCTTTGGGAAAAGTAACGGTACAGGGGGGAAGACCATGAAAAAGATTCTATATAAAGTCTATAGACAAAAGCACAGCCACCATTTGATGCGTGCTTTCACTCTAGTGTAGATGATTTACCTCAACGAGCAGTGTCAACCATTCCGTGCAGCTTAAATTTACTGACAAGAGGTTCCTGTAAAGTAAGTTCTCATCCTTTCTATATCCGCTTAATATATTGAGAGTGTTCCTTGTATGGAGAGACTCACAAATCAAATTCTGAACGATGATCTTCTCTCTGTATCAAACTAAGTTACCATGGGGAAAGATTATATTTTTATATATTGTAACTTGCAGAAGGATGATGATACTAAAAGTTATTAGATTCTACTTTCTCACATGCTGTAAGAGCCAAAGTGCTTGTTGCTATATGCAAAACTGGAGTGACGATTGTGTTTGAGGAGTTCATGGACCTTGACCTGAAGCCCCAAAAACTGTAAATGTTAGTCATGTATACTTGTGCTTTATCGCTATCAGGCAGATTAATCGTTAGGGTTATTTAATTGCTGGGGATTTATCTCCAGTTGAAAATCATGAATCGATATTGAGTGAAGTAAAAGAGTAGTTCCAATAGAAATGAAGATTCACAAAAAAAATGCACTCCCAACGGAACAATTGAATGTAAGACTTCATATAATTTTCTCCTGTCTGTCTGAATAAAAGCTTGTAAGCCAATTCGTTTGATAGATATTACAACTATCAGTAAGTTACATAGCTATGAAGTTTCTAAAAACTTTGTTTAAGTGGAATGCTTTTCTGTATATTTGGTACGTCATGTAAGTTTTACAACTTAATGTACATCAAGTTACAAGGTACAAGCTACAGGAATGAATGTGAGATGGGATTTGACGAAAAGCTTTGATATGACTGGAGCTGGTGGGCCTACTAAAGTAGAAGGTCCAAGTGATCACTATCTCCAACTTTGCAATCCCCCTTGAAGTTTGTGTCAAACGTTTTCCATCACTTGGCAAAGCCAAGTGCAAGTTGAACCTTCGTAAAACCATGCAAATTACTGCTTGACGGCTTCTAGATTTTCCCCTTTTTGAGAGGATTCCTCCTTGATTGATTTGTTGCTGTGACGTCATATATTGCTCAGTCTCAGACATCAGAATGTTCGATCGCTTAGTTTAGGAGATCAGTGATCCCTTTATAAGAATGATGAAAATTTTGGATAGAGGGTGGGGGATACAAAACTCCACAAAGAGATGACCTTGAGACGTCGACTGATTATCGTTGACTGACGGGTGTAATCCACTCATCACTTGAAGATTAAACACTCGTGAAAAAACATGCAATCGTCCGATGTGAATGTACACTCAAGCGGTGCTCCACAAACATGTCCTGATTAGGCCAGAACATCAAATAATATATAGTTTATAAAACATAGTGTGGACAAATATGATAGTCAAATAGAGTCGCTTTGATTTAACAATGTAAGCCGCAACATATACAGGGAGCGGTTGTTATTCCTTGATTAGGGCTAATTAACCTTCACTCTATTCTAATCTCTTTTCTCATTGGTGGATGATAGGTTATAGGTTTTTAGTTGAGTAAAGATCAGGATAGGGTCTAGAGTGTTCGACCAATCAGAAAATCGAATATATTAAGATGAGGGTTAATTAACCCTAAGTGAGTGATAACTAGCCACCCCTCTCATATAATGTCTATAATACATTAGTTCAAATTAGAACATAAATGTATGAGCCGAAAGCGCGGACTCGTGTTTGCATAGAAGTGATTTAAAATCTTCCATGTATGAGTATCAAAACAACATTTTTAGCAGTATCTCACCAAGATGAGATCAATGTGGTTAGAATGGGGTAATCCAGTGCAGTTGGAATTAAGTCATGGTACTGTTATACACCTATTTAGATCAAATCATTATATTATTGATCATATATAATAAAGTTATTTTTATAGATTGCATACACAATGCTCTTTGTAAAGAATGTAAATATGTTAAGAGTGATGATGAAAGAAAATAAATTCATGTGATGTAGAGTGGTGTGTTATTGTGAACTTAAGTAAAAATTAAGAAGAGTGATAGAACTGATGGAATTTACGGGAATCAAGTGAGTTCAAAAGTCAACAAGGCCTGCCCTACGTCCGCACACACAACCGAATTCATGGCACCGGCCTACGGAAATGCACAGTGGAACAAACGAACGGTGCTTTGCTTCTCTTCTCTTCGGTGCTAAAGTTTCGATTCGTCTCTCGGTCCGCAGCTACGGCCTGGTCCAAACGAAAAAAAAAAAACAGAAAGAATTCCAAAAGTATTTGTCAAATGATAGAATGAGCTTTCTCGAAACCTTCAATCTCATCTATTGCAATCTTTCGTGTTCAGAACCTGATACTGTAATTCTGGTTACTCACTATTGTGACTGATACGCATTGACTTTGTCGTTGACTGATATCAACCACGTCACATCAGACCCTTGTTGATAGCAATCCTCGCTAGAACCCCGTAACGAGAATATAGAATAAATCGAGACCCGTTAAGCAAAGTAAAAGAAGACTGAAAAACCCCGTCAATTTTAGAGTAAGAAACTAGAATTATAACAAAGAAGTATCTGCATATATCATCACAAACACGATACATATTATATGGCTTATATATCAAAACTATACAGCTGAAAAAATTAACAATATTTCACCAAACGTGATGTCATATAGATTGCAGTAATTAGTGTTTTTTCTAATAACATAATATCATTTTGATAAAATAATCCATTTTTGAAGCTAAAGATAATTATGTTTCAAGGAACCTATTATCTGATGAGCTCTCACGTGTATTTACAGCCATGTAAACTCTTTTTACATTCACTTTGTATCATTTCAAAGTTTAAAGAACAAAGATGCAATCTCTCCTCATAGAGATATGAATAGATATTTGATGACTAGTTGATTGATTTCATAAGCCCTTTCTCTGCAAATTCAGTACGTGGTAGTTGATTTTTATTGATTTCATTCGTAAGATTGATAATCATCTCTTAATCACATTAACATAGTAATTATGAACAAGTGTAAATTTACGCTAAGTTTTATTAACTACTATACATATGGGCATCTCTTTATGAAAAATAACCAGCTAGTCTCATCATTACAAGGATCACACTCCTAATGCGATCGTAGGTTTGGATCATTTGATCTTCAAATGGGCAAGAAGTGATATGATATATTGATCTTGATATTTTTAAATCAATTTCAAACATGATAAAGGTTGATTAATTTGAAAAATATTAAGTAGATAATTTATAATCTCTGAACGACAATAAATTTGGAATCCAAATGATATCAAAAGTAATTAATTTCAAAAAATTAATTCATATCATTCTTATTAATCGCTAAAAAATCAAAACATAGAACTTGATATGGCAAAATAAATACATCAAAAATTTCTGAAGTGAATCCTGAAAAATAAAAAACCTTCCAAAGTATATGTGATGATCATGATATAAAGAGTATAGCACAGTGACTCAATACCAGAAACATTGATGTTGAGTCAGAAATCAATCTTTACTATATAAAAACATTTATTTTATTTGTTGAGATTTTCATCAACATCTTCATGAAAGAAACTAAATCAACTTCAATAGCTTGCACATGACTAAAAAAGGAAGATTTAATTAAGACGGAATAAGATGAAAGAAATTGTAAGTTTTTCAAAGGCATGCTTATTGCATCAATTACTTGAGTAGATGTGAACTAGGTAAAAATAAGCAGGATAGAACACAAATGACAACAATGAAGATATAATTTTGCAATTGAAGACATTTTGAAAATTCAAAAAATAATCTACTCAGATATGCTATAGAAATTTAGCTTTAAAAAAAGGTTTGAGCTTATAGTGAAGGCAGTTTGTTTAAAAATATATTAAGGGGGATTTAACAATACAATCAACATCAAAGCAAGATTGAGACATTCTAGTGGAATATTCTTGGTTTATCGAAGGGTTTGAAGACACTGTCTTTCTTCAATAGCTAAAGTATCAAAATCTTTGACTAAGGAGTCAATGCATAAGTAAAAAGTTTCATATTAATTTGATGATGGTCATTCAGATCAAAAAAATGTATGTACATTCTTCTAAGCACAATAAGAAACCATGATAGAAGCGATAAAAATATCAAAATATTTTTGAAGTTAAACATCAATTTAGTTGAGACTGTCGGTAATAGGTTTTTGCATGACACCCTCAAAAATATATAGAGATTATTGTTAATTATGCGGTTAAAAAATAAGAGATGAATAAAACAACCTGAGATTCTCCCGAAAGTGATATCTAGCTTATTACATTATTATTATCTTTTGAATGATGAATTATGTTGATATTCTGGTTAATATTCAAGAGTGCAAGGTATTCTTTCAGCAACCATCTTTACTTTTGATCCAAGCATATGATTTGCTTTTGTTCAGTGGGGGAGGAGGACGGCGTCAGGCCACGATTTTCTCTCAACCGCGTTTTCACAATCTGTAGACTCTTCCAGGGCTTTGGGAGGGTGGTTAAGATTGTAGACCCTTCCAGGACTTTGGGAGGGTGGTTAAAATTGTTGCCAATAAGCGTTTGCGGTTCTACGGTGAGGAAATAGCACTAAGCGCAGTTTATCCACCAGGTAGATTTATCCTATATACAGTTTAATACTTGGCCACAACATGTATCTTCTCACCTCACAACGTATTCAAATCTTCGGCAGAAACACTATTCTCCTTTTATGCAGGTCTTTGCAGCGTTTCCTTGGGGTTACTTTGAGCCATAAATAGGAGTATTAAACGATATATGATGCCAGAATTTGTCCGGTGGAAATGATATTGTTAGCAAAGGCGGTTCGGTTGTATATGTCCTGAAAGGTACCTGGATAGTAGGAATAGCGTAACAGATCTTAAGCGTTTGCGGTTTACAGTGAGGAAATAGCACTATGTTCGGTTTATCCACCAGGATCCAAATTTAGTTTGATATTTGTCCACAACGTGTATCTTCTCACCAAAGCAACTGGAAGTTTCTCAAACGCATGCTTATTGCATCAATTACTTGAGTAATTGTGAACTAGGTGAAAAAAAGTAGGGTAGAACAAAAATGACAACAATGAAGATTAAATGATATAATTTTGCGATTGAAGACATTGTGAAAGTTCAAATATTTATCTTCTCAGATATGCTATACAAATTTAGCTTTATAAAAGGTTTGAGCTTATAGTGAAGGCACTTTGCTTAATAATATATCAAGAGGGATTTAACAATACACTTTACATCAAAGCAAGATTGAGAATTTCTAGTGTAATCTAGCTTATTACATTACTATTATCTTTTTAATGATGAATTATGTTGATATTCTGATTAATATTCAAGAGTGCAAGGTATTTTTTCAGCAACCATGTTTACTCTTGATTCAAGGATATGATTTGCTTTTGTTCAGTGGCGGAGCCAGTATTTTTCTGGTGGGGGAGGAGGTCCGCGCCAGGCCAGGAATTTCTCCCGACCGCGTTTTCACAATCTGTAGACCCTTCCAGGACTTTGGGAGGGTGGTTAAGATTGTAGACCCTTCCAGGACTTTGGGAGGGTGGTTAAAATTGTTGCCAATAAGCGTTTGCGGTTCTACGGTGAGGAAATAGCACTAAGCGCAGTTTATCCAACAGGTAGATTTATCCTATATACAGTTTAATACTTGGCCACAACATGTATCTTCTCACCTCACAACGTATTCAAATCTTCGGCAGAAACACTATTCTCCTTTTATGCAGGTCTTTGCAGCGTTTCCTTGGGGTTACTTTGAGCCATAAATAGGAGTATTAAACGATATATGATGCCAGAATTTGTCCGGTGGAAATGATATTGTTAGCAAGGGCGGTTCGGTTGTATATGTCCTGAAAGGTACCTGGATAGTAGGAATAGCGTAACAGATCTTAAAATTAGTGATTCGGGCCCGGGTGGGGGGACCGAAGGACCGAAGGAGCGGCGAGCTTTGAAGGAGAAGCAGAGCGGTCGCGGGGGAGGCATTAACAGGCTGCTGCCGTAGTTGTGCCCCCTCAGAAATAGCAAAATAGCAGCATCAAACGGGATCTTTGGGAATATCCGCTTGCATGAGGAGGACACGTAGCATGAGGATGGCAGCCGCGACCTCTCTGAGCGATTTCTGTCATGGTCCCATACGCCTCGCCAAGGCCCTCCAGATTCCCCTCCCCGCTGCTGTGATTACGATTCCCGCCGCCGCTGTGACAATTCCCAGACGCATCGCATCTGGACTCCTCCCAGCCCCGGGCAGTATATAAAGGCCTAATTGCCTCCTATTCTCGTTCGTGTCGGCTTCGGGTCTCTCCATCCCTCCGCTCACACCCTCTCCTCAGCTCTGCTCTGCTCTCCTCATTCTCTCTCACCTCTCTCTCTCTCCGGTCTCGTCTGTCTGCGTACCCCCTCGAAATTGTATCGATACTTTGACAATCATCACCACCACCACCATCATCATCATCATCATATCATCCTCCTCCTCCTCCTCCTGCTCCTCATCCGCTCGGCTGTTCACACAACAGTCCACACCACCCGAGTCCCGAGTAGTGCTGGTCTCTGATTCGTTGCGGAGGGCAGGTCCGGGTAGTTGATGGTGGCTGCTGCTGCTATTGCAGACATTTGTGAGGAATTAATCTGACGTTCGGGTCTGGGCTTTTGGTCAAGGGGGAGACAGTTTTCGTCTACGTGCCTGTCGTAGGCGGAGGGCAGACGGAGAGGCAGACGAAGAGGCGTTGCGGTGGGACCTTCGTGAGGCTCCTCCACTGTTCGTTGGTTTGTAGGCGCGAGCGTGGGCGTGCGCCGTAGAGGACCGACCGTCGGGGATTTGAGCTGCTGCTGCTGGCTTCGTTGTGCGTGACATCGGCCGAGTACGAGTAAGGAAGAAAAGTTCAAATTTACTGCAAGTGGGGAGAGAAGACGCGCGGCATTTGTGCATTTTAGACCGACCTCGGCGCAGGCATTTCGAGAGCTCGAGCTTCGGGTTGAATCTTCACCGTCACCTCCACCTTTGTTAATTATTCGACGAACCTGCACACTTGTGGCGAGGCGGTTGATTGGGGGCGGTCTAGGATTATCAAATTTCGTGAGAAAGGTGCCAGGCAGATCTCGGCCCCGAGTGCCGCTTCAGTGGAGAATTGGCCGCGAAAATTGGAGAGTGAACTTGGAATTGCGAACGCCAGCACAATGTCGAGCACGTAGGGAGTCAATTTTGTGGTGCTGCGAAGGTTAGCCGTGGGAGAGCACAAGGAAGGCGAAAGCGCCGGGCACCGCGAGTGGAGGCAAGATGGTGGGGACCAAAGTGCTCGACTCGCTCGACAAGGCGAAGACGCAGAGCTACCATTTCAAGGCGGTGATCATCTCGGGCATGGGATTCTTCACCGACGCGTACGATCTGTTCTCGATTTCCACCATGACGAGGCTCCTGGGGCGCCTGTACTACCCGAGCACGCACGGCAAGCCCGGCGTGCTGCCGGCGAATGTGAACGCGGCGGTGGTGGGAGTGGCGCTGTGCGGGACGTTGGTGGGACAGCTCTTCTTCGGCTGGGCCGGGGACCAGTACGGGCGCAAGAAGGTCTACGGAATCACGCTCATGATCATGGTCCTGGCCTCCATCGCCTCGGGACTGTCCCTGGGCAGCACACCCACAGGCGTCATGACGACGCTCTGCTTCTTCCGCTTCTGGCTCGGATTCGGCATCGGCGGCGACTACCCGCTGTCGGCGACCATCATGTCGGAATACTCGAACAAGAAGAACCGCGGGTCCTTCGTCGCGGCCGTGTTCGCCATGCAGGGGATTGGAATTCTGGTGGCCTCGGCCGTGAGCATCGCAGTGTCGGCCGCGTTCAATAACTCCTTCCCGGCGCCGGATTTCAACACGGACCCCGTGCTCTCAACGCCGCCCGAGGCCGACTTCGTTTGGCGCATCGTGCTCATGTTCGGCGCCGTGCCCGCGGTGCTCACCTTCTACTCGCGCAGCAAAATGCCCGAGACGGCGCGCTACACGGCGCTGGTGGAGCAGAACGAGGAGAAGGCGCGCCGCGACATGGAGAAGGTGCTGCACCAGCATTTCGAAGCGCGCGACGACGTCGAGGCCGGCCCTGCGAAGGAGAAGCCGTTCGGGCTGCTGTCGCGCGCCTTCCTGCGCCGCCACGGCAAGCATCTGCTGGGCTGCACCACCACCTGGTTCTTCCTCGACGTGGCCTTCTACAGCCAGAACCTCTTCCAGAAGGACATCTTCACAGCCGTTGGCTGGCTGCCCGCGGCCGGGACCATGAGCGCGCTGGAGGAGACGTTCCGCGTCAGCAAGGCGCAGGCGCTGATCGCGCTCGTGTCCACCGTGCCGGGCTACTGGTTCTCGGTCGCGCTCATCGACAAGCTGGGGCGCAAGTTCATCCAGCTCATGGGCTTCTTCTTCATGACGCTCTTCATGTTCATCCTCGCCCTCGACTACTACAATCTGCGCGGTGATCCGTGCGGCGCCAAATACTGCGGCGGCAACCATCTGGCCTTCATCGTGCTCTACGCCTTCACCTTCTTCTTCTCCAATTTCGGCCCCAACACCACAACGTTCATCGTCCCGGCCGAGGTCTTCCCGGCGCGCCTGCGGTCCACGTGCCACGGCATCTCGTCGGCCGCGGGCAAGGCTGGCGCCATCGTGGGCGCCTTCGGCTTCCTCTACGCCAGCCAGAGCCAGTCGACGCCCGACGCCGGCTACCCCAAGGGCATTGGCATCAAGAACTCGCTTCTCGTGCTCGCCATAACCAACTGCATCGGCTTCGTCTTCACCTTCCTCATCCCCGAGACGAAGGGCAAGTCGCTCGAGGATCTGTCCGGCGAGAACGATCCCGTCAAGGGCGACGAGGTGACTTCCGGCAGAGTTGGGGCCGGCGACGGATCCAGCGGACTGGCGCCTCGCCCTGCAGCCGCGGCTGCCCACGCCAACAGCTAAGCGCTCCGCGCCAGTCCGCGCCGCGACCGTTCCACGCCAACGGCTGAGCGCAGTCGAGGCACAGGGCTCGACGATGTAATCTGCGCAATCGGGATCATCTGATGTTCCGTATATTTTTCGTGTCTAGTTTTTTTAGCCCACGCCAACGGCTATGCGCTCCGCGACCGTTCCATACTCGAGGCAGGGCTCGACGATGTAATCTGCGCAATCGGGATTATCTGAGGTCCCGTATATTTTTCGTGTCTAGTTTTTTTAGCTTTTTGTGTAGCGTAGTAGGCCTCGAATGGACTCGTGGCGCATGCGCTCGTCGTCGGGCGGGCCTGCGCGCACCGGGATCCCAAAATTTTTGACGGTCAACGACCTGAGCGTAGATAGACTGCCTCGAGTCGGTTGGACTCCGTCTGAGGCCATAGACTATATAGTTAAAGGAATGGCACACTGCCTCTCGCCTCGCCTCCTCGTGTGGCGATCTCCCTTTGTAAAGTGCATCCCAATTCAGTAAATTATCACATTATACATTAAGCTGATTAAGATGATTATGAATTATCATCTTTATGGGCGTTAACCGCGTTCATCGCATGGTCGCTCTGGGCTCTGGTCTCCTGCCTCATTGTCCACGTACTACGGTTGGCTGGTCTGTCGCCAGGGCCATCCATCCGGCCATGCAGAATGAGAGGTGCGCGGGATCTGTCGTCCACAAACTGAAGATCCGTGGTTAGTGTTAGTACGAGCGACTGCGGCTGGGAGAAGGGAGACCGGACCTGTTACGTGGTAGAGGGATGCGTGGGAGACAGAGCCCGTGGTGAGGTGGCAGGCTGCCGTTGGCCGAGGCGGATTGGGAAGCGGGAGAGGATCGACCTTCAGTCGTCGATTGTCAGAAGGAGGTCGTCCTGTCTGATCCACTCGCGAGCGAGCGAGCGTCTGGAGCCTCGTGTGCCTCATGCTCGCTCGTCCACTGTGCCCGGCGGCATGTGACGAGAATTGAAATGTGCCGCACGGACGATCGGCTCTGCCCGCTCGTGCTCGTGCTCGTGCTCGCGAGGACGGACGGCACGCGGGCGATGGTTGTCTCGTCGGATGACGCTGGCGGAAGATCCTCTTCCGAGGGGCGTCTCTGTCGCGGGCGCTTCACGTCGTCTTCTTCGCTGCGCGGGACTGTCACGTCTCTGCGCGCGAGGTTGGTGTAGATGCCATCGAAGCCTTCCAGAATGATTCGGGCTTGAATCATCGGCATACGATCCTCTCAGACGATCTTCTCGGGCCCGAAAGTGCAAATCCGGAGCTCGTCGCATGTGCGCGAGATTCCGCTGTTGAGTGCGAGAGAGGGAGCGAAGCAGAGAGTGGATTAGAGACCTTTACACCCACGGAAACGATGGACGGTCGCGAGCGGAGACGAGTATAACAGAGGGCCCCTCACGCTGAGGTCGCTTTGAAGCGTGGAGGTCCGGTGCCACCGAGCGGCTTGCGTTGGCGTCAATTCTGTCCGAGATCTCTTCATTTATGTTTGCGTAATCTCGGTGGCGTAATGGCTGCACCGCTCTCGCTGTCGGGTTGCGGGCTCTCCCTTGGAGCTTCATCAGTTCCTAAATGGGTAAGATCCAGACTCCTATCCCGTGTAGATCGTCAGAATTTATGGAACAGAGCTCTTGCTAAAGCTCTACCTTTCTCTGTATGAGATCGTGAATCAAATCTATGGCTCTCGAGGGTGAAGAAGGAAGCTTACTCATGAGAGGAGAACTGTTCGCTCGGTGGTGCACATCCGATTGCCGTTTACGGACAGTATATGTACGATCCTTGCCGGTGGGAACACGGGAGATATAAGATCGGAATCTCTCTGTTGTCAACATCTTTTACTGGAGACTGAGATTCTGTAGATTTCTCAAGAATCGAAGTCATTCTGCGTCTGAAGGCGAGGATTCGAACTTCTTCAGATAGTAAGCCTGCACATTATGTAGAATTGTGTCTGCGATTGGAGAGGAAGGTTCAGCACGTCACCAAACTCGGACCGCTTTCAACCTCTATCTACGAAGAGGAACTCACTGCCAGTGGCAATTGATAATCGAAGACTTCAACTTTATTGGGCCTTTCTTTTGCTCGATTGAAAAGTTACCGCACGCCTTAAACATCAAAGTTTTCGGTGTGCAGGCTCGATTCTGCAGTCAAGAGAGTACTTGCGGGAAAGCAGGAGTGATTGAACAACATATTTTGCTTGCTGCAACTCCAAGAAGATCTGGACTGACAGATAGTCCGATTTATGTGACTCGTCAAAGGTAAATGAACTTTCTTCTTTTCAAAAGCAAAGCCCTACTTGCGATATATGTACCTCATCGATCAAATGTGAATCCTTCAGACTTGCGATAATTTATCAGCCTCCTTTTTCCTCAGCAGATCAGTAACGGATGTAACAAACGACTTCAATCGTTTTCTTGTGCATGTAGCTGAACTATTTTTGAGGTTGACTGACTTTCCTACACTTGAACCTCTCTTTTAAGTTTTGTCAAACATAAGTCGCGCTTAGATACATCATTCTTGGTATGAGCCTTGATTGCAAAGGTGCCACAGATTTTCCTCGTCTTGTCTGTACTCATTCTCTGCTGGGATCGCTCTTTCGGTAGGGTGAGCATATGTTAAAAGTTAAACAGGTAGAACATCCTATAGGAGCTTCGCCCAGCTTTTAAGAGTTTCTGTGGATGCTTTTTCAAAATCTAAAAATGTATCAGAACCAAATGCATTTCAAATGTTCTGCAATTGAATGAGCCAAGTAATTCTGGTGAGCGTCGATGCTCTCCTCTGTTCTGATTGTGTTTATGGATTTGATTTGTCACTCTGTTTGTGATCAGGACGCCAAGGCACAGTCTGAAAATATTGGGGAGTGCAACAGATAAGAAGAACAAAATCGCCAAGCTATATGTGACACAGCAGAAAAGTGTACCCCTGCCCTGTTTTTGTGATAGCCAAGGAGACCCCCAGCATTTACGAGTATTTCTTAGTCAGCCTGAAGGAAGACAGTCGATGCTGAACACAAAAGCATTGGACAAGTACGAAGACTTGGGGGATAATAAATTCAGGTACGCAGGTAACCCCTCTCCAGAGAATTTTGTTTTGATAGATTTTGATGGTGTAGGTTGTAATCTCATGGATCATTGATTCTTACTTATCAGCCATGCTTCCCCATAGATAAGGAATTCTGAGAGAGCGCCGTATACCACGCTTGCATGCCGAACTCAACTACTTCTCTTCCATTCGGGGTGCAAATTATTTGTAATTAGTAACGGTTAACACTTCTGAAGATTTGTCTTCTGAAATAGGTGCTATCTTCCAAAGATCGACTTTCTGAGCTTCGAAGTTGCACCGGTGATCGATCTCCTAGTCGCTGCTAATGAAGATAACTGCCAAGTCGAGTTGCTGTCCTGCAAGGTCAGTTGGGTCAGTATACATGTCTCCCCTTCTCCTCCGTCTCGAAACTGTGAAATTATAACTGTTTCCCCTTTCTGCCCCGTCTCGGAAGCAGAAAGGTAAATATACATCATGGTGTATATTTTTTATTATTTATTTATGATTATTGTGTGGAGAGAGCATCCTACTTTGTAACTTCGATTGCATTCCGACATCCATCCCCATCTTCAAGTCCAACAAGTTGATGTGACAACATGTTATACGTTTGCAGTTTGAAGGTTCTGATATAGTGCGCAGTCAAAATGAGCGTTTCTCAGGTACTTGAATCAAAACCGTTGCACCACCTATTCTAGTAAGCTGGGTCCCATGGCCATCGTCATCTCTCTTCTTTGAGGCTCTAGTTACAAGGTTCTTTCTTATCGTATTGGGTGAAATGAATGTGATGCAGCTAGCTTGAAGAACCATCTCGTCTGGAGCACTAAACAAAACCAGGAAGTTCTGGACGTAAAGCTGGAATTGAATGTGTTCTTAGAGGTAATGTATAATTGAGTAGATTTTAGTCTACACATTTTGAGTTTAATCTGCCATATCGTTGTATTGGTGCGGGTTCGTTTATCTGATTCATGCTGCCTTACAGAAAGGAAACGGTTTTTTTTGGACAGGTGTACACATTACCTTTTACCCTACTTCCCGTGTCTGCAGTCGAATCACCAGGAACTTTGTAAGTAGCTCCAGATCGTATTCTTCATCGTTTGTTATTATCATGGTGGTTGTGAACATCTTGCAGCCAATGTACTTTTAAGTCTGTCTCACCGTGATATCCCCCTCATACAGGGTTTTAAGTGTTTCTAACGTTGTTTTCACCTAATTGCGAGTTGACCTTTCCACTGAATTTGACTGGCTTTCAATAGGATCAGTTTGGTAGAAGTCGTGACGTTACGGACACTTCTTGCTTCAGCCCAACCATAGTAGCGATCAGCCGATTCCTGGTTCATGATCTTGCTCTCTTGATTGGCAACTTTGATCTGAACATGGGCGTTTGCAGGCACTGTTGGCAGTTGTTTTCCACCTAACGACCTCGCGCCGCATCCTTGACTTTGTAATTTGACGGATTGCAGGATCATGCAGAGTCTGGTAGACAGACTGCTACCATTATTTGTCGATAACATGTTCAAGGATTATCAAACCTGGGCCCAAACTCATCCCAAAGACAGAAGCCTGGAGGAGAATGCTAGCAAAACTTAGATCGTTGTGATAGTAGATCACCTGAATTGATGTGATGTACAATATATCTGGAAAACGCGTTTCTAGTGACCTCTCTACGTCGTGGTCCGCATGAAATGTCGTTGACACAAGGAGATGTTTGGAACGTAATGCATTCCGACTTCCTTTGGATAGTGTACTTAATGGCAACAAGCAACACTTGCTGCAAAAGGTGTTCTTATGTTGCATACTGCAGCATGCAGGGCCCATATACGGTATCCTTGCCTTGCCTTCAAGGATGTAGGAGGGATTGAAAGTGATACTGCAACCTCTCCTCTCACACGCGTCTGTAAACGTTGACTAGGGACTGCATTTGACGGATGTGTTCCCTATGGTTAAGGGCTGTGCATGCAAGCCAGCAACCTGTATTCTCTAAAGATACAAACGGGTGCTGTCCCTTCAGCATAACAGTGTCTTTTAAAAAAGCTTTAGATCGTATTTATTGTAGCTAGTTAATGTACTGCTGATGTAATCTCTGTATTCGGCCATTTCACAGTGATATAGGAGTGCCCCTCAATCCAAAAGTTATATAATTTGTTTGTTACTCTTTATTATAACTCTATTTCTAGTCTTTTAGAAATACAGAAATTACATGTAGGTTTTTTAATCTATTATTTGTAAAATTTAAAAATTAGAAAGTTGCCTTCGTTTACTGCTTCCCGTTGTTTTTCCTTGTCACCTGCCCTTATGTACTACTTTACTTCACAATAGACGTCCAAAATTATACAGCTTATTTGTCTTAAAGAAGTCGTATCCAAACTTCTTGGAATTACATCTTTACGCAACTGAATTGTATGTGCAATCTAAAGGATTAAAGTCGGGAAGTAAAGTTTGTTGAACATATACTACGTTTGTACAGTCCTTATCCAAATTTTAGTAGAAAATCTCGGTAATCTTGCACTAGAATTCTAATCTTTGTTACAAAAGCACCGAGACTTAGTCGTATCCAAACTTCTTGGAATTACATCTTTACGCAACTGAATTGTATGTGCAATCTAAAGGATTAAAGTCGGGAAGTAAAGTTTGTTGAACATATACTACGTTTGTACAGTCCTTATCCAAATTTTAGTAGAAAATCTCGGTAATCTTGCACTAGAATTCTAATCTTTGTTACAAAAGCACCGAGACTTAGTCGTATGTCTTATTAAATATATTGAGAAAAAATTAAAATGATCAAACCGGAATGTGACATATGGCATTCCACGCAGATCAAAAATGTCTATTTCAATGCTGCTCTACCTACTACTCCCAATCATGCCTTCTTTTCAAGAGCAAACATTACGAGAAAGATTGAAGTAAATCTCTTGCTCAAAGACTATTCTGTCAAAGACAGAATAGTCTTTGACTTGCATCTATCAATTTCAGAAAAGAAATTCGAACTCTAACACCACAGTAAACTTTGTGCGATAGGTACACTGTAACGTACACGTCTTTAACACTTCGACAAGAAATAATCATACAACGCGGATTGAGTCAAATTAAACTCATTCTAATGAAATATCCATGCACACAGCCATAATCGTTATGGATTCCGGACAGAAGTACATCTTTCTGTGTGAGCGATGTATTACAGAATTTGGAATACCATCGGGAACCAGTAATTTCTGAGTTATCGTGCAAGTCTCTACTTCAATAGTCTTAAAAGAAATCTGACACACTGTTCTAGAGAAACCTGGACAGTTCCAAAATTCTCTACACAAAGTAATGATTTCCACAATGCGCATGTAATTACTACCTATATCGGAAGTTTATGTTCGAATTGAAGTAAGAAAAATTACTTATATTCAGACAAAAATTACGCTATAATATCATCACCATGTGTGAAGAATCATCTGTTCTATAAACACGACATCCTTTTTAAATAAGTGTCTTGCACGTAGTCATATTCTGTATATCATGGTCTCTTTAAACCGTACTACATACGTTAATGTTCAAGAACTTTTTCCATGCAAACACTCTAATCACATAAATATTTTTTGTGATGTTTAAGTGATTTAAATTATATCCAAATATTCCAAGCCAAAGTCAAAAAATTTAGACTGCTACACAGCCCAGCTTTCTTAGTGAGCTTGACAAATGTATATCTCAAACATCATCGTAACCATCATCAGAATTTTCTTTAAACTATTTGTGACATGCTGATTATTATGGGTATAAGTTTTTATTATGTGAAAATAAAACTTCTACAAAACCATAGCATTACAAAGCTTAACACATTCCATCATTTCTTCTCATGTAAACTTTGCTTAGAGTGGGAAGGTACATGTCAATCTCTCTAAGACTGATCATTCAAGGTTTACTTAGATTTTTGCATATCATTAAACCTTAATCTCATGTAAACCTTGGCGATCTTGCTCATGATATTCATGCCAATAACCAGTGATACTTAAAGTTGCTGTTGAACTGGAATTTGAAGATATCTCAGGAGAATTTATAAAGTCTCCTGGGATTAAATCATTAAAAAATTAATAAAATTAGTTTTCATTAATTTCGAATTATTTTTCTTTCAAAAGACTAATCATGATCATTGAGGGAAAAATTTATTTTTTAAAGGCGAAATAGTTCATTTGGATCATAAATATTAAAACCTAATTTGGAAATTCTGTTGATCATCTTGTGGTAAATTCATATATTTTCTTAATTTTCACCGATTAAATTTTTTTAGTATTACAGAATTAAAGAATGAAACATATTTATTTTGGTATAAGAAGTCATCTTTACGTGGTTGAGTAATCTAAAGACAGCTAGAGATTTCCTGGCTTAAGAAAGGGATCTCTTTATTTCTTAACTAATAACTTTCATCTGATAAGTAGCATTGTTGCTTACGACATTTTAGTTACATACACTTATATCGTAAAGCCCCTTCCAACCGTCGCTCATTCGCAAGAGAAATAAATTTAATTTCATCCTTGTCACAGTTATATGGTCTCAAAATTGGACATTTTAATTTTTTGTTGAATCTATTCTATCCAAAATACAGATATGATGGTTAACATATCTCAAGTTTATGGTTTGAAATTAAGTGAATGCTTTTATGAGGGCAACTTTGCTAAAAATGGATAAGAAATTCGCGATTCTATTCATTACTTAGAATTCATTAAATTTTAAATTCTTTTTAGATTTGACAAATATGAAGTGATGTGAAATTTTAGATTTAGTTTGACAGATCAACAGGATATGATGCAGCCTTATCTTTTTTAACTAATAACGTTCATCCAATACGACTCACCCCCATCTTTGAGGCCCCACCGAGATTCGAACTCGGGCTCTTGGATTCAAAGTCCAATGTCGTAACCACTAGACTATGGGGCCGCTCATGCCTCAGTCTATAGACATAAACCACCGTTTGAGCCAACATAGAAAAATAGCACCTGCCCTCATATCAGCAGGGTGTGCTGAATATGGAGTTCCATAAGAAGCTTGATCTAGAAGACTTGACAATTCTTGACGGCAGATGAAAAGAAATGGCATATGATATTATGACTTTTACATTATGCAATAAAGATCTTAAAAAATATAACCCAAAAAGCTATTTACAAAAATCAGATGACTAGTTTTTAAAATTAACATTTATTTATTTTACAAAATTGGTTACTTATACAGAGTTTAACCTCCCAATAGTGACGCATACCCCAATTACAGTTAAGGGTCACTCCTTGGAGGTGTCACTTAGAGGAGGTTTCGTAGCTTCAGGGTCTGAATTGTAAAGTTACACGTGTCCGACATTAAAGTGGTCCACGGGTGCCACAAACTTCTCCAAGTTCATTCTCTGGCGCATTTTTTCTCCACCGAAAGAACCTTGAGACAGACTTTTCCCTATGCTCCACCGACCGAATTAGAAAATCTGCTGACATCTCTAACAGACGAGACAACTTGATGGATGCAGAGTTCACAGCCCTTCGTGAGCCTTGGCATTTACGAATTTCAAACATGTTCAAACATAATCTAATCTGACATGAAAGCTTCATAACGCACAAGGAAATATTTACATTTACATGCTGCTACAAAGAGAAAGAGAGAGTTATGTGATGGCATAACATCTGGCTCTGAACTGACGCACTGTCATGAGATTTCTTGGTGAGGACTTCTAGATCGTGAAGAATGCTCTGGAGTTTTCTTACGAAGCTTTGTTATGAATTCTGTTACGAGGTCTGTCGGTGAGTACATCTAGCTCGTGAAGAATGCTCTGAAGTTTTTCTCCGAATTTCTATTACGAACTCTGTTACGAGGTTTGCCTTTGAGTACATCTCGCCCGTGAAGAATGCTCCGAAGTTTTCCTACAAACTCTGTCGATGAACTGAAAGAATTTTGTTGAAAATGTTGAAGCAAATGTGGCAAATATTTGCCACGTGACAAGGACGGTCACTATTTGAGATGTTACGTCACTATAAGAAAATAGTGACGAACCGTTGTTATTTGATAGATTATCAAATTAAGATCTAATGGTTCTTCACTTTTAAGTCACTATTGGGAGGATGTCACTACTAAGAGGGGACACTATTTGGAGGTGAAACTCTATATCTGCATTTATTCAAATTGTCAACCTATCTCGATCTACGTTTATATCAATGTATAGAATGTTATATCTAGCGTCAAACATTTGGGCCATATATTTCATTATTCTTGTATGAACATAATCCAGCAAGGAAAACGAAGTAGTGTCAGGATAGATTTCTGAAACAACTGATTGCAGATGATATATTGAGTCTCAGACTTTGGTCCCGTTACAATCTGTCGATTGATTTTGTGAAGTCATAATATAAAAGGCGATTTCATTTCATCTGCCGTCAAGAATTGTCAAGTCTTCTAGATCAGGCTTCTTCTGGAACTCCATATTCAGCACACCCTGCTGATATGAGGGCAGGTGCTATTTTTCTATCTTGTCTGAAACGGTCCTTTATGTCTATGAGTGGATGCGTGAGCGGCCCCATAGTCTAGTGGTTACGACATTGGACTTTGAATCCAAGAGCCCGAGTTCGAATCTCGGTGGGGCCTCTGACTTGAAAGGACAACCCTGGTCGATATCTTTTGATTATCGATATATTTTTGTAAGTAAAGGCAAATAAACTGATGTTGAATATAATGTCCTCTTTAATTATCAACCTATTTATCATTTAATTTCATTTCATTTTCTTCTTTTCCTCAGACCACATTCATTTATGGTTTGGCTTTGGGCATAAGAGACTCTGGGTTGCATCGCCTCAAGAAACACACACAAAAGCACGGCTTCAAAGATTATTTGAAGTAGCCATCACTCTAGCCCAGTTTCGTATTCAGTGAGCCTTCTCCATCACACGGGACGAATGATCGTGTCAACCAATGGAAGTTCAGGTTGCTAGAGATCACGAAAACCTTCCGCAGGTGCTCTTAAAACAACTGACTAATGTTGATCAAGTAAATTTTACAAGTTATTTCATATCACGTTTATCTGCTTATAAATATTTTTCCACTTACTTCGTCTTCCACAGTTCTTTTCTCTCAATGATATCATTTATTTTCCCCGTTAGGTACGGGGCTAAGAAAATAGCAAAAATGATACTCTTGTCTTTGCTCCTACATGTCTGTCTTTGGGGTCTGGCCCTTCTGGCTGCATCGCGTCATGGTCTATTAGCCGCAGTATGGTCGAAGGAAGCAACTATAACCGCAACCGCGTACATGGGGAACCGGGTATGCGCGGAAGGTCAGTACAATCAAAACTCATGGGAGAGCGGGGAGCGTTATGAACAAGATCCGACAGCGACAGGGGCGCGCGGTTTGGCCCCGCACGCGTTCAGACCGCGGCTGTAATCGACGACAATGAGGCAGGAATTGCACTCGTCGATGATCGGCGTCAATTGTTGGGCTGATTGGGGCAGCTGACCCTTTTGATGCGGTGACAGTGCAATTTTCTTGTTGTTCGTTTGAGCTGCGAGAGACGTAGCTCGTGGATGAAGAAATCTTGCGATGGTGAAAGCCAAGAAAGACGAAGGCGCTGTGTCCGCCGAAGAGCAATTGCTTGCCCTTGAGAGCAAACGTTTGAAAGAACTCGCAGTTTCCAGAGGATTACTCGCCCGGTCGAAAGCCAATGCTCCGGCTCCCCTTGTTCCCACCAAGAGTAATATTTAGTTTTCTAATTCTTTTTTGGTCTTGCCTTTCATTACTAATTTTCTCCATTGTGAATTTGATTTTCCTGTATTACGATATTTGCTTGAATGAAATTCTTTATCCTTCTTTTCATGTGTGTGTGGGGTTTATGATCAGTCGTAAAGGATTGATCTGATTGAGTTCACGAATGTGTCGTTTCAGCTATCCGCAAGTGCAATGGAAAGGACATTGTTAAGAAGGGGAACAGGAAGACCAAATATCTCTTTGCTTTTCCTGGACTTGTGGCACCTGTCTCGGGTGGAAAGTTTGGGGACCTTACGCATTTGGACTCCAGGAATCCCATATTGTACGTCGATTTTCCTCATGTAAGTCTGTTCTCGCTCATGCTTTAGTAGGCGCCAGTGTGATTGCTTGAGCAACTCCTCTTGGTAAGAATATGCTGAGTGACTACTTTTGATCTTCAGGGCCGGTTGAAGCTGTTTGGAACTATCGTCTATCCGAAGAACAAATACCTCACGATGCATTTTGTCCCAGGAAGGGGAGATATTGTATGCGAAGATTATTTTGAAAGTCTGGTAAGCATGTCATGCCTGAGCTCCTTTCTAGCTCATTTTCCTCACTTGTAACAGAACTCTGTCAAGTTCTTTATTCCACTCTAAAGTTGAAATATGCGTTGCATCGTAGGTTGGTCTTCATCTTTTGATCCTTGCCCTCGGAAGGAGTATGTACAAAGATTATTGTTTGGAGGCGTTGTCCCTACTGCCTACTTGTATATAGAGTTCAATAATTTCGTTTTCTTTGATAAACTCTTGAAGAAGAGATAGTAGCAAAGACAATTGCTAGGAGAACAATTGTCATCAAATCATTGTATTGACCCTGTAGGTGGTCTTCCCTGAGTCATGGTGGATTGGAACGAAAGAGGAGAACCCAGAAGAACTACGTTTACCATTTCCCTCGGACCTTCAACAGGTCAGGTTCAAATTTCGTACGCGCAAGAGGGTTTAATGCGAGCCTCGTCCGTGATCCATGCATGTCTGCTCTAGCACAAAGACTTATGAAATGTGTCCAGGAAACTCGTGTTGAGTGTAACTCGTATCATGAGGGTAGAACGAACTTCACCAATCCGTAACTCCAACTTGAATTATGCCTCGGATTCAGGTCAAGCATGCAGACTTTGACTTCAATGCAGGTGCAGGACGGGTAGACGAAACCTCGACCAACCGAGTGGTAAAAGCTGACTCTACCAAGAATGATCCAAGCTCTCCTGTTCTACAATTTGCTGTGGACAACTTGGACGAACCCGGATTACCAGAGGTAACTGCGAACGAGAAACCAGTGAGTGTCCGGCAATCTGCACGCAACTCCGGGAAGAAGACAAGGTATTGCTAGGCTTCAGGTTTACTTACTTCTTGTACCTTACTTGTTAAAAATCTACTCCGAACCTGCGTTTTCTCTGCAAACAAACTTACTGAGTACAAAGGTTAAAGTGCCTTAACCTTCATATTTTCCTTCGTCCTCTTTATGGGCACTATTGGTAAGGTCCTGTTTTCGAGAAGACACGCTGATCAAACGCTGATTCGTCTCAATGAACTTCGCAGGTACGCTTTGTCATCATCTGACAACAGTGAAGAAGGCAGCGAGGGTGCTAGTGAATCCTCAGATTATAAAAGGAGTACAAGAGACCATGGAGCGAAGAAGACTATAGTCGCTGAGGAGATCGTGGAGACATTATTTGAGTCGACCAGTGCGGAGCAGCTCTCGTCTGCTAAAGCACCCAGGGCTGTTTTGAAGCAGGGCACACTCACAGGATACTTATCTAAGAAGGTTGCTGACTCTAATGCCCAATAGCAATGTTGGCTTATGAAAAGTATAAAATCGACGAGCAGTGATGCTGACGTGCGATCTTCTTTATTTGAGGAACTTGGGATACTACGTGCCCCCTATCGTGTCCAGCATGAGATACTCGATAATAATGCTGGCATTTACTATGTTGCAGACTGAAGTTGTACATATCACAGACAGTCCTGACTTGTCTCAAAAACGACGACAAGGTGAGATTAGGCTACACTACTTAAGTCTTGAGATAGCTAGTCTTTTGCGATCTGAGGCAGCTCATTGAAGACACCTAAGCAAACTGACTGTGCTCCTACGCTAGCTGCCGCTTTATATGAAGAAGTTGTCATGTCGTCGAAATTGAGAATCAGTGGACTGGATTTGTGTCGCAGGTCAGAAGAAGACAACACCAGTAACCAGGAAGAGACGTCAATCGATAACTGAGGTGAGTAGTTCATCGTTCGTCTTTGCTAGAAAACTCAAATTCTTATGTGATCAAAAGGATCAGGTTTCTTCCTATTGAATCACTGCATGCATTAAGAGTTAGCACTCTGTAAAGTTGATGCTATGGTAGATGCTGGACTTCATGGTAATGTGTTTAAGCCTATTGTCAAGTGTCATGGCCGTGTAGTATTAAAAGTGTAAAATCGACGAGCAGTGATGCTGATACTGTGATTTTCTTTATTTGAGGAACTGGTCATACTACGTGCCCACTATCGTGTCCAGCACGAGTAATGACAAACTATAGCATATTATGGAACACATCTCAAACGTATGTTAAACTTTATGAACATCATAAAGTTTTGATTCATTTAGGATATCTTCTATACTGTATTCAATTATCGGTTTTCGGACCTCACATAGCTGAGTTCTTGTTGCTTGCAGATCAGTAGTGACAGCAATGAAGAAGATATGAGTACTCCAACTGATGACAGTGACTGATCTCTTCATTCGTGGAATGAGAGTTTTGGTCACGATAAGTGCAAGGCTAGACACACATCATGTTCACCTAGAGGTTAATCCGGATTACTCTAGAATTTATCGGCATACGTGGGATGTTAGTGAACATTCATTCAATAATGTATCCAACATATATCAAGTCGTCTCGTACTGATCTCCCTGCTGCAGCTAGTTTTTGAGTGGCTGGTTGTGTACAATTGCCGAACCATGGCAAAGTTGGAATGAATTTACACCTTTCTTACCCTGAGCGAGGTACGCTGCATGTGCCTTACTTGTATGTATGTGTATACTCAAATAGCTAGCCCCATCTTATCCCCTTCGGCTTTATCCCTGTTCGACTTGATGGAGTCTTCCCTTCCGTCTTTCTATATTGCTGGGTTTCCTCAAATTGCTAGTGTAGGTTAATATCATAGCGATATGTTTGTAAATCTCTCATTAAATCTGCCTTTGGCGCCAAACCCCATTGCAAATATCGTTGAGGATGATTATATGCCAGAGCATTTAGGATCTTCTTTGTTGTCTAAATATGAGGGATCGCTCGGAGGAAGCTCACACACGAGGTTGCAAATCTGCATCCTCATGACATCACATCACAGGAGTGTAAAACAATTGTGAAGGATTTAATGCGATATACGTATGGCCGAGCGTAGTGATCCAATCACTACTACATCACAAGTTTTTAGCACCCTAGAAGGCTAGTGATCCAATCACTCGCCTTGTAGGGTCCTAATATCTTACTTCTGATCAGTACTCTCTTTTTATCATATTTGATGTTACGCACTTAAGTGGGATTCTCGCATTCCAATCTGCAAATTGGTTGTAAGTAGAACCTTAATATATAAATTTGTCATATATTCATTCGAAGATGTATGTTAAGGATTTATTCATTGGCAGGGACGATAGCTTAGTTTTTCTGAGCTGGTAGTTATGGACTGTTGGAACTGCAGGAACATTGAATTAGAGATCAGGACAATTGTGAAGATTGAATGTAAAAATGCTTTAAAAACCAAATCAAAGTGAATAAGATGTGAGTCTCCATACAAAAAATTTAAATGTGAAAGAATTGAGTTATTTGGTTTTGCCCTAGGGACTTAGTTTAAGATTGAGATTTAACTCTAGTTATATTAACATGAAACACATGGTGAGGTTAAACTCTGCAATCTAACATACTTCCCTCCACCTGTATGCCACAAGAGACTGGTAGTAGATACTAAATTTTTTTCGAAAGAACAGTGAATCAGCGCCGCGTTTCCCTCGGTATCCAATGAGGTTGCAGAGACATCTATTTCCCGGAGAGCCAAGTTCACTTGCAGGAGCCCCATCAGGTCCCTGAACGACTCTTTGTCGAGATCAGATCCAGATAAATCCAAGTGAGTGAGACTTGTGTTCCCTCGCAAGCACCAAAGCAGGTCCTTCCATACTCCCTTCCAAAAATCGTGGTTTCCAGCCATTATTTTCAGTCGTTTCAGGACTGAAGGTTCTGCAGTTTTTCCATTCATCGCAAGTACACTTTCCGGTCTATCCTGGTTGATACCTGAATTGCGAGGATACCTCGCCAATATACTGAAAGATTTTAGAGAATTGATTTCCCCGCGCAGTACCCTACCTAATAGGCTCAATACTAACTTCACTTCATGGTCATTCGAAGTCATGAGTTGAAGCTCCACTGTGGGGTCCTTGACATCGGAGCTAGCAGCACAAGCAAGAGCTTCTATTGACTCCCAGTTCCATTGTTTATAACCACATTTTACTTTAATCTCAATCTCTGTTACTCTAGAATTGTCACGAATGACTTCGCCTAGCTGGTGCCATTCCTCAAGACTCATCCGCAAGTCGTCCAACCTCACTTCCATCAATGATGGGTTGGAAGTAAGAAGTTCCCTCAAACAGTCTCCGAGTCTATTCATACGCTTCAGACGAAGACGTTCAATGGATCGGTTGCTGTCATCTCCTGCCAAAGCGTTCAGCAACAAGGCCGCTCCCCACTCTAACTTCTTTAAGATTAATTCTTTCAAAGACGAGCTCTGGATCAAAGCCTGGGACAGGATTCCAACTGTCTCTTTATCCATGTAGTCAATATAGCCTAAACTCAACCTTTCTAATCCAGTAGCACTGTTGATCATGTCAGCCACATGCTTCACCGCACTCGAGTCTTCCCACGCGTCACGTAGTTCTAGAGACTGCAATTTAGAATCGGAATTTCCTCGCAGTCCTGATGCGAGATTCAAGAAACATCTGGCACTCAATCTGGGACTCAAAATTCTGCATCTGATTATTGTCAATTGTGTTACGCTAGAGGTATTCAAAATTCTCCCTATCTGTAAACACAAGCTCTCCACTTCCTCATCTGAAATCCATTCCAAACCACGAAGAGTTATCTCTTGTAGAACGGTGCTAGACATGAATCCTCTCAGAACTAGCTCCCACTCGCTAACGGTCATCATCGATATTTCTCCTCCGCAAATATCTTCCACGTCCAGAACCTCAAGGGTCTTGCAGCTGCCGATTGCCTCCAGCACTCGAAGGCGCACTTGGCTCCGCCACCCTGTGATCGTAGACGGCGATGCAATCTCCGGAAAGAAATCCTGAAATTCTTCTCCGCCTAAGTAGGGAAGTCTGGTAATAGGCTCGCCTTTTCCTTCCAGACGCCGTATAAGGTCCTGGACAGCGGAGGGCAGCTCCGGTTCCTCGTCTGCAGAGTTCATTCCCCGTGTCTCAGCAGCAGCGTGACTGACTATGGACGCACCTTCACCTTCCATTCTCCCCTCCACTCTCACAGATGAAGAAAAACTTTTGCTGCTTGGCATGCGCGAGCAAAATGTCACCGGTCAAACAGGAGGCCCCTCCTCGATCCGCAGGCCCGGCTCACCCGAAGACAACCGAACTTCCCGTCGCAGAGTCACAACCTGTGTGCATGTGTGTGCTGGTCCTCATACTTCTTGAGGAGAGGAGTCACACAAGGATTACTCCAACCTCTGTCCAGAATCAGATCAATAGCAATGACCACGAAAGCAGGAAGATTGTGCAAAGTGGAGGCTGCTGAGCGATGTGAATCAAAATGAACGCAGTAGCTAGGATTCCGATTCCAAAAGGAACTCGAATAGCATGTGCAGAGAGGACTTCACCTCTCTCAGGAAGGCAAAACTATTGTGAAGTGTAGTGGAGCTTGTCCATCAAACAACCTCACAGCTCTGCAGATGAATCTAAAATCCAAAAGACTGGTTAGTAGCAAAGATGGTGCTATGTGGACGCAGTGTGTCATGGAAGCGAAGATATCTCAGAAGATGTTAAGTACTCTGCGTTCTGTAAAAGTCCACGTACAATTGGACTGGGAGAATGCGCATCTAGCTGCATCAAGACCCTACTTGAAGTTGACGAGAAAGGTCAAACCGATTCTGATTGGTTTTGACTCTCAAATAAGACTCTTGAACGGGTTAAATCTAGACAATATTATTGATTCTGCGAGGTTGTAAAACTAAGAATTTACCCATGAACTGCTTCAACGCGTCTAGTTCCCAAAACCTCGAAAGACATGATAATTCATTTAGGAGCCCCGGCCCCATTCAGTCGCATTAGCTCTCATTCACAAGCACAGTCATCTGCACAATCTTATATGAACATAATCCAGCATCCGGTCTACTTGTTGGCCGCCTACCAGAGCCCAACATTGGATGCCCATGCCCACGCCCAAACCAACCCATGCCCATGGGCAATGGGTGCCATTATTTTCCCATGGGTGGGCTTAGATCGCTGCTGATGGTTATGGACTGGTCTGGGTGCAGATTTGAAGGAAACTGTTGGCCCCTGCGCCTAGGTTGAAAGCAATGGCCATGTGAGATGAAAGTCAGATAGAAGCATCTTCGGTACATACTTTGCTTGTCTGTGATCCCTGCTCCTTCTAGTACAATTACTAGTAACTTTGAGGTATTCTCGTGTGTCATTTATAGCTCCTCATTTGAACTACTCAACATCTGTGACTCTGTGATAGGGGTAAAGTCACTCGTAGAAAAGAATCGGGTACCGGAGGTGCAATCAATTTATGTTTTAAGTTTTTACCTCATTTGTTGAAATTGGTTTAACTTTTCTTTATCTCCTACTGTAATCTGCAATGTAGAATATCATGTCCTGTTATTTGGTAGTATTCACTTTTCTCTTACCAGATTCTTTTCTCCTTCCTTCAATATAAAAGCATAACTGATAAGGTGTACTTGGAGTTCTGTTCTACGTTATTTCCTCAAGGCTTTCGGTTCAGAAAATTCGTAAACTTTATCATTCCTACTTTATATACTCAAAGATCGTACAATTGAACTTTCAGTACGTTTCGCAGAAGACTCCCATATTTACATGAGTGGTACGTACACTTCTCCTGTGGAGACTAGGCTAATTTTCTTCTTCACATGGACAAGATTCCAATTCTTGTCCAATTCCAATTCCAACTTCAAGCCTCTGTCGTATTTACTCACTCTCCAGGCCGACGGACAACACTATGTTTGGAATCCAAACATAGTTCAAAATGCAAAACCCTCTATCTATTGTGTGACATCCTGGTACGCATGAGTACCAGGATGCCACCCTGAATCTAGTTTCCAGAGACTTCAAGTCTCTGCCAACATTCACGAGGTAAGAGCCAACGTTCAACGAGGAACGTTTAGGGTTTAGCCAACGTTGGCTCTTGCCGGGTAGTGACCCGGCAAGAATACTTGCAAATTCCGCGTTGAACGTTGGCTCTTACCTCCGTGTCAAGTCTTCTGTAAAATTTCTGCAGTGTGCACAAGCTGGGGACGATTGTCATGATGCTTCAATGTTGTCCTCCGTGTCGTTGTTTCAAGCCGCGCACAACAGCAAGCCAACAACAGCGTGTAGCCTACAACAGCAAAACTTCCTGCATCTGGCAAGATTGCAAACCTTGATGATCCACAAGTCTGGAGAAGAAAGAACAACATCAGTCACCTTTGGTACAAGTAAGGTACGAGGACCAGTGGGAAGTAAACTGCAGGGCATTACTACTTCATAAGAATATTTGAACACAAACGAAACAGCCTAGCTGAATTCTTTGTTCGCAGTTTTTACCGGGTATCGCTGTCCTCCTTTCAAGTCTGCATGGGAGGTGGATAGTGTTCAAACATGTAAACCAGAGCTTTTTCGACAGGAAAAGTTGAAAGAAGATTGTTCCTGATGGGGTGATAGCCGCCAAAGGCCTTGCTGTCGAAAGGCAACGAGCAGGTAAGGAAAAAGAAGGAAGCTCTGGCTGCTCTTTCCACCTGCAGAGAAACAACGTGAGTGCATGTTATGTATCAGGTGGTTGTGCGGCATACTGCACAGACATCTTAGCACAAGGCACTCTAAGTTCTGTGCAAGAAAGACTGTTCGATTCGACCAGAGAGACTGTCCTCTCCACTGTTCCCAAGTTCACCAAGAAAGTAGCAACATGAATTCTCCTTGAGAAACCTACCCTCCAGCGGCAAAATTGATCGTTGCACAAGGTAACGATGACTGGTATGGGTTGCAGCCTCAACGTTTCCATCAAGACACTCAGAGACGCAAAAAGCTTCTGCACAAGTTCCTGGTGCTTGGCCGTATCTTCTTCTGCATCTGCGAATGGAAAATTCCAGATTATGCACCTCACTCCCGGCCAGGAAATTAGGTTCGCGAAATTTTGTGACACATTGATTCTGTCCCTTGTGGGGCTGGTCACAAGACTCGTCACGTCTACATTCCAATGAATTTGCATCTGATTCATCCGAAGGTTTTGGATTCTCTGGTTCAGAAGCGGAAGGCAACGAATGATATCCTCCTTGTCAAGTGAAGTTGCGATAATCTGGTGGGGGGGAATATATGACGACAAACTTTGCGCGAAAGAGAAGTCCCCTTCCCCAAAAAGCAGAAGGGATTCCCCTTCGCCTAATTGAGGAAGGAGATCCAACATGGACCGCGCAGATGGCTGCTCCTCATAGCAACACAACGGTTCACTATTAAGTGGCAGTACATATTTTTTAGGCTCGCCATGATAATATATGCACGAATCACCATAACGACATCCCTGTACAAACAGACGAAAAAATACGCATTGGAGAATCGTCAGATATTATCATATCATAATACCTGTCTGCCTCTTCACAGCATGGTCATTCAAAGTTGTGACTTTTTTAGTAGTTTCCAGTAATGGAACTTGATCAACAGAACGAACGTATGGGTAGGATTCGTGGTTAGGCAAGTGTCTCGGGGTCAGAATAACATTTGAGCGGTGACTTCACAGCAAGAGGATCCCATGCTTTGAGCAGAAATGGGTAAACTGGAATGCACTTTTTACAAATATCTACTTCGAAAAACAATATATATCTTTGGAGAATAATTAAAGCCTGAGATGCTGACTCGCCAATGCTTATATCTAGATTTGCAAGAGATTCCGCTGACTAAACCTCCAGCAAGGAGAAAACGCATCTTATTATCAATGTAACGATTCGAGAGGGTCATAGGAGCCTTACACTAGGTGAAGAAAAGAAGCGGCAGGGTGTAGGTTGAGCAGTTCTTGAGTGTGAGTAATTGCAATCATCGCCTTTGATACACATTCCCCGCAGAAAAAAACCGCAGAGTGGAACATTACTGGACTCTGAATCTGCAGGGATTTCTTCCAATTTCGTAGAAGGAGGCCGTTCTTCTCCTTTTGGTGCCTAACAGGTTCCAGCAAAGACGTTATGGACCGTAAACAGAAACTTGCAACGACACATCACGACGTGTTAAATTCCGAGTACAATGCCTGCGTACCAGTAAAAGGTGACGTACTGACTAGTATGGCAAAGGCTGCAGCTTAAAGTGAGTGGTCGGAGTACACAGGATTCACAGGCGCTTACTAAAAACTATGTCTATTTACAATCATATCAGAAAATGGCGAGCCACATTTTATGAACCAAGAATCGAGAGAAAAATCCTGCTTACCTGAATAAGAAGTGCAGTCAAAATTCGTTCGACCTCCAAAGAGTGATGAGTTCCATTTGAAGTATACGGAATCCTTAAACATTTTCTTTCCTCTTGTGTCGCGAAACTCCCATTCTCAAACATCGACCCTCCATTCTCGTGGCCGACGTCCTCCCTGTCATTATCACTTTTATGCTCTACTTCATGATACCAGCTTCCGTGCACACTGCCATTTCCGGAGTCGGCTGGAGATACTTCACATACATGATCGTAGGCATGCGTAATGTACGTCGGAGGCCCTGAAACATTGTTCAGAAACTCTGGCCGAAATCTATGCAAGGCTTCCATGATGGCTTCCACTGCAAGTAAACAGAACTGGAGTCTTCAGTAAAGTCGAAGATGACCTTGGTGGAGAGATCTTTTTTAAGCTTGTAGGCATACAATTCTGGTTATCCGAGATGGACAATTAAGCCACGTACCGTTAGAATCATAACTGGAGAATGAAAAGACTCACCAGTTTCTGCAACTGCACGCAGGGCAGTCAGGTTCAGTTGGTGTTGGGAACACCAGTCAAGCTCTGTCTCTTCCCCCCGGTTCTTCACATTTCCGTTGGCAACGACGAACGTTCTTGCTTGTTCCGATAAGTTTCTCAGGCGTTGTTTATCCTGCGCTATTCCGGATTAAATTTCTCTAACAATGGGCTGATAGGAACTTGGGACGGCAGAGTTATGCGTTCGGTACTTCTTAACATGCTAGACATATCGGTCTGATGGCTCCACTTCCTGGACGAAAGAAGACTCACAGCTAGTGCTTGAGGCCGTCTATGAAGCTTTTTTTCTAGATTGTTCGAAGAGCAATCTAGAACAAGCTCTGAAAGAGCAAAGAGTAGGTAGGATTTGAAAAAGCATTAAGCTAACCGACACACCTCTCTCGTTTGCACCTCGGGTCTCGCAAACATGAACACAAACTGGGTACCTTCGGTAATAAGAAAATTCACAGGCAAACACTTGCACCCGAAATTGGCCATGAGCAAGTATATAGGACGTCTCGGGTGTAGACATAATGGTGACGATAGACGTAAAGACGGAAGGACTTCAGAGTCGTCACCTCTGAAGTACTAAGTTTCCATTCTAGCAAGTAGGAGTGTCACCAAATTTGCTTATAAGAACTTCGAGTATGACTAGAAGCAAGCAAGGTAGGAGACTTTCCGTGAGAGTGAACTATTATATGTTAGGGGCAGCCACTAACACACATCAGCACTGACCTGAAAAGATCGTTGCCAAAACTCGTAAGCATACATATTTGCAAGCATGTTGGTGGCAAGACTTGCAACTTCCTCTCCATCCTCAGGTTTGTAGTAGTTAGCCACGCTCTGTTGATACTACAATTCCAATCACAACCCTCGGGATTATAAAGCAATGAACTGATAAGTGCAAGTTCGCGAGTTTCGCATAATCTAATCCTGAAAAGCACGAATATTGTACATTGAAAATTTAAGAAGGAACTACCACGTAAATTATTGAGCTCTGTCCTCGCACTCGAACGTCATGGTTGGATAGATTACGATGAGAAACCGTCTCCATATTATGAACAGAGAATCCTATATTATGCTGGATTCAAAAATGGTCATACACACCTTGTAAGGGTTTCCGAAGGGCCTTGAGATAGGGTTTGGAGTACAATCCTGGATTGCAGCTAGGAGAGCTGCCTCTCGAGTGTAACCAAGTTGGCCTCCTCTGACGACCATAATTGCAGACTCCAAGGAGAGCGGAAGGCATACTAAGAGTCGTCCATAAAAAGTAGGTCTATGTTTTCCTTTCTGGTCATATTCAATTGCCTTCATTTCCTTGAGTGCATCCAAAGCATCTTCGATAGTGTCCACGTGAGGCGGATTCATGCACTTCTTTAGTAGTGCTGCAGAAAAGACTTGTATTAATCGCCTTAAATCTGATTGATCTCAATATTTACGCTAAAATGTCCAACATTTGAGTAAAACGATCTATGGATACGGCACTAATGAACACATTCAACACTGAAATATCAGGTTTGTAGATTACATCAGCTATCTCTGGATTGAAGGATCAGACTGCAACACTGGAGACACGGTGGACCAAAATGAGGTGATCGTTACATTCAACGATCTCAAGTCCAAGTCCAAGTCCAAGTTGCTTGCTTCTCATAGCCAAATTACTAAAACTAGGACAGAAGGCAAGTATAAACTTATACCAATATGACGTAAACATGTAATCAGAAATAAGCCCAGGTTGAACTATGTAGAGATTGAAACGCCTACAATCGGTTTTCCTTGGATGCCAAGAAATATTTTGATGGAGGAACTATAATAAACTCACCAGATGGATCGTTCAGTGCCTTCGATACGGAAGTTAGAATCATTAAGACTTGCTTTTTCAGTGATATAAGCTGCATGGCAGGGGTCTCGAACTTGTCAAACCGCAGGAACATATTCCTTGGCACCATCCTGTAGACAACGCCATCACATGTCCGACCTGTTCTTCCCTTTCGCTGATTGGCCTGTATGACGTAGTATCAGACATGAGTACTTCAATGAAGCTTCAAGATCATCTGCAGAGAAGGTTTTGAAACTCTTTCGAATACTACCTGCGATTCCGATATCCATTTCAAGCGGGGCTTGTGTTTCTTCTGGTCACGGTCCCAAAAAATTTCCAAAGATCGACATGAGTCGATCACAAATGATACCCCAGGAATGGTTACTGATGACTCTGCTACGTTCGTAGCTAAGATAACCTGCACCAGATACATGGTAAGTCATTCTTCGAGACAAATGACAAAATAACCTACTAAATCCCAGCTAAAGCGCCATGCTGAGACGTGTCGGGTGAAGGAGTTCTTAAACAGGGTTCACACCGCAATGCTCGCCATCCTGTATACATACTACTATACTCAATACTCTGGTGAAAGCAGCAAAATCAGATAATACCGCTGATACAATCAAACACTTGGAAAGCAAAGGATAAGAGTCGTTCATTCGTAGTCAGTCACCTTGCGTCTGTTGACGGGAGATACCTCCATTGCTCGTATAGAGTCCTCTATATCTACACTGCTGTGAAGGACGAAAATTTTGAAAGGAGCCTTGGATGCATTTAGAAGCAACCATTGCTGCTCCAAAGACCTGTAAGTAGGAAGAAACACCAGCACGTTTTTTTTAAGATCTGGTTCGCTGCTGTGTAGATGAAGAATCAAGTCTCTTATCAACATCAAAGTCCCATCCCCGATGTCGATTCCCCTCTCAGCCGCTCCAACTTCCTCGCGTTCAGTAAAGCGATCCAGGAGAGCAACATGTTCCGGCACATTCCCCAGCAACTTGACCACCTTCACAGGACATTACAAGACGTTTGGTTCCAAGGGCTTCTTACTATTCAGCAATGCTAACACCATGGACAAAAAGCGATGTGACAACATTACGGTCCCTGTCGCTCAAAGGCAGGAGCAATCTTCAACGGAGAGCTTTGCGATTGAACTGAACATGAATAGGATTTTACCTGTTCTAAGTATGAAACCTTGGTATTCAGAATCATGCTCTGTAGTTTGTCCGCAAGATTTTGAATAGCAATTTTTTCAACCCGCTCGCCTCGATCTATATCTTTGAAGTAGACTTCATACTTCAACAAGTCAGCTGTTGCCGACATAAGGACCAACCTACAGCAGTCGTATATTAGTATAGGGCAAGAGAAACAAATTGAGACAATGAGGACCCATAGATACATGTTGCTCAAGACATTGGATTCTCAACCGATGAAATGTAAATAGGAAGCCCGGATGCTTGTCACTGGTGGACGGTGCTGCTTACTTCACGCTAGTGCTCTGAAGAAGATGTTTCACACTCGTCAAGACGAGATCAGACTCCACTGATCGCTCGTGGACTTCATCCAGGATAATGACCTTGTACTTGTTGATTGCAGCCACGCCATTGGTCCTGAGCTCTTCGAGTAAAACCCCAGAGGTTTTAAATACAATCATTGAACTGCAGCAGACATTCTTGTCAAGCGTCAGATCGTGAATCATAAAGGGATAAAAGCTGTTTGAACTTGCATGCCTACAATGTCATGCACAAGTCACAGTACATCTGATTTTAAACTGTAGACGCCTCTGCTTGGTCATGTCTCATTGTTACAAACTCCCGGAACAGGTAATGCAATTGTAACTGTAAGTGAGGAGAGTATCACTAGGCCACATGTTATCTATTCAGGAGGTTTAAGTATAACATAGAGAGGATGTCACATATGAATTCAATCGCTCGAAAATATATCGTGTGCTTGGTTTTCATGATGTAGATTCCATTCGTTCGGAAACTTACATCGGAATTTTCTACAAAAGTTTCTATGTATCACTGAGGTTTAACGTCGTGATCCTGTAGTTCATCAGCAGTAACCGAACTTAAAAATTGGACAATTTTGAGGTTCTAGACTAGAATAAGGTGAAAAAGCCCGCAACAGATGGAGTAGGGGAAAACACTCCAAGTCTTCTCGGCGTATCCCATCGAGTTCCCGCTGCACTGGCAAAGACTTTTGTCCTCGAGTCTTGAAGAACTATACAATTGATCAAACCCGCACAAGATTGACTATTTCCTTGCTATTTCATGAAAGGTTTGCCAGACAAATCAGATCTCGCAGAAATCTGGAATATGATTTGCCAGATTCTGCTCTTGTATCAGCGAATTCCGACCTCGCGATCTTCCGCGAGATTAGAAGAAGCGCCAAACACTACACCGCGGAACAACGCCAGTTTCATATGAATATGTCTTGCACAAACAGACATCATCGTGACGACGGGTCCGCAGAACCAGACGTGAACGCAATCCTTCGCTCCCTTGAGGAAGTACGTGACGTACAAGTGGAAATTTAAGGTGACTTCACAGGGCTATAATGGTGACTGTAGCAATAATCTGCAGACAAAATGTGCAGAAGATTGTGAAGCTAAAGCAGGCCAACCAAGAGACGGCAGTACATTCAGGCCATGCAATTGTGACGGAATATTAGTTTGATTACACGAGGCTAGTATGACACATCACGAGCATAGGTCAGAAAAAATACACACAGATCTGCCGTCAGCAGAGTTCTTCCTTACCGACAGTTAAAGTTTCGATATATTGATGGCAGGGACTATCCAGCAGGTAGGACAGTTCCCACAGGATTTAGATGAGGCCGGAATAACTTCTACGCTAGAGAATTTGTGAACGTACCGTGTGGAGCTGACTTTCTGCTGACCAATTTGATAGCCTACTTCACCCCCAAGGGTACAGCCACGCTCCTCAGCCACTCGCTTAGCAACAGTAGCAACCGCGAGCCTCCTAGGCTGGGTGCAAATTATCGGTCCCATGCCCTCTTCCAAGAGCATTTGCGGCACCTGTGAGCTCTTCCCTGTGATTATTCACAAACACATTGATATACGATTGATACTTCCGCGATTACTACACGTGCATTGACACAGACATGCCTGACGCCGAATCCAATTCGTGTTTCAAATTTCACGACAACATTGCCTACTTTGACGGACATTTCACAATGTTAATTTACATACTGTCAAGAAAAAGGTATTTCGATGAGTTTGACTCAAATCTATTACATATGGTATCCCAACAATCTCTGTGCAAGAACCAGTATCCACAATCCTAAGTCCATGAGCTAAATAGACTTCATTTTCATATACTGTTATTTGAAATTCTTTGCCCTTCAGTAGTTCGAAACAGGTATTCTTTCGTCACAACCTCTTAGAAAATATACTGTACAAGATTGCAATAAAATCCAAGCTCGGACGTTTCATTCCACTGGAGTGAAATAGACAGAAAAGACTGCAAGCCTACCAAAACTAGATGGCCAGATGCGTACTACTGTGATATCAAACATCTCCTGGGATGGTCTAAGAGAAGAAATTTCAAATAAAAAACGCCCGTTAAACCAAAACATAGCGCTTTCGTGTATTCTACCTGATCCGGTATCAGCGAGTATGATGGTGACTCGATTTTCCTTAATTTTCTCCACAATGCGGGTCTTTTGCCTTCGCACAGGTAACTCTCTTGCGAGTAAGGAGCCTCCTTTCCTCTGATCCTGGCCGGGAGGGCCAGTATCTGAGGTCTGCAATTGAAATGGCGGCCCTTTCGAGTCCGTCATCGCACGAAGCTGTTTCAGAAACATGCCCTGTACGATTCAAATACTTTAAAATACCGCACGACTGCGAGGACAGCGAAGGACTGCAATGACGCACTGATTCCATCAAGTGGCGTATCGAGGACTTTCAAACCCAATTGCCAAAATTCAAATTCATATGCTACAGGAAACTGGAGTCCCACACATAAGCGATACAAACGAAAGCAGCTCTGAGCTTCGATCTCAGCTCAACTTTCACGAAGATTTCGATCAAGTCGGACCTCAACCAACAAAATGTCAATCGTCTTCGAGTGTAGTGGCAAGAAAACGCCAAGAGAGCGATCAGGATGAAGAAAACAAATTGCGAAGAGATCTTGTTTATGAGCATGAGGACATGGGAGCCGACGCTCTCGCGGGGAAGCCAGAACCTGAACCACCAGGCCGCGTCGTGGGCCAGTTGTCGAATTTCCGAGCTGCCTGTCGGTCACCCGCTCGAGTATCCAGACAGCCCTCGACCTTTATCATAGATCGAACTGCACCGACGACCGAATTGCATCGACGAGAAGACGAGGCGCGCGTCGGGCTCTTCACGCGCCACCGCAAGAAGAGCAGAATCGTAACGCCCGCTCGCTCTGTCCACACTTTCTCGTGTTGTCTTAAGTTGGCAACCCGAGAGACCGACCGAGCGAACCGATTGCGGGCCGTCGTCCAGCCCCGGCGCCTGCGACGCGAATTGGCCGAGCTTTGGCTTCGGCTTCTGGAGATTCGGCGGCGCCCATTGGCAGCTCCGTCTGCTGGACGGACATTCGGACGAATAAGAAGAAAGGGACGAACCGAAATGGCGTCGACTGACAACTCCGTAATCGAAGGACCTGCAGACTTGAAGATTGCGGCGGCGGGCGATGAGCGAGTGTTTGGCGCATATTCAGGGGATTGCGGCACTGGCGGGAAACTGTACCACAACATTCTCAAGGCACTAGTCAATAACTCTCCACATGTCTCTCAGGCACGTGTGGTACGGACAGGTCCATATCGAATCCATTGTTTCAATGTCGTTTAAAACTTAACTCTCACTCTTTCTTCCAATTTTTTTCCCATCCCTACTTTAGGTTTTCTTGGGAGTCAGAGGCCGAATCGGCCTTACAAAATTCACATTTGTGCATTATGATAAAATATTATAAAACTAGAGATTTAGGAAGGTATATATAAAAGATTTGGAAAGGCCCTCTCAGCAACTGGTTTAGATAGATGTCGACACTTATTTGGACTTTTGATGTCAAATTACAGCCTCTCTACACTAACCGTATTCTTCAGGCCGTCATTCTTCCAATGCAGCCGTCCAATGCTTTTCCCGAGAAAAGGTGATGAGTAGATTAATATTTTGCTTTTCAAGATCCGTCAAAGCGAGTGAACGACAAGTCGCTTGTGTACGTCATGCATGATTCTATTAAAAAGTTTATAGTGGTCCTTGTTGGATAAAGAGTTCTTCTTACTGATTTATTCTCCAGCAGGTACCAAAACAAATATGAAATTACACTAATGCGTGTACAGCTGAAGATTTTTTCCATGGAGCAAAATATCTTTTGTGGTGTTGTACTGTAATTTGAGTTCATATATATATAGCTATAGAGAAAGGGTATATAACCTTCTAGACATAAAGCTCTGAAATGAGAAATTTTACAGATAATACTAACTTTAACTTAACTTCAGGAGGACTGCAAATTTTATTGATTTCAAACCTACTTCCGAGCGAACCTTCACTGGAAGAGAATATTTATGGACATAAGTCCTTATTTGTTGCGATACATCATTTCTGCACATATACCCCAGCACACTAATTTCCTGAGACCGTACTCCCAGGTCGGAGTGTTGAAGGCGGTAATTACAGCTACCTAATTTCATGTATAAAGTAATGTCCTCTAGGTGCCAAGTGGATATGAAACAACTTGGTAAGACTCCATGAACAGAGAAGAAATTAGAGCTGGGCCAGACCTTTAACATAATTATATTAATTTTGGAAAATTTTCAGTATAACTTTTGGCATAAACACTTTCATTTCACTATTTTTCTTTCCACGGCGGAGTTTATAGTGCCAAGAATTTAGTCACCTATTTCCAACTTTATGTCAAGTTAGAAGCACATAGAGGTTCCAGGATAACTCTATGTGACATGGCAATCATAAGTTCATCAGCAAATTCAAGCCAATCCGACTTACCAGGCTCTTGTAGATTTTGCACCTGCTTTTCAATGTCCCACCACTTTACTCGACATCCATTTTCCTGCGCATTTGCACTCTCAATTTTCCCAAATCGGACTCATGGGCTTTCGGGAACACGTCAAAATCCTACCTTAATTTCCTACTCCACTCCATGTTTTCCCTTTGAGCTTCCAAATGCTTTGCAAGTATGGTATCACTGCAAAATTGTATTTTAAAAATAAAATGCCAGATTCTACTAGGCCTAGGCTAGCCTCAAACATGAAGTTGGTATTTGGGGAAGCAAATTCATATTTGAATTTAGCGGCTAGACTCTAGTCTAAATCTTTCATAGAAAATAATGCTATTGTGATGTAAGAATGACTACAATTCATGTATCTTTTATGATATGTATTTACATCCATCATAAAATGTAACACATACATTTGATTTCAACAAGATTTGTTCAACTATTGTATTTTCTATATTTGAATGGTTATGAAAGCGGATGGAAAGAGGCGAATGACGTAGTAAAAAGGTTTGTAATACTATTGTTTATAGTTTTGTACATATGACTTTGATTTTTACGAAGGATGGTGGGCCAAGTAGATAAAAGAAGACTGGATTATACCTTAAACCAAACGCGTAACATGGGGATTTTAGCCACCTGTAAGGTTACAGTCAAATTTTCCACCTTTGTAGCAAAACATACCCTTTTCAATAAGAATTACTCCCCCCAAGCCACTTTGCTTTTTTTTATTTTTTTAAAGTAAACAAAAGAAGACATTTGGGTTGAAAGCTTTAGCTTCAACTGCATATACGTTTTTAACTTATAAATGAAAGGAAAGTTTGAAATGATATATGTCTATATATTGTAAAATGGAAAAATATCTATCTTTCTCTAAAAGGTTCAAAATAAAAAATGTGAAAAATTTTCATAAATGCAACTCTTGGAGACCCAAACTACAACTTTGATAAAACATCTTACAATGTTTTTTTTTTTTTAAATTGGTTATACGATTATCGTCTTAGGCCATTTACACGAGCATTCACTCTAATCAAGACAAGCCGAGTGTTGAGACAAAGTAAGACTGCAGGCTAGAACAACCCCGACCGTATGACTGTGGACTGACGGCATACGGTCACCGTCGCGTCAAAAAGTCACCCGTCGAGCTCGCACCCTCTACTATTCAAATTCGACACATGGTCAGTAGATGCGAGACACGTGTCATCGACCACCACATTACCCCCGTTCAAACTACCCTCCAGTCAGTCAGCGGGATCACCAGCAATCGCACAGGCGCAGCATTCCATCGATTATCCGGCCCCTGTAACGAGCTCGGGCTCAGGCACACCCGAAGGCGAGAAGAATCCATGGTAGAGTGCAATTGTCCGTCGCTGCCCTCGCCTTGCCTGGCGCTCACCCCACCTCCCCTCAAATCATTTATAATTTCTGAATCCGAAATTTTTCTCCACCCGAGTACGACTGTTTGCAAATTCAAAGTTAAACGAGGCAGCAAGCAGCAACCATTAAAACGATGCTGCTGCACCTGTCGCTGCATCCTTCTGCTGGAATACATGGAAAACTTAAACTAGCTTATTACTTTACGGGGAACTTTGAAGCACATTCAAGCAGATTACGGATCTCGAGACTGTGCAGCCATTTACAAAATTGAACGAAATTTTCCCATGAATTGACTATGCTCCAATTCTGAAGAAGTAAATCTATGCCAGTGGAGGACAGGGTGCTGGATCATCACGAAGGGCTGCAATTGCAAGGGAGACGGTCGATTCCTTGTCGAAGGTGGGGTTCGGCTCTGTTTCTCACAGCTGAGGATCGTAGTTTCAGGCATCGAAAAATTGGGAGTAGAGACTTGAGAAGAAGCAAACCGCGATGTCAGCGCACTGCGATGCGGTACATATATGGCCATGGCGGTTGGCGCATCAGCCTGATGCGCGCACTGCAGTATTACAACCACCGTCGTGAGCGAGGAAGCTAGTCAAGAATGGCCTAGACCCACCTTCATGTCCAGAAAAGATCTGTTTCGAAGTATGATCTTCTTCATGTTCTGACACGAATTTACGTACCGGGGTTTGGGAGAACGAGATCTAGTCACTGCTAATGCTCGATGAAGAATAAAGATCAAGGATCTGGAGGATTTCCTTATCTTTCCCATTCCCTTCGCCTACAGTTTTTGGGTTAATTGGAGGTTTTAGAAAGCCCTGGCAGCTGTAACGAGACTAAGCAGAATTTGAAGCCCGCCCCTTCTCTCAAAGCCGCGACGACAGGAAAACTCCTGGCCCCTATAAACGCAAATGCCCTGACAATCGCTAGGCATAATCTTGAATGCAAAAAAACACTCGCCAAATCGAAACCCCGAGATCTCGCGTGATCCGCCATCGCCAGTCCGAGAATGCGTCACAAGAAATGCGAGACGAGATGGCCGGCCTCATCTTGGGCGCCAAAAGCGAAACCACTGGTGACGGTGAAACCCACTGGTTGACGGTGACGGTGACACTCGAACGGTGTACGCATGCCGTCAGCCCGGAGAGCATACGGTCGGGGTTGTTCTAGCCAAGAGTAAAGTAAGTCCTGGTTCACCATAACAAGGTACGTGCACAGAACACATCCAAGCTTTAATGACAAAACACCATAATTTTGTCGTTGAACTTTTTTTATATAACGTCAGATTGACTAGTTTAACTGAGTAAGATTAAACTTATCATCAAAGCATTTTTTATTGAAAATATAGTCAATTTTACAATCTATTATCACCGGTGAAAATAATTTGTCATGAAAATTCCCAAATTTTTTTAAACAGATTTTTCTAGGATTATCTCGAAGATTTTTTATTGGGAAAGTAACTTTTATTCCCACAGTTACACTCTGGGATCTTGTCCATACAGAGGAATTAGATGATTGATCTTTATCAGACTTGTTCCGCCGTGAGCCAACACAGTATGCCAGATACCTGTTGACAGAGCTTAAACATGATTGGGTTTATTTTATTCATTCCGGAAGTAATTCTCAGAGTGTATGTTCTCACGGTGATTGTTGCACGCCATTCATGTTCTTTTTTGATTTGGAATCAATCAAATGGTCCTGTCGGCTTGCAAGGCTTTGATTGGATGGTTGGCCACTTTTCGAGCGCTTAGTGAACGCTTAATGCTGACTCTTGATTGCTATGGCCTACACAACCTCTACAGTTATTTCATGGGTTCAGAAAAGGCCACAGAAATGAATAGGCAGGCTGCTCAGGGACCTCCTAGAGCTGCCATATAAGTCGACGGTGTTTCCTGTGCGTCATCATGATGGTTCGTTACGAGCCAGAGTTCTTCAGACTGTGAGGTGGAGATCTGGAGACATTGCAATCCTTATTAGACTCGAAGGTGACTTTACTGGCCGTAGGGAATTTTTTCCTCACATGCAGATCAAGAGTCCTTTTTCCTCTTTGGCTTGATGTGAAGTGCGGAATGATTTAAAATGCAGATGTAGCACAGAGGTGAAGGATACACGCGGATGTACTGCCTATTCGTGTACAAAGAAGGTAGTTCTGCTACTGCATTCATGAATTTATAAGTGAATCTAAGTAAAGTATTATAAATCTATATAGTACTGCATAATATTATAAGTTCATAAATAAATCAATCTCCACAATGTGTGTTTTATCCATGAATGTAAATAAGTTGGACAATAATACTTTACTTCGTTAATTTGATCATATGTTAATTTTGCCATATTACATATTGTATTATCCGAATTTGATAATACAAAATGATTCATAATTAATAGAATGATAAATATGAAAAATATTGATAATGTATGTTAAAAAAATATAAAAAATGAAATATATATTATAGTTAGAGCTGGAAAATGTATTTTTCAAACTCTGAATAAATATATACTCTTTTGTAGACACAACGTGAATATGGTTGAAGTCCTAAAATATCATACTGACACATTAGAAAGAGTAAACATGTTTTAATTACTGTACTACAGAACAAAGCAGTGAACAACGGAATGTATTTATGTATGTATGTCAACTTCATTGTTTTCTCAGGTTAGATATTCCAGGTTGTCCTCTCGCAAGGGATTTCAATGAGCTGACACCATGATTGCCAAGGGAGCGAGAACAGGTGTGAAGCTTTGATGTACTCGTTTAAGGTTCGGCTTGAAGTGGGCCATGCAGATGGACACTCTGTCGCAGTTCAGCCCTTGGAACTGGATAATGTCTGCTGACGTTATGAAGACAGAGAACTCCCGTAAGCAGAATCCTATCACCAGTATTTTTCCGAACCCTGAGCATAAGCATGAGATTTGTCACACGATGGGGAATGGAGCACTGAAGCATGCATGTGAAAATTCGGGAGCTTTGAGGGTGATGCGCGGAACTTGAAACTGCCGGTCACAGAAAAGCTGCCAGATCTGGGCCGAGTGACACTCAAAAAGCAGATCACCGAAACCTTCTCTATTCATAACACATCGTTTCATGGAGTCTTCACAAATAAACAGATGGTTGATAACCTCGTTAGAAGGCTACGTTTTCCTCATTGAACGTACTGCAAAATTGGAGCGACTTTTCACATTGAGGATTTTCATATGCGAGAAAGCAGGGACTAACTTTTAGGGAATCGAAAATCTACGATTACACATTTGGTCTTCAAATATATTTTCTAGCAATTCCTACTCGTCCGACAAGGTTTGTATCTGCGGGGGTCAAGCGAGTCGATTTGCAAACCTAATCTGCCTACATTCACTACGTTATTCAGCACAGAAGTGACTCCTTGAGACTCTGCCGCCTCTGAGTTGGGTCAAACTGTTGCTGCAACTTCAGATGTTGAAAAAGGAGACCTTGAATCCCGAAGACGATCGATAATTGCAGTCGGAGCTCAGGATTCATAAACCAATGAAGAGTATTCTGGTGACCACATGTTCTTCTCGACATAGGCCAGGATGCTCTGCACAACATCCACACATATTAGGGAATTGTTGGAAACCCGTCAAAGGTTTATAAACTACGGGAAGGAAGAAAGAAATACAGCCGTAGATATCAACCAAGGACCTTGTGTTGGACTCACGTCATCTTGCGCCATAGCTTGAAGCTCTCTGGGATCTGTTTCTCTGTAACCCTCTGCAACCTCCTCAATGATGGCTTCTTTAATCACAGCCTCCGCGATTTTAGCAGTTATATTTCTAATTCTGATAAACAAGTCCCACTCTCGTCAGCACATAGTCTCGTTGATATTTTGGAACTGCAGCGTCGACTTACCTTAATTCAAAACTCTTCAAAAGATAACCCACACATCCAATAAATTCATAAGTTCTGTCACATGTTTGTAAAAGGCATCTCAGTTTCTCGATAGAATGTTATTCAACACTTACTCTGGAATAGGAGGATAGATGATGCCTTTCTGCAAGCTCTCCTCGTCCATCACGGATGCAAGACTGCACAAATAAAAGTATTAACAGTGAAGGTCGATGAAAGTAAGTGCATGGATCAATGTGATCAAAAGGAAGAGAAGGAACAAATATATTCTGTCGGCCAAGTTTCAAGTACAGTGTCGCGAAGGGACCTTGTTTCAAATAAGGCTTCAATAAGGATTGAATACAGCTCTCACGATCAGGAAGAAAATATCACGATAAGCTCCGAGAATGATATCTTTTATCTCTCATATGCCGCGAGTCATAACACAAATCATGCATTCCACCATCCACCATCAAGTCTCCAAGACACCACACAAGTTTCACTACGTACCATTCAGCGGCGGCGTGGAGCATGCCGTCTGTTATATGATGAGCACCACTGAGCAGTGCTCCAAGTCCAATTCTGAAATGCCCGATGCACAATCATGAGTCTCCAGCACTTTATACCAAGGGATATGGACAGTTATTCGGACTCTTGTAAGACAAGACGAGGGGGCAGTGCATCTCATCGTCAAATTCAGATTAGGAAAGGAATGTAAAAGCGCTATCTGTATCTGCAGCGGTCAGAGTCCTAGGTGAAAATCAGAGAAACTTACCCAGGAAACAGATACATGTTGTTACCCTGGTTCACACGGCCTATCTTGCCATCTCCTGCAATTCAAGCGGAGTACTGGAAAGTTAGATGTCATAACACACAGGATCACACTTGCATAGAGGTTGTTGAAGGTAAGAACTTAATACTGGATTGTATTGTACGGCGAGTTGGGGTTGGAGATGCGAAACAATGCTTTTGAACATAATTCGACAAAATAAAGTCCACACTACTCTAAATTTGTAATTTGACACCAGGTCTGACCAGGTATAAAAGATCGGTGAAGGTGAAAGAGAAAAGTTTGTACAAGATCATACCAAGATCCACGTCTTGAAAGGGACTACCACTTGCAAAAACGATGTGGGGGCCGACATACTTGAAAGCTTGCTCGGCTGTGCATTCAGCTGTGGGAGAAAGAGAGGTCAAGTCCATTACAAAGTCGTGATTAGATGGATGCGCTTCAAATAGTTTTGAAGAAGATTGGAAATGTACATCATGGTAAAGTACCTCCACTTGACGGGCAAGGGCTTGAACAAACCTTTTGATGTCGGATTTGACATGGGCAGAATTGCAGGTCTTGGGCAGTCAGAAAGTTTCATGGCTTCCAGAACCTGCAATGTATACGAAGGAGGTAAGGGTTTCTCGACTGAAGAAACATCGTAAAAATGTCAGCAATTGTAGAATCAATCAGGTGAAAGCAGCTTCAGCAAGTTATGAGATTCAGAAAAGGCTAAAGCAACCGTCGAGAGTGCGTGTGGGAGAGAAACATCAAACGAACATGTCTAGGATAAAGAAATCCCCATAACTTCTTCACGACTTCAACTTTTTGAGGTTATCTCAATTCCAGCTCTTATCCAAATTTCGTAAGCATTGCTCGACTAGTAGTCTAAAATGTCATCGCCTGTTAAAACTTAAAGAACTTCAGCCCCAGATCTTGTCAAAGTACCTCTTGTGTGAAAAGTCCACCTACTGCCGACAACCCCATGAGTACGTCAGGTTTCACATGCCTAACCTGTGACATCAATCACAAACATGCGATCAGAGGCGAATAAGTCGTACATCTATGAAGAAATATGCAATAACTGAAGGGATAAAAGTGAAGACGAGCATGGAGGTAGATACAGTTGGTTGGACAGAACCGATATACGTACCACATCAACCAAACTAGCACCTTCTTGTAAGCCACTTCGCGAAATGTCATCCAATGACCGTGCATACTGTTTTGCATCTGGATCGATATTTTCACGTGCCTCGGTCACCAAACCCTGTAATTTATGCAGTGTATAGAGTAAGCAGATACCTAGGATCCCTTCTTGAATATAAGTATGCAAGACAGTTTCCAACCTAAACTGTTTTCATGTTAGAACCTCAAAAGCTAGGCTAGACAAAATATCATAACAGAAACTATCCTCAAAATTAATGTTAGGAAGTTGTTGATATTATCAAAGATTAATGTTTGCTTTAGAACTGTGATAATTTGAGAATAGATTGCCATGGGACATACAATTGTAAAAGTGAGCTAATAAAAGGTTCAAAATGGTGACGAGCATGGAGGTAGATATGAAAATCATCACACGGAACAGGTGAGAACTAAAGATTTTTATCCTAGGCTGATTTTACAAATCTGTACGAACTGATGGAGACATTTGACATAAGGGTAGTACTCACGTCCTTGTCTACAAGCCAGAAATTATCAGAGCCTTGAACTTGGGGCGAATCATTGCCCACTACTCTTGCAACGGCCTGCTTCATGAAGCTCACCACTCCCAGACCAGCACTATAATACATAAAACAAAAAACAGGGATTAATTACGAGTAGAGCTCGGAAGTCTAAACTTTCCGATCTATACACCATTTTGGCTCAGTTTAATTCAGACCTTCATGCTGAAATTCAGTATGTTTGAAATCGTGCGGCTAGGTTACCGATATACAGCATAATAATTTCTTCTTATATGGCGTATTTTATATAGCTCAGGGCTGGAACATACACACAACACACCAATATTCTTACCTTCCTGCACCCACAACAACGATCTTCTGCTTGGCAATATCGGACATTGGTCGACCCTGTGCTCTTACTGCTCCTAAAACTCCTGCGAGAGCTACCCCGGCCGTACCCTACAACACCACAGAATCACAATATTATTATACAGAATTCATGTTCATCCATGTTCCGCAAGCATCAGTTACTATGCAAAGGAACAATAGGCAGAAGCACACACATAGTACGTTTTTGTTATAAATGTAGATATTTTGAAAGGGTGTAGAAGGCACATCAGCCAGCAAAAGTCGAGAAAACGAAACATAAAACCTTATCAGTGTCCAGATCTGACAGATCTGATGGAAAATTCTTTCAAGGACAATATAATCCCACAAGAAGATATAATTGATCTGTTCGATAGTGATTTCTGGGTCAAAACCATACTCACAGAGTGTACAGATTGAACGCATGATCAACTTAAAAGCACAACACCGCAAACTGTATAATTGAGTTTCTGGAATATAACTGACCTGGATGTCATCATTAAACATGCGATAATGGGTGCGATATCGCTGAAGAAGCTTAAAGGCCCACTTGCTTTGAAAGTCTTCAAACTGTTCGAGCATACAGAATGATGTTTGTTATAGAGTGCGAAAGAGTATTACATCATCAAAATATTGGGGAGCAGTCGGAGGAACTAACAATTCACAGTTGGAACACTTAAATATTAGAATGAAGATACTTACATGTTATACTGAGTAAGGGCGTCCTTTGATTAATGACTAGCTAATGAGTGTGAAACGAGACTTCAACCATTTAGAAGATTGCATGGATGAATTTATGAGATATAAGTTATAAGTTAGTTCAGTTATATCTAACTTATAACTTATGTTCAGCCTTGTGTACAACTTCAAAAAAAAGAATTGACATTATTTACCTGGACAATGACATCGGGGTAGCGCGTAAAAGCAGCCTCCATAAATTCATCAATTATACTCATATACTCCTCTCCTTCCAGCCTCGGTCGGTGTAGTCCCATGTCTACGACAAACCATATCAGTAAACAAACTTAGCATCTGAGCTTAAAAACTCTCATTCTGGAATCAATCGTGATAAATACAATGTATACAAGGTGGTGGTACACAACGACTTATGTCCCACAATACTAGTGTATTGTGGGATATCCGTATGGACAACCACGAAAACTGAATGCAGGTGGATACTGTTCTTCTTTTACCTTCTAACTCAAAGTTGCAAAGTTGTAAGATTCGAGAGACTCAAAAATTGAACTTACAAAGTGGGTTGTCCAGAAGTTGCTGATTATTAGTACCAACATCAATCATCACAGGTAAAACCTGAAAAATAACCAAAAAACAACATTCTCTACAGTCAAATAGTTTTGTACTAAATTCAAACCTTCATTTCTTGTGTTTACAGTTCTCTATGAAAGGGGATCCACATCTTTTGACATCAACAGTATGTGCTAGCGACACAAGATTACATCAAGACGTTAAAACCTGCTGAGTCTCGACGCTGTTTGGATGCGACTCTCAGTGATATTCGACCTCAAAAAATTAGATAAGAGTGCAATTTAGTGTACTTAACTGTGACGACAAGCGTCAAGAACATCGAGAATGGTTAAACTTTACTACGTACCCTTTGCGGATTCATCCCAGCTGCTGCGACATAAAGATCAAGTTTTCCAATAGGAATTCCAATTCCTTGAACACCAAGGTCTCCTAAACCCAAAATCCTGCTTCCATCCGTTACCACAATCATATCAACCTGCATATCCGAATTTAGTCAGCATCATGAAGATGGACTGCCTCAGCAATATTATGAATAAAAGACACCAGCCAAAGCAAGACGAGCCTAATCCCACCTGCTCAGCTGGCCAGTTGTATATCATGGACATCATCTCCCCCCGATCTGCAGCACTGAAGTACATGCCACGAGGGCGCCGAAATAGACCACTGTAGTTTTGACAAACCAATCCAACAGTTGGAGTATAGACTATTGGAGCCAATTGCTGAATGTTGTCGATAAGTATCTGCTCAAAAAATCACAAGTTTGTTATGTTGGACTTAAGACGATGTGCCATATAGAAGAAGAAAAGAATGAAGTGGTATTGTACAATCACGTAGCCATAAGTAACACTTCGATTGAGCAAATACAGTACAATTGTTGTAAAACATGGCTCCCACCTACTTATGATTACTCTAGTTCTTACTTTTGCACCAAACTTCTTACCTATTCTCACCACCCAAAAAATAATTTGCTTTAGTTTGTTTGACACAAGCATGTGCATTTCAGACAGGAATTTCCCAGTACAGAGGTTTAAGTCATTCTTTGTGGCGCTAACCTTGTAAAAGAGCGTCTCGTTTCTGTCATGCAACCTATTCAGGATACGCCATTTCGCTAATGCAGCAACTTCTTGCGGTCCATCTCTTGTGTTGCGCTCCAAAGACCGAAAGTTAGCCACTGCAGATGTTACAAGCTATCACATTAGCTGCAAGTTCCCCATAAATGTTGGGAGTAAGATATAACTCCGGAGAACTATGAGAACGCGATAAGATCTCCTGTGAGACTTATTGGCACAAGAGATAAAGTGAGGCATATCCGTTTATGAGAATGTGAAGTGGGAGCAATTGGTTCCAACTTTTTGAGGATTCATAGAAAACTACAAAATAATGAGTTAGGAACGTATGCGAGACAGGTGGGAATTATGAGAAGATCTGTGGTACAACTTGCTGGAAACCATAGATTAGTCCATCTTCTAATATGTCTTCTGGAATTAACTGGTTTAAAATTTTGGTCGATTTTCATAAAAATGCAATTGATAACCGCATGTTGAACATCGCTAAAAATTCCACATGATGGGATGTCTTCTCTACAGCTACTGCATGTTACTTACTGAAGCGGTCGATTTGCTGATTTATGCTCATGACTCTTGGGGGCAGCATGCCTCTCAAGCCCAGCCTTTCTCTTTCTGTCAATGGGAATGCAGTACCCTGCAGACACATAATGGTGATAGATGACATTATCAGAGTAAAGCTTACATAGTGAGCATGGCATGATCAGACAAGTACAATGAGTTCGAGCTCTACTCTCCTCTCTGCCACTGAGGTACTTGTAACATTTCTCCGTATTTTCTCAGCTCAGGTGTACCAAATCAGCTTTTAAATGACACTCTCTACCTGGGCTAATACAATTTGTAAGAGATGTAGAAATTGATGACTTTTCTACGTCAGCAAAGACAATCTGATCAATTTTGAATTTCTCTTTCTTTTGCAAAAGACTTAGCCCATGCATGTACAGAAAATGGTCGGCTGGCTCCGTGACAGAGCACGAATTCGTCATCGATGGGAATCAGACGTGACTTGTCGGTTGACCTTACCTTATTGTACCAAGGATCATGTAGAATGTCAGAGCTTCGTTTGTTGACAATACTGGGTCTCACAACTTTCCTTTGACCAAGATAGCGCCTCGCTCCCTCGCGCAATTGCCAGCATTCTGACTCCAACGCTTTCACCACGGCCTTGCGGGCACGGGAGGCGATCGCCTGTGCCATCGTTGCAGGTACCTCCGATCAGCAGGGGGCAGCGAATCTGCACTCTGACGATCTGAGCTGCTCTTGTGCTCGTGCTCAGTCACTCTCAATCGCTGCACCCACTGAGCCCAGACAGCAGCTCTCAATCAACACGGAAGTCCGTGGACATGTCCTCACATCAAAGCAGAAGCGGAGCGCATCCAATTTACGATCAATCAAATTTTTCTGGCAGATTTAAGCGTCTCTGCTCGATCAAGACTCGAAGGAGACCAAAAGTCATTGTCCAATAGCAGCCTGCTACCCTGTCCTAAAATCCACCCTTGACCTTCCCCGAGGACCAGAATGAAGGCAGAAACACGGGCCTTCAAAAACATGTGGGTCCCCTTCCATTCTCTGTTATTATACTCTGTACTCATGGATTTCCGTCTACCTGCTCCTAAATTTGAACGAAATCAACGATCGGTTGCTCTCCAGTCCCTGTCCTCGCCTACGACAGAACACAGAGCAACACTTACCGCATGCTAATGTTGATTTACACCAAACCATGTAAGTAATTGAGAAAGCTAATCATGTTATCATCTTTACCTGAAGGGTTGACTAGCTGTAGTCAGTACAGTGGTGTAGAGTACTGGGCAGCCAGTACTAGCTGTATACTGTCACATTGTATTAGGCCATGGAATCATGATCCAAGGCCTCTTTGTGCCTCTTTGTGGAGTGAAAGTTCACAGAGGATGCTTTGGCCCGGGATGAGCAAGGGGAATGAGCTGGTATGGACTTACCAAGTCCACAGTCTCAGGTTTGAACTACTCTGAGTCTCCTCCTTCGACTGAGAGCTGTTCAAGGCTCAAGAGGTGTGAATTCCTGAAGTGGTTTGACTTTGCGCTTTCATTTTCTCTCTAACGATCTTCGACTGTGAGCAGTTTCTGTTTTGGGAATCAGACAGCGGATCTTCATCCGATTGACGATTCTTCTGGGGCTAGTCAGCATCACGATATTCGCAAGAATCATACATGTGCAACCTTCCTAGTACAGTACATTAATTCAGATTGTCAGCAAAGTAGAGGGCGAAAGGTCCTTCTTCCGAAACATGTGCTTTGCACGATTTCTCGGTACTCTAGCCGACTAGGCGAGGCAGAGCCGACCCGAGCCAAACTAAGCTATGTGAGTCCAGAATGGCAGCCATGCACATTTTCCACAACAGTACGACTTTGGCTCATTAACAATGGTCCCGTGCGGACATTGAGCCGAAAGAGGTCGGAGACGTGGTCTACAGATTTATAGGCTTGTTCATAATAATCTTATGCATGAAATTCCCAAAACCTTCTACATGTCTCTGACACATTGTGACTTTGCAAATCACGAAGTGTCATAGAAATGGAGCTATGGACTTTGGACATACAATGTGGATCTACAAAAAATTAAGAAACAAAGAATTTCGTGAGCAAGCCGTGCCAGTAATATTCCTCACTTGTAGGGATTTCGAAAATATAGGACGGAAGATCCTTGAGTTGAGTCAGCAAGGTTAGGCTCGAGCTCTGAAGAAAGCAAGGGCTAAGTTTGTACTAGTGTCGCTGCTTCTTCTGCCTCAAACGCGGACCACGAAGGTCTCCGCGTGTTGAATAGCCATGCTCTGAAAGCGTCAACGGAGCAGTCAATCTTGACGGTCGGGATGTGTGCGTGCGTGCGGTGAATACCTCGGCATCTCTGACGTTCCCTACTTTTCTGAGAATATTACCAACATGCTCCCTCTGTATTCCAAGCTACTCAACTTCTTCCACCCTTTTCTTTCCTCTTCATCAATTTTACCGTACCAATTTGGACCTTCCTCTCGGCAATCTATGGCATTTTTCCATTTGCATGACAGATTTCGCGTGGAAACATTTGGAATCCGGAATCTGATGCTGAGGCTTGGCGCAAAATGCGTACCCATTGACACATTATCCTCAATTTTCTAGATGCACGTACAACATGAATGACATGTGGAAGTATAGTACGTCAGTAATTGCGTATTCGAAATCTTTCAAACCGATTTTTTCGCCACAAGGCCTGCACGATTTCGAGGTTTTATTCCTTCACCGTCTGAATAAATTCTCCCGTTTTCATCTAAGTGGGTGTATACATGATGAACCTGGCATGGGTCCTACAATATTACTCAGTCATAGTGGGGGAAATTTGACACTCAAATTACTCGCGGGAAATTTCCTGACAACCCCTTAATATCTGAGATTTCCTTGGTTCCCTACCATTTGGGATAAATCACTTTTAATAGATTTCGGCCTTTGATAAAACACTGATGCGCACTTGGTAATGCCTTATAATTTGGTGAGTCGCGCCGAGTTGAGCCTAAGATCACATGGTTTTCAATTCAAAATGTGAAATAGGGCCTCATGAGAGATTGGAGTGGGGAAAGAAGGGAGGGCTGGATGATTAAATAAATGGAATCGAGTGTTAGATATTATCGATTCTCCACAATTTTCAGCATATTATCTAGGAATATTTTACGAGAATCTATGTCCTTAGTGAAGACAGGCCTGGTCGGACCACATGTTGACCAGGGCTAGAAATGAAAAGTGGACATGGGACAAACATAGAAGTATAGCATTCTATCTTGTCAAGTTAGGAAACCCGACGCAATTGAAGTAATGCAGGTATCCACCTACACCTGTCTATACCATAAAGGATGGCAGTAAAAAGCACAGAGAGTGGCTGAGTGAAAAAGTTGTGTGGTAGCTCGTAATGCAACGGATGAAGTACTTCTCGTCTTAGGTTTGAGATGATATAGTATGCACCACAGACATTTTGTTACTATTGAATACTTTGATGACTTTCGAAAATCTCCCTTTGATATGAAGATTTCAAATTGAGGAGTTTGCATCCTCGTAATGGGTGTGTAAACTGATTCTCGCAATTCTTTGGGAGACTTAAAGTTGCAAAATTATGAGCAGTCATTACACCTAACCATGTGTTTTTGAGGATGTTTCAGGGTTTGGTGGTTTTTTCCATTTCCTGGAGGTCCTGTCCACGGATGTCTTCAATCTAACATGTTATAAAAAATGGGAGAAAAGAATAATTATTCTTCCTACTGTGAATGAAACGAACACGGAGCACTTTCGGAATCACTAGAATTCAAAAAATGCCGCATTTACGAGAAAGAGTTCAGATCAATAACTATCGACCATCTCACAAAGGGAAGAAAAAGAAAAAAGAAAGCAAAGAGAGTGAAGAAGGAAACATTATATGATATTTTCTTGAGTGCAGAAGCGTATCAATCAGTAGATTAGGTAGCAATTTTGGTTTATCGAGTCACCTCAGCAGTTTAGAGATTTGTCAAGTAGGATACGAAGAGTTAATACGAGGATCAACATGATGCAAGAATGAGCTAAGCGTCCACGTTGTCCTCAGGAGCGCACCACCTCATCAAGTGTACAGAAATACCGTATCTAGATCGGGCAGGGCGTACATTGTACAGTATAGTTGCAAGTTCTTGCCACTCTGGCAGCGTGACTCATCCAAGTTTCCTCTGTTTGATAAACCCGCGTTCCTGGTGGCCTGACCAGTTGCATAGTTGACACGTGTTCCAGAAGCATTGCCATCTGGCGCTATGGGCACCGGAATCTGTACGCTCCATTCCGGTGTTCACAGGAATTGGCAATTCTTGGGGACGGAGGCGAAAGAGCAAACGAGGAACCGAGACACGATTCCGCGGAGCGGGGATGCCGATCGTGTGAAGGGAAGTTTTGCTGGCGAAGGACAAGGGAGGGAGAGGAATTGACAGGACGCGCAAATGTGGGGAGGTAGCATGGTTCGCAGTTCACTGAGTTCTCCGCTGGCTGGAATTTGCTCCAGCAGTCTGCCACTGGTCCCTTGTCGACAGGCATTAGGTGAGTGTTTTTTATCTGTTTTTTCTTTGAAGAATTTTTGGTCAAGTAACTTGTTAGGGCTTTGCCTTTTTTTTTGTTTTTGGTCGATCGGTGCATCTTGGTTTCTATCGCACTGCAGATCTCATGTCAAAGGTGTGGTCTCGAGATGTGTTTATGGATTCCGTAATTGATGTCAACCCAATCTCTGCAAATGGGCATGTTTTCTCGTACTCGCAGAGTTTCCTGATTTCTCCTTAGTTTCCTCCGAGCAGCTGATGAATCAAGCCTTGTCTATCAACTTTCCTAGCTAGGATGATTGAAGTGAGTGGATCTTGTTGAGGCTCTTTCCTGGGACTCTTGAATCAAAGCTGTTATCGTAACATTGTATTGTGCCGTTTCTGTGTAACTACAGCGACTTATGTGTTGAAGCTTTGTGAGTTTCAGTCATCTAGAATTATGTCATTCACATCAGCTACTTTAATTAAAATTCCTGAATTGTTGTTAAACTTCAGTCCTTTTGAATTTTCTGGCCTTTACTTGGGAAGTAAGTAGATCTGCTAAATGATTTCTTGAAGATGATCATCCACAAGTGAGTGTTACCTTGAAACTCTGAAAATTGCATGAACCAATTAGTTACTGATTGCGGACCGGGTTTGAGGCAGTCACTTAAAGTTCGTTCCAATATCCTCAGACGATTCAGACGGAGCCGAACATTCACACCCTTGCAGACCCATAGAGTTACTCAGCTAATGTTTGTCTTTAGGATACAAGCTTTCAAAGACTTAGTTGATTTTGGTCTAAAATCTAATCAGTTTTTCAGCCTATCTCATCTATCCGTGTTGTAAAGCCATGTCTTAAGAACCGCTAATCTGCATTTTGCTTCCTTACGATTCAAAGTAGCGGTAAGAAGCAACGCGTATTTCAAATTAGTGACACAGACTGGTCGCCAGAGTGTTTTGGCGCACTTTTGTTAATGTGGTACAACTACAGTTGGGATTATGGTAGGATAACAATCTCACTGTCTTTGTAACTCTGCTGCAGCCAGAACAACATTTCTGGGAAGGCGGACGAAGGGAAGCCTCTCACAAAGTTTGACATTCTGCAAGACATACAAGGTGGGTGAGGCAGTGATTCGACTGCATCTGGTGTTCTTGGAGTAAATTTTCTGGGACCTTTTTGAGAAGCTCTCCAACAAATCTATAAACATATTGATGATTCTACATCAGTAGTTTAGAAATGGAAATGCTGTTGTTTCGAGAATTGAGTAGTTTTAGCGGTGGATAATGATGAAATGCTTTGTTCATTATATACTCTAGAGAAGCTAAATCACAATCCTGTTTTCTGGGCATTCTTTTTGCTAGGCTGCTTTCACGCATGACCTGAAGAACAGAAACTGTAGGGCGTCTCTCCCAGATGATGCACCTTTCGCGCTGGCAATTGGGGCATGTCTCCTTTCCACATTAGTTCTACCAAACGTCGAAGAAGAAGATAATGATAAGAAGGAAAATTCGTTGTTTGGACCAGACGACATGCGGTCCGGTGCCATGCAGATTATAAGCTTCATACCTTTATTCAACTGGCTGGTACGTTTTACTTCTGGTTTCCAGGTGCATACCTCAAAGGACTATGTTAGGACGGATTGGTGTTCGATTTCTACCAGAAATTTGAAAATTGACAATTTAAGTTATTCTTGGCGTTACTTTTTACGCAATGTTATGTAAAGCGTCATTCATTCGTAATATTTCGGCCAGGTCTGGATTTTTGCTTGGCTGGACAGTGGAAAGCAACGATACCTTGCGTTCGCCATCGTATATCTTGCTCCTTACCTCAAGTATGGCATTCTCAGATGTGTCTGTTGCAATGACTAGCTGCTTCTATAAGAAGAACCTTTTGATGTTTGTGCATAGAGAGCCCTGCATCAGTTATTCTCCACAGTTGTGCAATGATATCATTTTTATGGCAGATTATTTTCAAAGGAGAAGCTGCCAATCAAACACGTTGGATTGATTTTGCTTAAAGAGATGTTTAGGGTTTAGGAGCATGTTTACACTGCAGGGTGTGATTCTGATGGTTACTATTGATCTTGTAGTAGGGTTACATGGATAACCGTGGTTTCTCACTAAGTCGCTTGAACTGTCGTGTAGGACTGGACTATCGCTAAATCCAGAAGATAGTTGGCTACCACTCGCAAGTGTACTGGCCTGCATTGCTCATGTACAGGTATGGAAAATTTTCACATTTTGTTGTTGTTTTTGTTGTTATCATCACAATCATTATTATCATCATCATCATCATCTTTTAAACATTTTTCGAAGTGCTATCAGTTAAGTAAGATCATTCTACTCAGTCAGTTCAAGATTGAATCGAGTGCTGGTCATGTTAGTTTTTAAACTCGTATCGATCTGTAAAAGGACAAATGTATTTAATTTCAAGTTATTGTACAGATGTACTTATGACAAGCACAGCTCTACGACCAATCGGTTAACAGCCGACCAAAGAAAATAGCTCCGTGAGCAAAGGCACTGTTGCAAGTTATCTTTCAAATTGTACTAAGTTGCTTCTTGTGGAATTCTGGTCCCAGCTAGATCTATCAGTCACTGGAGAAGGATCGCAACCGCCTTTGATTGACGTTTCAAAGTTGATGTTGGAGAAGTCGCAATTCAAGGATCTTCGTGCTCGCACTGAAGGGCTGGTAGGACGATTGAAGGAGCTTGCTGAACGAACGGTATTGAGTCGTGAAATCCCTTGCTGATTTTTGTATCAAATTTCCTTTTATTTTCTAGCAGTAACTTAGTACTTTGGGTTCATCTATGAGATTAAAATTGGCTTCAGGGTGCAAAGAAACCAATATTAAGACATCGTTGAAGTTTTGCTGGATGTGCTAGAATCTCACAAACATTTGCATATACAGGATGTACGCAGGGTAGATGAAGCCGTCGAAGGTGATGAACAAACTGCTGCAGAGTGGAAAGCAATCCAAGAAGAAAAGGAGAGGGATGAGTTGAAGGAGTTTGATGAAAAGCTAGCCAGATCTCGTTCTAAAAGGGGTGAAACTGTTGAAGAAGTCACCAAAGAGATCGAGCGGTAGAATCGTCTGACTTGAACGTTTTGCTATTTTGGTCACTTGTCGCCGTAGCCGCCAAGGCTTACTGTAAAACCTAAGGAGGACCGTAGAATATATCCAGTTCTGATTTTGTACTTTAGACCGACAGTCTGTAGATTGTTTCAAATATATCAGTTTCCTGCAATGAGGTCTCCATATAGAGAGAAGCCTTTTGACTTGTACTTGCACCTTTTGGTGCCATGCAGTTGTATATTATCTGAAAGAAGTTCATCGGAGGGAAACATTAAAATTGTTCGAATCTTACGAGAGCAGTACACGACTCGATTCGCTCGGTTGCAAAATGAGTTATCATTCTAATATGATCGTTATGTTCCTCGAATTAACTTGCTTCAAGAAGAGACACACAAGCAGGACATGCCCGTTGTGAAATTGTGAAAATGTGAATTGGCATCTGCAGCTGCAAAATAGAATTTATATTTCACGAGGTAAATCACATTGATGCAACGGTAGAAAAGGACCTACCCCACTGACAGATCTACCTGGATAAACAACACTTCTTCCAAGTAAATCTCCACGGAAACTTCCTTCTTTTCCTTCAATTAAACCAGAAAAAGATTTGTAAGGTATGTTATGACTGTCTATCATAAGTTGTCCTAGAAAACCATTATCGATAAGTGCATCAACTGCTTCTCGAACTAATCGGTTTTGGCAAACCACCAAACCTTCTGGAGTAGAACCACTTATCCAGAAGAGTATTATGTCTATACATAGCTCTTCTAAAAAGTTCATTCAACTCAGATGTTACAAATTCACTCTCACCTAGTTCAATAATTGGGGTAAATATCCAGAAGAGTGTTATTTCTATAAATACTCTTCTATAAAGTTCATTTAACTCAGATGTTATAAATTCACCTTCGCCTAGTTCAATCATTGGACGTAAAGCCGGCGGAAGCACTGTTAAACAAAGAGTAATTCGAATTTTATCTAAATTTGAATTAGTCTTCACTTGTGCATTGCTTTCTGATACTTTTATCTTAGCTTTTCTGATTATTTTTTTGGTCATATAAAATCGAGCAACAACCTTGGAGTTTTTTAATTTACAAACAGCTCTTGAACCAGTTGCATTATTTGCTTATGGCTTTACAATTTCAACTGCTTTATTGGCTACAATGATGAACGCGATCTTCGGCCTAATTTTTGCTTGGGATTTGGTATGATATGAAAGGTACCCAAGGACGATATTTTTCTTCTCCTACTTGTGCTCTGGTAGAATCACAAATCTTCAAAAACATATTCGACATAATTTTGACCAACCATCGGAATTGTTTGTAAACTTTAGTGGCTAAAACAGTCAAACTTAATAAAATAGCGATTAAAATCCATGAGGTTATTAATGCTTGTTCTTGAACTAGAAAACCACATAATAGTATGTCGGCTACATATTGGTTTTCATGATGAAAACTATTCGTTCGCAATAGTACACAAAGTGAAGCGCCTTGCAAAGTGATCTTTCTCATGATCAAGGTGAGCTGATGCAAAGATATTTCCTATTTTTAATTCAACCCAGCGGGAAGAAAGGGGGTAACATCGAAGCAGTTGTAAATTTGACGAAATCTGTGTCCATTTGGCCTATCATTCAGAACCTACCGAAACAAGCACTCACAAAGTGGAAGTCCTTTGACTGTATTTTACCTCATTTATGAATTCTGTACCAAAACACGGTAACATGCTTACAACCCATGCCAGAATAAAAGTATTATACTCTTGATAATTAAGTATAAACTTCGGACCTCCTCGGGTTCCTGTACATCTTTGTCTGTTTGGACAAAATACAATAACAAAGAAAATGGAAGATCCTATCAAGTATTACAAGCCTGGTTAGGTTCCACGAGCATCACACTGTGAAATTTGTCATTCAACACATAAGACCTAGGTCAAAGGGTCTAAAGTCAAACTTAGTACTAATAATCACTTAACGCGTTTGCTATATGATGGTTTTCACAAACTATTGCACTTTGTATAGCAATTAGGATAAGTTACCTAGCATAGACGATACAACATGCTAAAGAGAATGAAGCATTGTTCTCTAAAGGATTCACATACTATTGCACTTTGTACAGTGATAAAAAATTTTTAAAATAGTGCCGACAATACAACATGCTAAACAGGTGAAACATTGTTCCTTTGTGGATTTCGATCACTTTTGCTCTTTTTATAAAGATAAAAAACAGTTGAATAGCGCAGACAATACAAATGCTTGAGGGAGTGAAACATTGTTCTCTTGTGGATTTCGTACACTGTTACTCTTTGTATATCAATAAATCAATTTAAATAGTGCAGAAAATAAACCAAAGAGAGGTACAGTCCTATACACACGACGGCAATCTTTCACCCAATTGACAGAATATATTGGAATGTTCATAATAAACGTATACGACTCCAAATCCATAATAACAGAAGAGAAAAAAAATATTCCATCATACTTGTTAACTCTGGTCGTTGCAAATCCACTCGCATCGGCATTTACCAACGTGCGGGTATCTGACCGTAATATATCTTGACGATATTATGTGATTATAATGGACACAATCAATGTGATGTTACATTGACTACGTAACATGATTGGACATTGTATAAATGTTACATTAATCATGTAACATGATTGGACAGATTAAAAAAGGGGCATATTATAATCTGTCCAATACTTCCTATATGGACTTCCTCGATGCTCTTTTGAATTGTTTGCTACAGAGTTCGAGTAACGGAGGAGCACAGCGATCGATATCATGGGGAAGGGGGCATGGGTCGAAGCACATGCAATTTCAAAGATATAATTAGAAAGCAAGACCTGGACGAAAACATCGTGTGTGACCACCACATTTGCGAGGATGGCTTGATATCTGCACATCGTGCAGCTGAAAGTACAATGGGATTCCATAGATTTGGACCATGGTACTGGACTGAGTCAGAATCGCCTCAGTCGGATCATTGGTACAGATTGTCGCCATAGCACTGCCGAGGCCGATTATGCTCTCGGGAACAGGGCAGCTCAAAGATAGTCGCAGTCGTGGGCATCAAGTCCGCTTTCTGGTTCTGGTGCTCTCGGAGCTCGCTGTTCTCCAGATGTCATGACGCTCTCGCCGTGTGCCTGCTCTAGTGCTGTACCGCGTGCTTACATAATCCAGGCTTTCAACTCATGCAGGCGTGTTGCCGCCGCCGCTGATGCTGCTGCTGCTCCTGCTTTGAAGTGAGGTCCCACAGAGAGCCATACGGAACTAGTTTGAGCAGATGCATGCACCTGCGGAGATCCTTGAAAATAAAGAGGCGCGAATCACAAGTTGTCGAGGACTTTCAGCAGATGCAGTGGATATTCTTTCTTCGCTCCTTGAGGGAGGACACATCGTTTACCGATATGGCCTTCCTCGCAGATTCAGTGCCCAGATACTGGCAACCAACCCACAGGCCAGACGACGACGACGTTCCAGGAACAACGAAGGAGTATGGTTCTGGCGTAGGCTCTGATCTTGCCTCCCTCCACTCCATGTCCGCTCTCCACGACGATTATTGACGCCCGTGGTGGTTGGAAGATAAATGCCCACCACCATCGGTCTTTCCAATCATTCGGCATCAGAATTAGGATTGTGCCTTAGTGAGCAATCCCTGCCATTCATTAGGGTTGCACTTGCGAAAGGCGCATCCGAAAGTGGCATCTACACTGTCTGTATCTCGACGACCCATCCCCGCTTTGCATCAAAAACCCTACACCGGATCATCATCACCGGAGCTCACACCCTTTCTATGCTGAAACCCTCTTTTCGTGATTCTTATGTGGAACGGAAACTCTTTTCTTGAAAAGAAAACAAATCCGTGAAAGAGAATCGAGGTTTCACCCGATTCCTCCACCTTCACCTTCAGAGCTGCCCTTCGGATTCATCCATGGGGTCGGTCTCGAGAAATGTCAAATTTCTTCCTTCGGAAGTGGAATTCGAAGCACGTGGAAGCGCTTCAGCTCCGGTTCGAAGAAGGTCGGGGCAATCATACTCGGAAGTCCAACCGAGCCGAACGTTCTGCAGCATGATTGCCTCGGAGCAGACACAACGGAACGTTAACCGCCCGTTTTGTCATATGCTCGGGCGGAACCAACCCTATCCCAGAACGCCGTACCGGCCCCTAAGACCAGGGCACGCCGACTCCGACTCGGCCACGCAGCTCGCTGACGTGGCGCTTTGGGGCAAAGCGCCGGTGCTCGTGGGGGTGGGGGGATTCGGGGCTTCATCCACTTCAGCAAGAAAGTCAAAAGAAGGACGCGGTTCGTGCGACCGGCGCCGTCGATCGGATGATCGTTCGGGAGCAGCGGGCGGTCGGTGCCGGAACGCGGGCCGTCGATCTCTCGCAGGCTCCAGCGAAAGCGGAGGATAAAGTAGCGGGTTCCAAAAAGGATCCCGCCACGAGAAACACTCCTCGCGCCAACGCTCGGACTGGGTTCGTCGCAGAGCGTCGTATCTCGCGTATCCCGCTCACCACGTAAACCCCCGGGCCTCGGGAGAAAGCTACTGCGGCTGTAGATCCGCAAACACAGTAAACTACCTTCACTCGGCCTCCGTGCCCTCCTCCCAATTGTGGGTCCCACTACCGTCTCCCGGCCCTCGGACGCCCGATACCCATTCGCCGGGAGCCTCGGAGCTCGGACATCTATCGGATTCGGGGTCGACACTCTCGGTCCCCTCTTGAGACCGAAGGACCGTGGCCGGGATTCGCTGCACACGAGCCTTGTCCGCGAGTCCGTGAGGGTCGAGAGAGTCATTTGAGTCGAGAGAGGCTCGTCGCGGCGATGGGACTCTCGGTCAAGAGGTAGCTCGCAGGGGCGATCCGGGGGATAAGTCGGGAGGGAGAGCATGTACGACGAGGTCGGAATCTCACCGCGGGTAAAAGCGAGCCAATGAGAATCACGGCGGGGATATCCGGCGGTCGTTGGAGGAAATAATCCTGCAGATTGTCGCAGCCCTGCGAAGGGAAGGCCCACGGCTGCACGCCCAGACAGCGCTGTCTGTCTGTTGGCGCGAGCGAGCAATTGCGTGGCCCGGGCGCAAGCGCGAGGGGCGAGCGACAAATTGGACCTTGCTCTCTCTTTCTCTGCCTCTGCAGGAGTTTCGTCGGCACAATGGTGGAGGGCGATGTCGTCGCAGCTCCATCGCCATCGACATGTCGGAGAGTGGTGCTGCCCAGCTTGAAATCGCGCGGTCGCGGAAGCGGAAATGTGAAGGAATTTGGGTTCCAGGTTATGGAGAAGTGGGGCGGTTTGGAGCTCGCCGTCGGGGCGAGCTCCAAGGCTCTGCAGGTGAATGTAGGTAGGACAGTGGACCGAGCGAGAAATGTCATGGGGGATTTCTCCTCAGGGCGCGGTGTTAGGAAGGAATTCGAGGCGTTTTGGACGTGGGTTTGTGAGGAAAGTGTGGCGAATCAGGATGCGTTCAGGTTCAGGAGCAGGGACAGGCGAGGTAGGCCGCAGGTGTCGTTCGTGGCGAGCACCACTTCTTCTCTGCACTCGACATTCTTGGCCAGCACTGCTGCCAGTTTAGGAAATATGAAGTGGAGGAGGCATGGTTTGAACGACACTCTGGACGGGTCCGTTAATTGTCTGAGCGCAACAGAGCTGTTGAAGCATCCCATTGCCATTGTAAGCTTAGTCCCGCGAGAGCTCTCGTTGTTTTTCGCTGGAGCGGTAGCGGGAGCCGCTGCCAAAACCGTCACCGCTCCACTCGACCGAGTGAAGCTCTTAATGCAGGTACGCACGCCTTCCAGCAATTGACGCTTCGTTTTGATAGAGCTGAAACACTGCTCCCACCGTACATACACAGTATAGAGCAGGAAGAGCGAGATGAGAAGATTTGCACTTAGACGCCTCGACCAGACTGGATTTTTGCAGCGCTTGTACTTGGACAGTAGTGCATGTAGCTGCCATAATTATTTGCTTTACAGAGCAGAAGTGCAGGTCTTTTTAGATTCATTCGCTAAACCGTCTTCACACTCGTCTCCTCGAAGGGTCTGTCGGTTATGTTATCGAGCAGAGAGCTGATGGACTTTCTCGGCAGCTGCCCTTATCTTGCAAAATTGGAAGTTAATGTTTAGCCTAGAAAGGTCGGCTATGCTCCAACAAAGCTACAAGTAAATACTTCGGACCATTTACAGGTGCACGGAGTACAGGCGGCTCAAGCAGGTGTTAAAAAAGGAATAGGCTTTATCGAGGTATTTGCCATTCCCTTGGACTTACAAGCGAAGTAATTTCATATCTATGCGACTGAGCCCACATAGCCCAATGTTCAGTGAGTTTTAATTTATGAAAATTAGAACGTTTCGGTGCACACGCTAATTTGAAGTACAAATTACTGATGTCTGAAGCTTTCTCATCCTACACTCTCGATTCTCTTAAGGAAGTTCCTGCGTTCTGTATTTCAGCCCTTTTTTCTATCGCCTTTCTGTTGGTAGGGATGGCTGAGTGGAACATGTTTGATTATCTTCTGACCAGGCCATTATGAAGATTGGAACGGAAGAAGGAGTGAAGGGCTATTGGAGGGGGAATCTCCCGCAGGTCCTTGTCAATCAATTCTTTTAATCAAGATGTTCGTTTCGACTGCCTTCTAATTTGCAATCTGATATTTTAACAGACACTTGAGGAGTCGCACGAGTACATGACCACCAATATACTCACCATCTTTTTCTTTCTTGGTCAATGACAGGTTATCCGTGTGATTCCTTACAGTGCTGTTCAGCTTTTCGCTTACGAAACTTACAAGGTATTTCCTCGTGGCATTCGGCCGTGTTGAGAAGGGGCAGTTTTCAGTGTCGAAATTTTTTAATTCTCAAACATGTTACGAAATCAGTGTCTCAGACCTAAGATAGTTGCATGTTGTCACTTTGTAAGCTTGACCAAAACTCACCAGTAGGGGGTGTGGCGTGCCATGAAGAGTTCATTATTTTAATGCTTCTCCCGGTAGACCTAATCTGATGTAGGTGGCATGCTCGCTTATCATACACCATCGCTCCGATTGTATTCTAAGGACCAAAGATTTTCAGTTGTAGCCGGTGAATGTTGTATTAAGAACCAGTGATTCTTATCAGTACTCATGACTCTCCTAAATGCTTTCTCGACATCGTTTCTTCCTTCGTCACTTATTGATAAACACTGGGTACCGGAAAAATCTTCAAATCCAGTCCGGTCCTGCTTTTATCGTAAGGTTTGACGAGAAACTTAACTTAGCTATAAGCTGAATTGTCTTCCTTCAGAGACTCCTGAAAGGCGATAACGAAGAGCTCCCTGTCCTAAGTAGGCTCACAGCAGGGGCTTGTGCAGGAATGACTTCTACCCTGGTAAGAGCTTTTATTGAATCTTCTCTCGTATCATAGATACGAATGTTTTATTGTACTTTATCTTTGCCGGTTGTCTACGTTGCCGTCTGGTCGTCAGCTTTGTCAGCTTATGCAATCGGTTTTTTTTCTTTTTTAATGTCAAACCAGGTCACGTATCCCTTGGATGTATTGCGTTTACGCATGACGACTGATACAGCCGCAAAAAGCATGGGTCAGGTATGACGTCGAACTTTCTGCTTTTGCTTCCACTGACCCATGAGGTAGCAAAGTAGTTATGACTGTTCGCTCTCTTATTCGAGGTTTACGGGTTGCTGGCTCCTTAATTTCATCACTCTTTGCAGGTTGCTTTGAACATGATGAAGGAGGAGGGTTTTGCCGCTTTTTACAGGGGCCTAGGGCCGTCTCTTCTCGGGATTGCTCCATATATTGCGCTTAATTTTTGCGTGTTTGACTTGTGAGTGACCCCTTCAAGTTACACGCCTGGCAGCTGCTTCGCTTTTTTGAAATAGACAGAAATTGAGGTAGCTCGGTGAAGATCGATCACAGATAGAAAGTTGTGTTTTTTATTGATTGGAGCAAATATCGGGTGTAGGGTCAAAAAGTCCCTTCCAGAGGACATCCAGAAGAGGCCAGAAGCGTCCTTCTTGACCGCATTGGTATCAGCTACCTTTGCAACTACTATGTGCTATCCTCTTGATACAGTTCGACGCCAGTTACAGATGAAGGGGACTCCGTTCAAAAGCGTCGCTGACGCAATTCCTGGTAAGCACATTACTTACTCCTGCACTTAATAGGATTAACATATGCCGTACAGGCAGTCTTCGTATCCTGGTTGTTTATGTATTTCCCTGATTATGGTTTCTGACCGCTCACAGTCTAGCATTTACCTCAAACTGCAACTGATGAGTAGGAATGATCCAATACTGATCTTTCTGGACGTTCTGAAATTTTGTGAAGGTATTATCGCTCGAGATGGTTTTGTTGGACTTTACCGTGGTTTTCTTCCTAACGCTTTGAAAAATCTTCCCAACAACAGGTATGTTCATGAATCCCCTGATCATTTTTGCCTTCTGAACATTTAGTCAGTCATACTTTTCTACACTCCTTAAAAAAGAGCTTTCCTTTAAAAAGAGCCTCTCTTTGATTTCTTTGATTCTCTTTGATTCATCTTATAGATACTTGCCACGTGCTCGTTTTCTTCTTTTGGTTTTCTCTTTTATGCTTCTAAGGTTTTAGATAATGTATCGTCACATGAGAGAGGAAATTAACTTGACAATTTGGCGAAGATTTTCTGAATGGATTGCTGGTTCTTGTTTGAATGCAACGCAGCATTCGTCTCACAACCTTTGATGCAGCTAAGAATCTGATCAGCCTAAGCCAGGACGAGTACGACAAACTTGTGAAAGACCAACAAGAGGCAACGACCTCTTCGTAAATTAAGTCTACATTTCGAATTAACTTCACCCGGAAAGAGCCCATTTGATTCGTTCGTCACACACTGTAAATTATGAGTTAAATTAGTGCAGATCTTGATATAGATCGTCGGAACGAGGTTTAGATAGTCTACAATACCTAATGCCAGTAGAATCCCCGCACCAACACCCGCTGGTGTAAGTTTTGTTCTTGTTGGCGTCAGCCCGCAATAGTTAGAACATTCTTTGGATCACAGTGAATCCTTTACGCATATCGTAGTTCCACTTCCATCAATTATTGTAGCAAGATACGAACATGGCAAGTATTGCATGCAACTCAAGAGTGACCCGGGGTCTCAGTCATCCAGCATACAGACTCTTTCAGGTGGTCCTGTAACAAGTAGAGACTTTAAGCTCTAAAGCAGAGTTGCCTTTATCATAGTGTACCCTACGTGAGCACGAAAAGTGAGCACCGTTTGGAGGGCCACCCAGGATAAGTGAGTTTTGCAGATCGTCAACCATGCTACCTCGTAACATTAGCAAAGACAGCCTATGGGAGACTCTAGAAAGGATCTAGGAGGACGCTGGAGAATGTGTTTTTACGAACTAGGGGTGTCTTACTTCTATATTTAAATGCAAACAGTCCGGTGTCCGACCGTCCTATTCCTTGGGTTCAGTCACCATTCTTGAGAAGAATGGTGCTCGACGTGCAAACAGTCGATGTACGACTCTATTCTTCCTTGGGCTGTGTGACGAATTATGCATGGGAAAGAATTGTGCGTTATGTGAAGTGTGGGATTGATGTAACAAGCTCTCTGACGTCTACGTCGCTCAGTTAAGCCGGTGATTTCCCAAGTGTGCAAGGAGTTGGACGATGGAACTTCCAAATTGTATGTCATGAAGATTCTGGCAGCAATTTTCCAATCAATAGACAGCAAAATTTAGAGGAAGAGTTTATTACTCTTTCACCAGTCACATCTACATACCTTTCCTATGAGCCGTCTAAGTCGAACGTCAAATTGGTTTGCACAGGTTTAGTAGCTTCCACCTCCACGTCATACATCATAGTCAATGAGGCTGGGGAATCAAAGCCCAAGTTTCTTTATATAAGCGGCCGTATGACGTGGTCTGGGCACATTGAGTGGATAAGAAGTGTTGGGAAATTAAGTTACGTCAACTTCCTAATTAAGTCACAAGACAAGGAGTTTATCACAAAGTCACTGACAGCTTAGATACGAGCATCAGAAGACTATCAGTGTCATTCAGGTAAAGTCCCGTGTTTCTGATTTGTGGAGAGGAACCAAAGGCGACATTTTCATACTGCTTTCAGAGCCATTTACTTAGTCTCCTGCTTGAGCTTCCTATGCTCAGGGTTTGAGGAAGAAGGTGTCAGCCGTCTAGTTTCGAGATTAGAGTTCTAAAGTTAGTGCCATATATCCCAATGTACCTAGCAGCCACGTCCACACAACTGTTTAGCATTACGTCTCTGGCACAACTGCCCGTGTGATCAAAAGGTACATTTAGGAAAAGACGATGAGGTCAGGAAGACGATGGTGAGCTGAATCGGACCAGGAACGAAAGAGGCAAATAAAAGTTTATGATTTTCTTTGGGAGGCGGGATCCACAATTAACGCAGTCTGGTGATTTGACTGTAAGCTGACTCACAACAGTTTCTGTAAATAGCTTGTCGACCTCTTTTAAAAGCATGACTCTTAGTTTATTAAGTAATTTGAGGTCTAGCACAACGAAAACCGAACACTAATGACTCCTTCGGACACAGTGACTAATGAAGTTGTCTTTCAATCTGAATTTGGAAAAGCATCAGATTCTTTCTTCAACTTGATCCCATAAGATTGTATAAGAATTTGAAAGTAAAGGCAGCTAAGTCCATGATACATTAAAGCCTACATTCTTTCACATTTGAGTTCGCCTTGAAGAGGAAAATGCTCACAAATTTTAAAGTGAGCACAGTAATCTCTTCCATGTTCCAAACCGAGGGACCTGGTCTCCCAGTTTTAGCGAGTGTGTTAAATGTGCCGGTGCTGAGCATGAGTGTAAACTCAGAGCGCAAGTAATACTAAATTGAAGTTTGCAATGGGTTGAAAGGGTTAACGTTGCCATTCGTTCTTGCAGACGAGAATAAAAACAACACATTTTTGGGCTATAGATACAAAAACCAAAAGAATTCTAGAAAGCATTGGGAAAGAAAAGAAAACAGAAGAATAACTCATCCACGTAGCCTGATGCTTTTTGTTAAAACTTTTACATTGATTTTAAGCCTTGATTCACCCATTGAAATGTGAGCGATCATCCACAGTCACATGGAGGCCTCTGATGTTGTTATGGATTAAACACGGGCAGCAATTTTATGATTGAGGCGACTGTCTTTTGAAGCCCGGACGAGATGTGCTGAGAATGACGGATCCCTGATCCGCACGTGCACCTTGAGAAGACCCGGCGAGGTATGGGAAATACGGAAGCAGAGGTTTCCATTAGACAAATCGTTGATCACACTGCAAGGGCGACGGGGAGAGAAAGTGGTCGACGGAAGTCGAAGTCAGGATATTATGACGATTTTTTCTGGGGGTTAGCCAATGATTGCGCTCACGAGACCGCCGTCCTCCCTTCTCATCCGAAGCAAAGCTAGCACACGAGAGATGTCCCAGTGGCCACGACACTACTGCCTCCGTCTTGAGGCACGAGAAATCGAGGCAAGAATTGTTCAAGGCCTTGACATTTCGAGTGAGAGCTCGAAAATGAGCTTTCTCGTCCTAGGCCAGGGCATGTCCGCCATTTCGACAATGGCGAGCCCGGCAAACGCACAGATCGGCTTCTTGAGATGGACACCGACAAATCTGTGCACCGAAATTCAGTAGAAATCGACTTCTTGTGGCCTGCTGATTTATGGCATCGTCAAGGCTTGTTGTAAGAATGGTGGTAAAGGCTGGCACAGAAACCACCGAATAATAATTGCGCACTGGATAATCTTAATCGACTTGCACTTTTAATAAGCTTCCTGATTGTGATTTATTGGTGGTGCCTCGGCATTTCCGCCACCTCGACAATCGCGAGCGTACCAGCTGCAGAGATCGAATTCCTGAGCTGGAAAACGAGAATCCCGTACAGCTTCATTCAGTAGGACGGAGACAATTCATGGGCCAATGTCCCACAGCAAAGTAGAAATTCGCTATGAAAAAGCTACCAGATGCTTGCATCAAAGCCTCTGATATCGACCACAAACCGGAAATGTTGCAACTCACTTGCACTTCGAGCAAAGTTCCTGATTGTGATTTATTGGTGGTGCCACGGCATTTCCGCCACCTCGACAATCGCGTGCACAGCAGCTGCAGGGATCGGATTCCTGAGCTGGATTCCTGAGCTGGACAACGAGAATCCTGTGCAGCTTCATTCAGTAGAACGGAGACAATTCATGTGCCAATGTCCCAAAATCAAGATAGAAATTCGTTATGAAAGAGCGACCAGACGCTTGCATCAAAGCCACTGATATTGACCATAAATCCCCAATTGTTGCAACTCACTTACACTTCGGGTAAAGTTCCGGATTGTGATTTACTGGTGGTGCCCCAATGAAGGAGCGTTCCAAATATTTCGATGATCCTCGACAATCGCGAGCACAGCAGCTGTAGAGATCGGATACCCGAGCTGCATAACGAGAATCCTGCGCAGCTTCATTCAGTAGGAAGGATTCTTGCAGAAAGTCCCACTGCATTGGCGAAGTTGGTTGACTGTCACACTGGCCGGTGCTTGGGACAGAGGCATTGGCCTTGAGCACGAGTATAGTGTCTTCAATACAATTATACTTCAAAGCCACATTGCTGATTGTGGTTAATTGGTGGTGCCCCAATGAAGGAGCGTTCCAAATATTTAGATAAGCCGCTTCTGTGTCCCGCACACGGTATTCTTTAGTAAAAGGCGAAAGAATAGTTCGCTATGGGCTGAACACACGGCTGATGGTTTCGATATGCGTCTGATCAAAAGGTATGAACCTCACGCGAGGGCTTGTTTGTACCAATGCTTATGGGTTTATTCATCTGGCAGTGATGAAGCAGTGCAACATGGCATGGAGAGGAAGAGCCTTTCAAAGTCGTCGCATGTATGCAACGTGTGCGTAGGATGCGGGCCAGTCCACTGTAGCATGAAATAGGAAAGCCTGATTCTCTGAACCACAGGGCTTTTCTATTTATTGCACCGCTATTACTTTCACCGCAGGAGAATGTATATATTTCTCTCATGGCATTAGTGCATTTTCTGGTGATTAACAGAGTTTCTGACGAACTTAGAATATGATTAACACACTTTTCGTTAATACAAATTGGTGCAAGTTGGTCTTTACATTAGATTTTTTCGTGAGATTGACCTTGTTTACAACCATCAATCGTAGTGATGGATTGTTCTCATGCAGTTCTCCTCAGATTCCATGACAGTGATGAGCAAAACTCCGTCGCCAGTGCGGAAAGCCATTCCGACAGGTTTCCTTCTTGCTATAGAATCAAATCGTGTTCCACATCAGTTTGATATAATCATCTTTGATTCAACATGTATATAGACTCACGTTCCACATGAATATAAATATCTAGAAATATCTTCAAGAGCTTTATCGGATTTTATAATAGATATTGTATTTCGGATTGTTAATAGATAGACGCATATTCTCATGAGAACGAGGTCATGAGGAGTCTCTTATATTTACATACATATATATAAAGACACACAAATACAAATAAAAGATTGTATGACCAAGATTAACAACATATCATCAGTACATTCCATAAAAGAAATCTAATGTACAGAAATGGGTATGAAAGATTCTATGAGACTTAATATCAACTATGTAAATCAAAGATCGGGAATAGTGTCCATACTTGACAGGGAAATACAGCATGAATAATTAATATAAGATTTGACATGGTTTACATTTCTTTGGTAAAGTTGAGCAGCAATATATCCAATGAATACCAACGGGGCAGAAAGACTCCATGTGAGTCGACAAGAAGTGTGTAAATAAAAGAAAGGAGAATGTGCTCCCAGCTCAAAAGAACAAACGTAATGATATTTGATGTAACAATTGGCATCCTTTATAGTTCTCTGACAAAAAAGGTCCTGAATAGAGCAAAACCACAATTGGGACGACGCCTGAGAGATTCGAATTCTCGCGGGGAGACCCCATGTACTTAGCAGGCACACGCCTTAACCACTCGGCCAAAGCGTCCCAGATGCCTTCACACTAAGGCAAATAAATTTTTAATATCAAATTTATTTGTAGACATCACGACACCATGAATGTTTGGGATTAGAGTAACGTAGTTGAGAAGGACTGACTATCTTATCTGCATTGGGTGGACGCGTTTTCAGCAGGTTCATATCCATAACGTGGTTACTATAAAGCACATATGCAACGTGGTACTATCTGGACCGCGGTGGGTGTAGACGATCCCACGAACAGAGGGGCTGAGACAGCTCTGGAATTGCACAGTTTGGAGCTCTTGTACGAAATTCGCCCTTGAGCCCTTGAGCCCTTGAGTACCGATTTGATTTCTCTGGTCTGATCTCAGCTCGACAGACACAGAACGATGTTGAAATCTCCAAGCTCCTGCAGTCCAGACTTCTCTTAGTGATCTGCCGAGATCTTTGTTCTCGATATATGGACGACAATGTGTACGCTAGTCTTATCAAGTGAACGCTTTGTCCAGCTGCTAAGAAACCAGATCGACCTTTTTCACCGCAACTCTTTTCTGATTTCTGCAATGGTCAGCATGGCCGTCTTGACTTACTTGCTGCAGGAAAAGCTCTTGCTCCAGTATTTTCAGTGCCATGAACCCGCTGGTACTCTTCAACCGATCTATCTCCTCGGCTCACATGTAAAAGTCAATAGCATAGAGAGGATCTGCCTGACGAAAGCTTACGTCAGTGAAGCCTCCCAGAAAGTGAAGAAAGTAATACTTATCGTTGTCGATCATTTTTACCGTCAAAGATAAATTTTCCAGCTCACATGAATGGACAACTGTACACGCAATTTAGGCTGAGTAATGGAAAAGGTATGAGAATTAGATTTCACTTTGATTGCTCGTTACTGCCTTCTTCCTCTCTGGGCCTCGGAGGTTGAACCTGTCGGTATAATAGGGGCTGCAGGGTAATGATCATAGAGTATTGCTCTGTACCATGTGAATCTCCCAAAAAAATTTCTCCCCAAGTTTTGGTCATAGAGAAAGCCGCCCTACAGAAAGCCGCCCCTGCTGATTTGCAAAGACCTTCACTTGAGGAAAGTTTACCACCATCTTTTGATCATAGAAAATCGAGGATGGGTCTAGGGATCGCGAGGAAGGAAATGGTAAGATATCTGCCAGACTGCTCCATAGCAGACGGAGCTCCGCATAAAACTCTGAATATGTGCTCAGACTGCTGAAATTTCTGCATTGGTTAGTGTGCGAAATCACGTAAAGTTAGATATTATTCGTCATGTAGCGTCAAGTAAGAACGAATGATATATTCGAATATGCAAATTGCTTCATAGCATGTAGCATACACATTCATAAAAGGGTCCAGGCCTATACACTAAACCGTCACCAAGAGATTATAACTTGAATCATGATTTACACTAAAAGTGACAGCCTTCATATATGTATATTTAAGAGAAAATATATGAGCATGAATGTGAGAACTCGTATAAAATCTTTATAGAGTACATTATCTGTAACGGCACACATGCACAGAGAACATCCGCGACGAAGAGCTCTCCGCAGTATCTAGTCGTCCTGCTCGTTTGATCGTGACAACAGTCCTGATAAATCTCGACTTGAAATTGACCTGCTCTTCGCATCATCTAAGACATCGTATCTAATCCAGTTATCACAGATTCATCACACAACCCACTCCCCGGATCCTTCTTTTAACAAAGCTCTCATAATCGTTATTCTGAATCCTGCTGTAGTTCCATTTACTGAGCTCCGTCTCTCAAGTGAGGCCGAAAGCGTCCAGATCGCGGAATGTTTGCTATGGTATCTCATCTTGCTAATTTAATGAATAGACTTGTGATATTATCCGTGGACATTTCATTCGCCCATACCAAACTTGTACTCATACTCCACACAAGACCTTATAAATTGTAATAGAAGGTAAAAAGCTCAGGCGACTCCCGAGCGTGCGATAGCAAAAGATCAATGATAAGACAGAGGGTCAAACAAGGACATCACAAACTTGAGCTGGCGTTCGCTGGAGCTGGCATCCACTAGGATGTTTTATATAGGAGCCACAAGACACGTCATATTCACCTCTAACGTGCACAACAATCTTATTCTGGAGACGTCTACGGTACCTTTCTAGCGACAATCTTAAGCCTAAGCAATGTACTTTTCGATTCCCTGACCTGACTTTCTACAGCAAGTGGATAGCAGACGATTTACTCAAAGCACAAATTTGCAAGTAGCAATCGATTATAAAGCTAAAGTTCTCATGTTCATCATATACAACCTAACCACCAAGGGGCTAAGAACCACCCAACCACTAGACTGTCACAAACAATAGGACTGCTGCATACATCTAGCTAATAAATTATATCAATCGATTATAATTTTCGATCAACCTAAGGTTTTAAAGAACATCCTCAAAACCTCCCGTACTAAATTACAAATCAAGTACCCTGTGACTCAAAGCTACATGAGCGACGGGGTCCGATTCAAGAATCTGCTTCCGATACAGCAATTCGCATATTTTCTCCTTCGTTTGCTTGCATTTGCTGAAGATCGGTCTTGATCCACCAAAGTGACCATTTGATCTCATTCAGTCGTAGCAAGGCTACATCTAGAAAATAGATGGCACAGTCCGCTCTGAGAAACCGTAACAGCCTGTTCGATTCGAGAAAATGAGGGCTCCAAGAAGAGTGTATTGTAGTCATGAAGACAGTAGGACGGTGGATTACGAGGATGGCCCGTTGTCTGGCCACATATTGTCCCATGCCGGCTCCGGAGCGTTAGGTTTGACAATTATATCCTGTCCAGGTTGGTGCCCTGGGTGCATGTCTCCACCCTCAAGAGCTCTAGCAGCTGCCTTCGAACGAGCTCGTGCTTTCGCACCAGTCCGGAACCCAAGTAATCTAAGCACGAACCGAGCAAGCTCACCATACAGCACTCCAGCCCGATCACAAAGCTGCCAAACAATCCCATCAGGTAAGAAACTATAATACCTTCTCAATGAAAATCCCGGCAACAAAATACTGGACATACAAATCCCACATGTGACAAAGCGTGGCAACCTTTTTGTCAGATAGATATTGCTGTCATTCGAAAGCTTATATTTAAAAAACGAGTTTATCAGTTTCTTCTCACCTGGAGGAGAGCTGTAATAAAGAAGTGAAATGCCTGAGTGTTCTCATCCACAAGGATTGAAAGGCGCCCAAAGAAGTGCATCACACCTTGCAACTGCCAACCGAAGAAAAACAGGATTCAGTAATCACATCCTTCCCTCAAGATGCAAATGAGTGACAACCATTCCACAGCTACTCTCCTTTTAAGGGACCCTCAAACTTCATCAGGATAAGACAAACTTTCTTAAGTCAGAATTTAAATAATCGGCTTGACCTTATCTAACAACTTATCAAACTGTCTTCACACAACCAAAAAGTTCGGTGCCAATCTCTCAATTAATTATCTCATGATCTTGATCGATATAAACATCAGGAACTGATCATGGTTTGAAAAGAACTATATTATAACAAAGTTTTGATTCAGTATCGGGTGAAAGCTTCTGATACTCAAAATCCTAAAATAAACACCTTATGGTTGTATACAGTTCGTGGACGTGAACTACTCAAGAATGGTCTTACCCCTTGAAGCATTGAGATCCAAAATCCGGGAGCTTGAGGAGGTGGCTCTCCATTGGGATTGTTCGGATCGCCTGGCATACCGCCCATTCCATACCCTCCTCCCATACCACCCATTCCGTACCCACCCATGCCTCCCATACCTCCCATGCCTCCCATCCCTCCGCCATATCTATTTCCATACATTCCACCACCGTACATACTTGACCCGTAACCACCACCCCCGTACATACTTCCGCTTCCATAACCACCCATCCCGCCAAGGCTGCTTCCATACATCCCGCCACTTCCATATCCAGTGCTCCCGTAGCTACTTCCGTACATACCACCACCTCCGTAGCCAGTACTGCCATAGCCCATTCGATTGTATGAACTCATTGTGCCGGTACCGTAACCACCGGTGCCATATCCTGCTGAGGTCAAAATCCATTGCAATAAGTTTGCTGTGGTGAGGCAATCAACCCAGGTCATTTGAGCATTTACAAAAACCAACAGATTAAAGACAGAACAGATTCCTAAAACTCAATCAACGTCGTGTTAAGACATAGCTGGCGGCATTCACTGAACCAGGTGGCACGTCGACAACTACAAATGATTCTCACAAATAAATAAGAGACTTCAAAACCAGCTTCAAGAGAAATTCTGTTCACAAACTCAGTGAAAGTACGATGATCTATGTTACACCCTTGAAACCCTTGGGTAATTACGGACTTGAACCGCTGACTCTCGGCACTCAGTATTTATCTTCTCTTTCGTTAAGCTGCTCTTCTAATCTGCCATTCTATCAATGACACAATCGATGCTAAGTCATCCTGACGTGTGGCCAGAAACGATTGCTTCTGCGGTGATCCTAATCGACGGTACTTCTGAGTCCTGAGATTGCAATATCACCAGAAACCCATAAGCTTTGGCTAGCTTCATCTGCTTACCGGTAGTGCCATTTGTCTCCCAAGGTCTAGGAGGCATAGGCCGCCCAACTGCAGTACCACTTCCATTCTGTGCATTCCTAGCGACCTCCTCCTTTTGTGCTTCACTGGTGGCTGTTCCTGACGATGCTACCGTCGCTGCGGTGCTGTTGGTGTTTGACGCAGGAGCAAAGGGAGAAGGCCCACTACTTCCAGCGGATGTGCCAGCTCGCTCCCAGGGCTTAGGTGGTGGAGCTGACCGCCCTGAACACAATACAATAAGCAACGGCAACTGTCAGTACAAGAGACTCTTACAAACGCAAAAACATCAGAAAACTCACGGAAAATTGTCACACCCAGAATAGCGGTGCATAGACAAGAAGACTAAAAGCGAGCGCGCTCTGTTGAGCAGTACGCACAAATACAAGAGTCCAGTCTCTGTGCCTTAAGGAACAGCAAGAAGACTATTATATAAAACTCACAGCTTGACACATCATTCATTAACAGAAATATCAACACTTGATCAAATCGAATCCTCGGGTCTGTTGATCCACAGGCTCTACGGACATGAGCAAATGCCGCCAATGCAGGACTAAAATTTAGTTCATTGATAGACTGGACGGTGTAATTTATCATACTATCACCAGCTGAAGCTCAACATAGGGTCATGAGTCATGTTAAGGTCATTCTTCAACCCTATAATTCTAGGTTACTGATTGAAGAATGACCACAACTGTCCGTGTAATCCGAGCTGAATTGGAAACGTACAGATTCCAATTCAGCTCGTCACGTAACCAGATGAAGAAATATCACCACTCCACCGACCGACGGTACGATAATGCCCATGAACTCCTGACAAGGAAAAATGTGCTAAGCTGTGCAATCAGTTGCATGCATGTACACTTCGCATGCGAATTCGGACTCTAAACGCAGCCCAGAATACATTCGGTCTTCATTTGCTTCAGTGTACTCCACGTTCAGAATAAGCCGGAACACAACTGAATCTACCCTGATCGTGTCGACCGATGACTCAGGATGACTCAGGATGTAATGTCAAGCGAAGACCTTCAACCAAAAAAACCTAACAACGCACGAGTGCCTGCCTCCCAACAATTCGATCGACTGACAAACCATTCCCATACAGACGCAGCCGCAATCGCCACAACCAAGCACTCAACAGCGAGCCCGAGACAAAATCCATCAACAGGAAGCATCCATCCGCCATATCTTTCCACAATCGAAACCTCACCTGAAGTAGCCATCCCCAATTAATGCCTGCCTCCGCGGTACTTCCTCACCGGCAATCCATAGGGTAATAAGCAACCCCTTCCTCCCTTTCTTCCCTTCTTCCTTCGTCTCTATTAGCTCTGAAAACGACCCCAAATCCGAAAAATCTGTCCCTCTCCGAGCTCTGCAAGGAATCCTCCCGAATTCGATTCAAGCCTGCGTGAATGAGCGAATGTCGTCCTGAAACCACGGGCAGAAAAGCGGCCGCGGCAGCGCGCGCTTACGGAGATGGGCTAGACAGGATTGAACAGCGACGAGCGACCTGTCTGTCGATCTCTCGATGCCTCGCTCGCTCGCTGGCGCTGCTGCCCGTCGTCGTCGTCGTCGTCGTCGAGAGTCCCCGAGGGACCACACGCTGCGCAGAAAGCCTGCGCTGTAGCACTTTCCCCATCCGTACCCTCCTCCTCCTCTCTCTCTCTCTCTCTCTCTTTCTCGCCACTCCAACTTGCCTGCCACATGCACGCCTTGCATTGGCCCCGCTCGTCCATCCTGGCAGCTGACCTGGACCGAACGCTGTACTGTCGAGTCGACTGACCTCTCTGCCTTCCGGTGATGAGGATGAACTTGGTATCTTCTTGACGTTTGAACTTCCCATCGTTTACCAGCATTTTTCGGTCAAAGTAGCTTTGAAGTATGTCACATCAATTTCGTGTTGTAGAATATCTTCCAAAATATTGAGTTCAAATTTTATTATCTTGTTTGTATCTTGAACATGTCATTTTGTACAGGAAACAAATACATATCGGTTATGTTATAGTCTATTATGTCATATGATTTATTCCTGGAAATCATTTCGTTTTGGAAAATCCGCTACTAGGCTCCTTTCTGTATGTAATACATTTCATATTAGCTCCACGAGATTGTTTTCCATGTTCCTGGTATTATTTATTTTTAATATTATTATTGAAATAAGTGTCATACAATGCAATGCTGTAGATAAATATGATCTAATTGAAGTATTCATATATACATTATCGATATGTAAGTAATTTAGAATAGTGAAACCAAAGCAGTGACCAACAACAAAAATATGTATCGAACTCTCAAATCATTTATTTGAATCATAGCAAAATCATGTTGCCTTCGTTATTGTCGTGGCCAAACTCTGCGCTTTTTATTATCTTTTCTTTAGATTAGTAAATATAAAATCATACCTTACATAGGTTGCGCGAATCTCAATTCAAGAGTCTTCGCAGTGCTCGGAGAAAATATCGTCAAATTTTATATGCAATAATTGTAATCATTACGTACATAAATCTTAAATGGGTGTGCACAAACTTTTCTGCATGAACATTAACTGTACCTGCTGATGGGTCGAGGTCTCCGACGAAAACTTACCCTCACATTTTAATACGAGAACGTGAGAATTTCCGATACCACTCCAGAGCAAAAGTGCCACTCAAATAATCCATCGAGAAAAAAAATGAAAATCTCCAGAAGCGTCCGATCATTCAAGAGTGGCAGCAGTAGGGGAATAATGAGATCTGTAAATGATTTGGCGACCACAACGAGAGCCAGCGTCGACAGGGCCATCGATCCATTGTCCACGTAAGCGAAGCTCCCGCTAACTTACATGTCCCTCCATTTCGGCGGCTGACGTGGGCCGGATCGACCAACTTGGCAGCGCCAACTGCCGGAGACTTTCCATCAGCGCAACCCTAGCTAGATAGCCGCGCAGGGGCGGCTAGTCCGGCGGTGATGCGGTGGCCGGCGCGAATTAGTTGGCGGTGCGAACGAGGACGAGCCCGCCCGTGGTGACATGGAGAGTCCGGCCAATTTTGGCCGAGCCCGCTGTCACCTCCTCCCCACAAAAAGACAAAACACTTTCGCTGCAAGACAAACTTTTGGGGCCGAGCCTCTTGTTTCCCGTCTGATGTCATCTTTGCAATGATCGATTGAAGGGGTCCTGCTATCTGTTCCGTTACATGTTTGGCTCTTCTTCTCTCACGGCACATGATGTGTCCCCGCATCCTATATCCGTCTCGAAGTGCCCTCTGTTTCCAAAGGATGTGACATGTTTGTTATGCTATCACGCTCTTTCATTTGTCACACCCACTCCCCGTAACCTGGTCCAAGGCTCCTTCTGTCCATTCGGTCTCGCTGGATAATTCCTTGCTCTCTTCCTCTTGATTCCTTCCTTCTGTTCTGCCTACTCGCAGTAGAATGTATACATGCTGTCTCAAGGCTCTCATCCGGCTCATATCTAGCCTACAGCTTCTAAATTTTCATTCTGACCACCAAAATTATTTTCTTCCTTGAAGTATATTTGCTGAAACATTTAATTATGAAACATGCTGATAATGCCTTCGGCTAGGTGCGTTGCGGGTCGCAGGGGGAACATGGATGGCAATCAACAAACAACGAAAACTACGCTAGTAGTTTATTTTGGTCCGCCTTGTTAATTGTCCCTTACTGCTCCGGGAAGTTGTTGGAAATAAACTGGGATTGGCTTTGTCGTGATTTCATCTCGGCATCTAGGATGACGCAAGAGATGCGGAATACGAAATACTTTCTTCGTTTCTTGGTAGGGTGGTTGGAGAGATTCCACCTAAATGACCGTAAGAATGGCGTGCGAGGGCTGAGTTGGAGGAACCAGGAGGATCCTTACCTCCTTCACTAACTCTCCGAGAGAGCTTCTTTACGAGACAAGGAGTCAGATGCTTCTTGTAAATTCCAAGTTTCTTTGGGCTTGGCCGTGAGTACAACTGCTGAAAAAAAGTCCTAACAAATTCTTCGTGTAGACCGCCGTGATGGTTTGAGCGTCATGTTCTTTTATATCTCCGCCGCCTTTACCCTCCCGAGAAATTCGAGCTTCTATCCACGCTTACTGAGGTCTTCGGTCTTGATGGTCCTCCCTGACTCTGACGCATCTTCTTCCTAACCATTCTCGACATGTCGAATATTGAGACGACCTTGTTCTTCCTCAACTGCTCACAAGTTCAAGCACTGAGAATATTTTTTTCTGGTCTAAAGCTCTTGCATGGTCGCTCTGCTGTCTCCGACATCTAAGTACATATTCCTCGGCTTCTTCATAACTTGTGTCGGTAGGTTGTTCGTTGTTTTGGTGCAGCATTCATCTTGCGTTAACCCCCAAATCATGTTCGTTTCTTGTTTCTCTTGGTCAATAGCTTGCTGGTCGTAGAAACTGTGAAACGACTGTCCGGAGCTCTTTTCTCCTCACTCTCAAGCTCGCACTTACTACAAGTCTTACTTTCTGCTGTCACAATTGTCAAACATTTGATGCCAATTCAGATCCGAACAAAGCTGAACAACATCCATAAACACATCTTAGTCACGTGAGTATCAAAATCAAGTTACAGATTCGAATAACAAGAGCTCTGTGACTACCAAGTACGGCAAAATGGTCCCACTTTTCATCTGTTGATAATGTGATTAACCTTACATCCTGCACCAAACGAAATTCCTGCATATCGCACCATACTGCATTGACAGAATAAGACTAGAAATAATAATTTGGTGTTGAAACCATCATCCGTTGAACCTGAAAGTACTCTGTTCTGAACTTGATTCCAAGAAGAAAAAGGCGAGTCATTCACAAGTGACTCTGGCAACTTGCAACCATCTTCGGAACAACGGAGCATATACAAAAGACTCAATACTCCGGGACTACTTTCCAGTGTTCATGAAACAAACCTCGGTTACAGCCTCGTTTTGTGCCGGTTCAGTATAAACTACATCCTATGTCTAGAGACGTGAAGTTAGCTAACTAAGGAGCCTACAATCTGATTAATCTTCTCTCCTGGGAACCTAAACCTAAGGTTCATTTAGCTTTGTGGAGTTCAACCCAGTGTTTCTTCGGTCACAAAACACCTTTGCTCCTCAAAAACGCCTCTTCAGTGGGTTCCCTCCCTAGGAATTCCTCCAAAATATCTAGTCCGTCTTTGCAAGCGCCTGGTCTCAAAACCTGTTCATCCAACAAGTAATATCTATCTGCATGAGAAAGTTGAAAGCAGATCGGTACTTGACACCTACGCAAAGATTACAACCTGAAATCTTTCTGATTTTCCGACACCACATTTAGCCTATACAGAAAGGATTACGATACTTCTCAGTTTAAATTCGAAACACCTAGCTGAAGACGTTCAGGTGTTCCCTTCTGAAGGTGAACGCTTGCAGATGTCTCACCTTTTCACGGTATTCCCTCCCTGTTGCTCTGCTGAGCACATTCCACTTGAACTTTGAGGCAAACATGTCCGCTGAGAAGACCTGCGCACACAGAAGTACAAGAAGAGTTAAGATGGTGATAACAACAATGACGAGAGCGTCACTCTTTAATTACGTTCACCCACTAAAACACTTCCAGACTATGTGTACTATAATATCAATGATCACTTACCTCACTCCACAAGTATCCATAGTATGCTGCGTCAAAACCACCAACTATATGACTGAAGGAAGCTCCAAAATTCGTTCCATCGGCCATTTGTATACCCTCCATCACCTGAAAACAATTAATTCATGAACATTGATTGAAAATCCGATCCACTTTCGACCATGCAGGCAACTCTTGTGCGAAACACCCAGTTAACCAAAGCTTCTTCAGGGCGAGGAAGTGGCGTGATAGGGAGTTTTAAGGGGGTTGAGGATCAAAACCGCGAAATCTCCTGTTACCCATCTCCGTTGCGAGAAAACGCCCTTCGTACCAATGTGCAGAGCAAAGCAAGCAACATAGGATAGTGGAAAGTCCGGATGATAGTAGACATCACAGGGTTTAGGGTTTCGACACAGCAACAGGAACAGCAGGTTCTCGACCTCAATGTACCTCTGGATGTAACTTCTTCAAAAGACTGGTTGTGTCTACTTTGGGAGACGTATGTACCAACTGATCAAAGAGTCCTGTGAGTGCCATGCAAATTGCAGAATAAAATTAGATCGAAACATATAGCAACTGCGGCAGTCAAAACCCTCACCGGCAATATTTCGCAATTAATAACAAGTCTATAGAGATCTGCCGAATTCCTAGATATAAATCATCCAACCTGAGTGATACATATGCGAACGGCAAGCAAATATTCGAGCACATATGACTTACCAAAAAGTAACTGACGTTTAGTCAGAATTCCAGCATAGGATCGTCTCTTTCTCATGAGAGCTTGGCAGATATCATTGGGTATCGGTTGCCTGGTATCCTGCAGAATGTTTCGGTAAATTATATCAGTACAATATCAGCTTCACTTGTGTGATTGTGCTTTGATGTGTCTAAAGCGCAACGCAATTTCCTCCATGCGAATCCCTCAACCTGAATCAACATCGACTAAAGGAAGTAACTTGCTTGTGTTCACAGCAAAGATTTAATAAGGAGCGTGAGCTTGATTAAGCACCTTGTAGTAGCCACTCATTAACTTCAAAGAGGAGCTCTCAAAGCACCTGCATGATGATTCAGTCCCGACTTTCTTAATGATAGCCTCATGAGAAAATGTAAAAGATATATGTCATATTTTGACCGCTCGTTTGTTCCGGCTATACTGAATCAAGCGACAGTGATTGGAGTGAGTTCTTAAAAGTCCACGGAATCATTACAAAAGAATATTCCAAAGGCATCTGGACTTCACAGCTCCTTACCAGTTCTCGAGCATTTGACTCGGAGCTTCCACAAAATCATCTTCAACACGGAGACCAGAGAACCTTGCAAAGGATGGCCGGCTGCAAATATGATGCATCTGCAGAATCAGGTCCAACTTTACCACCTCACCATTCATACATGAACAATAACATATAATTCTTGCATCAACCTTCAAGGCAGAAAGCTATATCAAATTTGAATCCTCAAAACATGACTCCTCTATATAAACCCCAGGAAAGGCAAAGCTGGCAGATACTAAACAGTTTAGAACTGTTTACTCAGTCACATGATTTGGACACGGGACCTAATTTCCAGATCTCAACCACAGCAGTTAACCGCAACAAGAAGTGGCATAACAACTGTTACTGGGGACCTTCACATAATGATTCAATAGTATCTTCTTACAAGATGTGTCCATGCGTCCATAAGCTGTGCGTTCAGGATGTTGAGCTTACCACATGCCCAAATTCGTGGAAATATGTTACAACCTCTGCGTGGCTTAGTAACGACGGCTTCTCCCTTGTTGGTTTCGTAAAGTTGGCTAACATGGCAGCTACTGGCAACTGCATCACATTTCGTTAGATGTTAAGTAATGGGCAATGACATACTTGAATATGATGTTTCCAGTAGTGTAATAAAAATAAAGTAAACGGTGCGAAAATTCGCAAGTAGATCTTTTGGATGAACTTCAAGGTCCATGTTGAGAACAACGAAGTACAATACAAATTGGCAGAAAAGATGTTTGCGAAGGTTAACTGTTACCTGTCGTGATCCATCCCCTTGAACACAACCGGTCTGAAGAGAACAAACACAGGTATGTGCATATTTTCCATTTCTGCAATTTACAAACAGCAGCAACTGATTTAAAACGTGTTCCAGTTCCTGGCCTTTTCTGAGAACCTAAAAACCGTCCGTTACCATTAGCACACTTTTGGACTCATACACAAGAAATGCGTTTACATTATTATTCACCTGGGGAATAGATCGAGGTAAAAGAAGCCCATCCGCTCTCCAGTCTCCGCATCAAAAACAGCGAATTGTTGCACTTCTTGGTGCCAAACTTGGGGTCTGTGGACTTCTTTGAACCTTAAACCTTCAAACCATAGGCAACAAAAGCCGTTAGAAACTGGTTTTGCGACTTTGGAGAAAAAGGTCTGGTGACATATGAGCTAAGATGAATTGTCAGTTTCGAAGAGTTGAGCACTAACGACATCAATAGCTAACTTTGGAACATGAGAGACTACTCACCTAATAAATCCTGGTAGATTTTCAAAAGGCCTTGCGTGACGACCTCAATAGGGAAATATTGCTTTATCTGTTCAAAGTCGACTTTGAACTCAGCTTCTTCCGCTTTGTTGATGTAATATCTCAAATCATACATACTAAACACGTCATTCCCCTCCTCTTCACTCTGCACATCGTAAGACAAAACAATTTAGCGTTGTGGAAATTATACAAGTGATTAGCAACACTGACTTTGCGAGGATGCATAATCGCCCACCTTCATGGCCCTCAACCTTTTGAGCTCCTTCCTAGCCACACCTGACATTCTTGTTGAGACACTCTCCAGAAAATCCTTCACCTGCACGAGAAAGGGTCAGTGAAGATACAAACAGAACAGAGGCAGATAACCTGAACTACATCTGCCAACTTCGATGCTCATGCGTAGAATTCTAAGATTCAGCAAAGCCGTATGTGTGTACAAGAGAGATCATGCGCTATGACTTCTTCCAAGTAATTCATAATAATGCAATTCGATGCAAGTATAAAATCATAATAAGTAGTATAAGGATAATAATAATGATGATAATAATAATAGTAAACTTGCAAATTTTCTATCTTGACTTACTTTTTCGGGAGACTTAGCCATCCGAAGTGCAGTGGCATACTCTGCATGATTTTCGTAGCCTAAAATTTGGGCCACTGTATGCCTCAAGGACAACTGCGATGAATCCAACAGAAAAGAATCAAGCTCAAAATTCATTCACTCGGACTCCAGTGTCATATTAATTGTTTCAACCTTACACAATCAACATCTGGAGTAAAGGCGGAATACACTGTCAAACTCTTACTTGAGGTAGCAGATTATCTCTTTATACAACAGTTATCTGGAAATCCGACGACAACTACAATTACAATTACTGTCCATAATCTGAGTTGGGGTGACTTCACCATCTGAAGTGCGCAGGAGTATGGTTGGAAAGTCAAGAAAGAACATACCACTTTCTCAAGAATTGGAACGTTCTCCCGTATGCATCTTTGATCATACGCGATTCCCAGGGTCCTCCTTGTTGAACCAACCTACATACAGAGATCAACGATAAGTCGCTTATGACCAGGTCTGTGTACAAACCAAGTATCGCGAGCATCAAAGTAAATAATTGTATAATGCACGCATTATTTATCAAATCCTGCAGATCAACTGACCTTGCACCTCTCCATGATGGGAAAGTAGTGATGATACTTCAAACTCACTTCCAGCTTGCCATCCTTTGATCGCTTCAGGTCCTGTTATCATATTCGGGCAAATTAAATGAAGCCAACGAACGAACACGCCGAAGCTCTTCTCAACCTTTAAACTGCTCGATCTACTTGTCAACGATTTGTAGGACAAACTATTCAATAACGAAGTATTGTCGTTCAGCTGGTGAATAACCTTCAAAAAATCAGTTGGCACTCCTGCCAGTTCATTTTCGTTGAAGTAGAGAAGCTGATTCTCTTCATTGACATTTTGCTGAAAGACTATACAAAGCTCTCCAATTTGAGTGTTAAGAAACTCAAGTTCAGATCTAGTCTCCTTGTTGAGGTTCAAACCAAGCCTCTCAAAGTCTCTAACCTGCAAGGAACGTGAACTAATTTGAGAACCTGTAGAACTGCAGGGCATGAACGACATAAGTAAAGATCTTGGCAAGCCAAACCAAAACGCTTGAAGATAATAATTATGCAATTCAGAATCCAAGTTTGAGCAAGTAACTTCATCAGAACGGATAATCAATACATTATTTTCACTTAAAAGCAGAACAGATGGCGAGTATCAAGCATAGTGATATCACCAACATTTCATGTCTCTGCAGCAGAGATGGATCCTTATTTTTTGAGCTGTTCATCTTTCCAAAGGTCCCAGTACTCGCGTTTTAATCACGAGGCTTACCAATCGGTCAACATAACGTTGAGCTTCGGTGCCTAAAGGTTCATCTTTTTCAGCAAAGGCTTTCACTACTCGATATACATCCTCTCGCATGCTGCTTGACAAAAAAACTACGTTAGAACGAAAGCAGAAGATAATGTTTTTAACTCGCTGAATAAAATCAGGTCAACAGTTACTTGATAGTTGCTATGAACTGCTTTTATTATATCATGAGACAATCTACAACAAATTGAAATTGAGACAGGGAAACTGACCTAGACTTTACATTGTGCGCGTCTATCCTTATCTCTGCCTCAGCACTTGCGTCGCGCACATCTTTCGAGACAGCTACAAGCCCAGGAAAAACACAGCTTTGCACAAGAGGAAACTCCACAGCTTCAAGGTTTGCCAGTGGAGCGATGACGCTTTCATATGACACCTGTCCGAAGGTGATGAGATCACACAAACTCATCAAACTCAGATCGAGAAAACCAGATTCAGTCAATGTCGTAAAGACTTATGAACATCCATTGGTTTGATCCTCCCCACATAAATCTAGGAATTGGGTAAACCACCCCCCTCCGCATAAAATCAATTCGTTTGAACCCGTACCTCATCAATGGGCACTGCAGCAACCTGATCGTAAACCTTCTTCGACATTCCAATCACTTCATCTGCTTGCTTAAGAATCTCTGAGGCACTGTAATTGAAACGAACTTGTATGCCATCTATGGGCTCTGCCAAATACAACGAATGTTCAAGTCAGGTGTATTAAGAGATAATGCAAGATCAGAACTGCTTTCCGTGACTCCAAAGCACTCTTTAGCAGTCTGACATGACAATGCTGGTAATAACAGGACTTAAAGGCCAAAGAGAATGCAAGGCAGTTGGGACCAATGAGCACGGGAAATGCAGATGTCAAAATGTTTCCAATGCTCACAACTTTTAACTTCCAAGAAGTTGGCAAATGCATTTCAGATGCATGAAGCAACACAACAACAGATTTGAGCTCAAACAAGATATTCAGCGAATATTCGGCCTTGTTCGAAGGAAGGATTCGCCAACAAAGGTAGTAACAAAACTCAAATCTACAGGATGAGTTTCTCGTTCATTCGGACATTTATTGCCTGGATTCTGGGTCCCATAAAGTTTGCTTGTTCTCTTGAGAAACAATCGCGCGCAATCACCAAGCATAAGCGTTGACCTCAAACAATCGGGACTACATTCAGTACAAAAAGAAAAGCTCCAGTTCGCTTCTCACATATCTCAAGCACGACAGTAGCACATTGAGCCTAAAAACACTGCCTCCAGCTCAATGAAAGTGTGCATGAACAGGTGTTTCAAAAAGTCGAATTCAACCGTTTGAAAGACCTCGAGTGTTCAACCTTTAGCGCGATAAAATTGACGGATCCTAAAACTTCAAACAATGTCCTATAAAGATTTCGTGTAATGTTGTACAATCTTCCTTAACACAACGTGCTGCATCGATCGGCTTTCAACTAACCCCCGAGACAGATCAAAGATCATGCTTGTGGACAAGGAATGCATTCGGTATTCAATTGATGTCCTGAGATATAAGTGGCTTCTGAATACTAGCACTTTCGTTAAATGCGACGGCTTTGGTCGCATTCACAGAGGACTGTAGACAGGAAATAGCCTAAACGATTCCCGCCCATTCCTGACAATTGACAGAACGGGAACGTAGAAACACCATACTGAATTGTCCTCGAGTACACCTGGTACGCACCCAGGCGAGCATGTCAGAGATGGAATGTACAATCCCCCATCCCGAATTGGATCGACCCAGCGGCTTCACAAATACCCCGATTGTAGCGAGGGGGAAAATTGGGCGAGTTCAATTAAGATGGATGGATGAATGGATGGATGGGTGCGCGATGTGTGATGGTGAGAAGCTGCACGGACAGTTGATAAGCACAGGGTTCCAGGCCACGAGCGAAAGTACCATTCGAACCGCCTTTGAAATGCCCGAGCAAAAGTTTGGCGAGAACAGCAACCCCTGCTGCTGCTCCAGCGATGGCCACCATCCCTCTCTTCTGCCGCATCTTCACCTTCATCCTGGCAACTGCTCCCGAACAATCCCAACTACTGCCCCTCCTCTCGCTATACCTCCACTCCGCTCCGCCTATCAACCAAACCCAAGCCTCGAACACCCAACACCAACTCCAATGGCGGTCAGCTGCCCAAATTCACACGGGAAACCACTCATGTCTGGCAACTACACAATCGAGCGACTCAATCTGCAAGACGTGCGATCCTCAGATCGCCCTGTCGTTCCTCGTCCAACACAACAACCAAAAAACCGCCCACTGTTGCTCCTCCGCGCACTGCCATGCTATCGGCCTCTCCTCGCCGCTATCTGCCACCATCACACAGGGTACTCGTCACGTTGCTGCGATTTCCCCTGCGCTTGCCATAAAAAACCTTCCTCCGTCCGAATCTGTGCCTCTTATGCAGCAGCTGCTGCTGCTGCCCATGCTCCTCGCTCCAATCCTCGATCCAAGATCGTCGAACAAAACAAAACCCAATTGCTCGCCTCGCTCGATCCTCAGGGGACAACATTGTGCCGCACTCCAGGCACTGCCTCCATGAATGCCCCCCGCACGGCCGCCACCGGTTGACCCGGTCCCTTGTCTCCACACCCCCGGTCACTCTGCTGGGAAACCTCGGGCTCCCTGGGACGGGAGCCCGAGATGACCGGGAAGAGGAGATGGCGCCCACGCGCTCTCCGGGGAGCATTTACAGTCCGAAGGGGGCTGCGACCGCGGGTCTGACTCCGGATCTGTAGCCGGACCCCGAGGTCAACCATGTCGGGACTCTCGGTTGCGGCATGGTTCCCCGCTGGACCCAGGCAGCCATCGCCATGTCGTTTTCTTCACGTGCTTCCTCTCACTTGGTACAGGTTGCTTGATCTCGTACGCTGCCAAATTTGGCCGAAGTTGTCGCCTACCGCGTGAGGAAAGCGGACTGCGGATTCAAACATTGCGGTCCGGGTGACGACCTCACCTCCCGCCTTAGCAATGTGCATACACGTGTTCTATCTATTATTTTTTTTGCCAGCTTTTCTATTAGCGGGAAAGCCAATGGGAAGGAAATATGAGACACATGGGGAGGACACTAAATTACAAGTAAATCGACTTGAGACAACTGCTCCCTATATATACCTCGGCTACCGAGCATGGTTCGTTTCGCTTAGCGGTGATGCTTGTGACTCCCTTCGCAGGATAGGGTTCTCACTCGTGCACTGTGTCAGGGGCAGATCTCTCGGTGGGGGGAAGGGGAGGAGATTATGAAACTCTGTCTGACGAACTCAGGTTCCACCGCGGCGTTAGTTTACTTTGAGGATAGCATTCTTTGGAGGGCTCTGAGGACAGTGACTTGTCATCTCCGTTTGCCTTCTGGTACTGTATTCCTTTCTTAGAAAAAATATAAAAAATGAAAACGTAATTTAAATTTGATATATTCTAGAATTTCATGAAAGAACTGTGTTGAATATTACATTTGAGAAATTTTACACCTGTTTAAAACTGTTTTATATTCGTATCTTCAAAATTACACAGAACTGAATGAAAGAAGAAATAATCAACCTCGTATTATTACTGTTTGGAATATTATTTAAATACTATATATTTGGAAAATAAAAATGAATGTAGATTATTAGAAATAATCTACATTAATTTTTAGATACAAGAAATAAAATATAAGAAAAAGAAATAAAACAAAATGTTATTACTCAGAACTGATTTTTCCATGTTATACCAGTACATAATAAACCTCTAAAACATGATAAAAACACCTCCTTTTCAGCAAGTTTTTTTAAAGATTTGGAACTATTATTAAAAAATCAAGAGTATTTCTGTTATCTTTGTTTGAATTTATGGCTAAATTTTCTATGGAAAGGGCCAGAAGTAGTTTTCAGAATAGTCATCAAAGGTTTCTTTCCTCAATTTGATCTTATTTAGATAAGTGAGTAGTACAATAGTCCTTTTAAAAAAATATCTTTTCCATGATATTATATCAGATTATTAATATTTTCTTCAATTTATACATGTATATATATGCTCGAATGAAAAAGGACATAAATCATTACTAAATTGTTATTTATACTTTGATGAGGCAAATTTAAAGTAATAGTATTACTATTTTGAATATGAGTTTCAATACGTCAAAACTGTGTAAAGCTTTACTTTTTGTAAATAATATCATGCTATATAATTATGTAAGAATAGTTTGCAAATACGTTAATATTTCAAAGTTTTTTCTTGTTTTTGAAAATGAACAGAGAATATCTTTCATTTTTTAATCTAGATTCAATTAACATAGCATCTAAATATTCCAAACAAATCTATGACAATGAAAAACTTTAAATATTTATATATATAATAATAAATGAAAAAGTATCATTCAATAAAATTCAAAACATTATTGAAGATGGTTTTTATCAACAAAATTTCAAATTTAGCAAGAGAAGAATTACAATTTGTGATAATTTAGCGTAAAAATACACAAAATAATAGTTTGAGGCTAGATTTGCTTCATTTACACTTTAGCTAATGTACAAAAATATTTTTCTGATTTTGAAAAAATAAAATAAATTAATAAATCACACAATTTTGACCAAAAAATTCCAGGTTAACATATGTGTATGAGCAAAAAATCACATCAAATTTTTTTATACAAGAATACTCAATTTTATTAATATTTTCATTCATGATTTTAAATATTATAATCTTTAAAGTTATTAATATTGCATACATATTTTATTACTGATTTTTAAACACAAAAAATTCAAATCCTTAATCATTCATAGATTTGCTTGAAATTTTCATTTAAATATGTAATGAGTTGAAAATATATGATCCCTATGTTTATATGTGATATTTTTAATTTCTAGTAAATCTGATCAATATATCATAATAATACCTTTGTATCAATACATCAAAGTGAATGTTTTTATAATTGAATAAGTATAAAATTTATATTATATAATATACATTATGGTTTAAAATTTATACAGAAAATTTTATCATACTTTATGATACTCTTCAAATGGCAAATTTGAACATTAAAATTTTCACAATTTAATCATCCGATATAGTAATTTTTATTGAATAGTTTAATTATATATCAATATATACTAAAATAATATATTATTGGGATTACTCCCAACGCGCTATAATTATAATCCCAATATATTATTGATATACTCGCACTACTCCCAACGCGCTGGACTCGATTCAAAGAACTGACGTTCTTCAAGTTGTCTTTGTACCTATACCATACGTGACCTAAAACCCTAGGCCAACTGCTATTTCTAGTAAGAGACGGAATCACATGACAGCTGTCGTGCGAATACATATCGCCATACACTCTACATCGCTGACATGCTACTCACATACACATACGCACACATACACACATATAGGCGCGAGAGAGTACACACTCAAATGTCACAACTCGCCTCCTAGTTGGCGGGCAGGTCCCTCTGACTTCCAGGTAGCTCAACCTACAACTACATGCTACACACCTTCGTGGGTGCGTGAACCAGTAGGCCGGGTGCTATGTCGCCCCATCGTTAGTCGCCTATCTGCAATTCAGAACATGTGAAGATCAACTCATCTACCACTCTGAAGTACATCGAGAACAAACCCATTGTCTAGCCGGAATAACATCAATAGGTGGAGTCAGACACGACATGTGCCATCCCCTAGACACATATCACACACCAAAATACGGGCCGCCTGACTAGCTGACCTACATAGCATGCACCTCAAGCCAGCACGTACTATTGCTAAGCTCGGGTCCATACTACCATCTACGTTTGGGAGGTGGCATGACGCACAATTGCGCACATGATCCTTCCAAACAACGCAGTCACGACTCTTCAACATGAGAACTTCAGAAGATAACACCTCCCGCACTCGCAAGATTGTGCGTCCCGCCTTCACATCCAACGTCGTCGGTGCAGTCTTCTGTAGATAGACGTAGTCTTCCACATGGAATCTACAAATCGATGGTCGATAACCTCCTCCCGAATGGTTGCATATCACAACATATCTCTATGTTGAACAATCGCAAGATTCTCAATCGCTGCAGGCATAACTCTTCGAAAGAGCTCTACACGTTGAGAACATACTCTCACCCACATGTTCGGGTCATCAAGGTTCACCACCTCGAACACGATCTCGCTCCTTGGCACCCACTATGCATGGCACCATGCTGGTCTGTAGGAACTCCAACACCAATGCATCATCGTGAACATCACGCTGATCCACACCACCATCCTCAACCTCAGGATTTGAAGATCGACCATCCACTCTCTTACTAGAGTAAGATGTCAGATGATACCCTCTGCTAGAGTCTCCACGTAACCAACACATGAAGGCAGATGCATGCCAACCTGACACTATCTCCTCGTCAATCTCACCATGCCATCTAGCTCCAGTGTCATCCTCTTGGCTAGTGCATGGATTTCGACTCAAACCATCGGCATCTAGGTTCGCAACTCCAAGTCTATGCACTACCTGAAAGTCGTACTCCTGTAAGATGAGAGCCCACAGTGCAAGCTTCCATGTGAGCTTGTCTGACTCCATCAACCACTTGAGCGGCTCATGATCAGTAACAAGGCTAAACTGCGTACCAAACAAGTAACACCTGGAGTGTGCCACAACCCACACCGCTGCCAAACACTCTTTTTCGTACGAACTATAACGCGACTCCGCTGCATTGTTCGAACGACTAGCGTACGCAATCACAAACTCTTTGCCCTCATCATCACGTTGCGTCAACACCGCTCCAAGTCCCAACATACTCCAATCAATGTGCAACTGATATGAACGACCTCTGATAGGTCTCCTCAAGATGGGAGCGGCCACCAACCTGGCCTTGAGCTCAACAAAAGCTATCTCCTGCTCATTTTCCCATTGCCACTCCTTATCTGACTGCAGCAACTGGTTCAAAGGCTTGGCTATAGCACTGAACCCTTCACATACCTCCGATAGTAGTTTGCCAAACCCATGAATGCACGAACTCTACTCACATTTGTGAGACGAGGTATGCGTGCAATAGCCTCCACCTTTGCTTGCTGAACTCCTAAACCACCTAGGTATATTACATGACCAAGTACTCAACCTTCTCTTGGAAGAACTTACACTTCCCATGATGTAACCTCAGATCATGAGCCCTCAACCGCTCAAACACAATTTG